GCTGTTTGGGACCCCCCCCCCCCCTGGCTCAGTGTAGCTGTTTGGGTCCCCCCCCCCCCTGGCTCACAGTGTAGCTGTTTGGGTCCCCCTCCCCCCCCTGGCTCACAGTGTAGCTGTTTGGACCTCCCCTGGCTCACTGTAACTGTTTGGACCCCCCCCCCCCCTGGCTCGCTGCGTAGCTAACTTGGTCTAAACCTCTGTCTTCCAGTGACGTGAGGTTAAACTCAAGTCTTTCCCCGTCAACCACTTGGTGTCTGTATTCGTGAGAGAACAAACGGTGCAGTTTTAGACAAATTCACTGAATTCGTCTTGTGTTTTTGTGGGTGATCATCATCTTGAGCTGGTGTAATGGCCAAATATACGTCTTGAACTTTTCTTGCAGTGGTTTGTTCATTGGCCATGACCTCTGGCTTACTTGTAGCCTAATCTTGTCTTCCCCCCTCCCCCCCCCCCCGCAGTTAGCCTATGCTCTCATGGTAACTTAACTCATAATGACTGTAACTTGCTTAGCTAAATGAATTGTGGGGTTCAGTCCCCGAGCCCATTATGTGCCTCTGTAACCCTTTCCACTACCGCCCACAAGATGGTTATGGGGTGCATAATAAATGAACTAAGGCTCAAATAGTTGCTACAAAGTGATGCTGTACATAGGTGTTGTCTGTTTTGTTATAAAAGCCATTAATTATTAGGCTGCTTGATATCCTAAGGCCCCCAGGGATTGCAGTAAAACTGCGAGGATGTATATTTTCATTGCGCTAATCCGATGGTGATTATAGTGTTGGAAAGAAATGTGTAGTAATAATAAGAAGTGGAGGTGCTTGAAGGTGTACAGATTTCTCACCATGAAGGGAGACCATGTATGAGCGGGTATAATTTGTCGTAATCATGTCTGCACTTTATTAATGGCAGGGTTGTGGCTCCAGGGCGTTGACACGTGGCTCACAACCTCACTTTACCCAAAGGCCACTATCTCCACCAGTTTCCATGGGGACAGGATGTCGGCGGCTTCGCGAAGGTCTCGCATTATTCCAGAGTTTTTTTTTCAACTGAATTTGAAATTGAAATAGCATCTTAGTATTTAGACTTCGCCGAGTAGGCTATTCCATAGGTTTATAACCCATATACGAGTGAAACATCTCCCGTTTTCTGTCCTGTGTGGTGACTTGTTGAACTTCAATTAACCAGTTCAAAATCTATTATTATAGATGATACCCGTCATGTGTGGTGTGTAGTGTTGGTCCTGAGGCTCTCGATCCTTCCTGGCATTTGAGTTAACTTAATTAGTTCTGGGATGAATTTTGTTGCTTAGTGTTGAATTTTCTCCAAAAGCACTTTTTTTTTCTCGTGCTATCATAATTTGATATCATCAGCCATTAGATTATTAAAAGGGTAATATAGACAACGAGAATATAATATAGTTGTTTTACTGTATAATAAACGCAATTTGGTTTTGGCTTGCATACAGGTTCTAACAACTTTTTTTTATATTTTTTTATATTTGATGTTCTTGGTTACTAAAGCTAGAAGATATAGGGGTCTCTGACTTACAAACATCCAAGTCCCCATCTTCACATCTCGTTCTGCTGATTACCTTGGTGATAATCGTGTTAAATGCTTTTGCCTCAAATAAGCAGACAAAAATTGTAACACGGAAATTATTTATTGCGAGTACTTGAGCTTAACCCAATTACTTGCCGTCTCTTGTCCCCACTTTACCCCCTTGCCCACGAGGGCAAGTTTTTCTTCATGAAAATACATCGAAATGTCCACACAGCCCATTTCTGCCATGCTGTCCCAGTCACTACAATGTGAACCTCGCTCACTGAATATTTTACATGAAGTTTGGGGAGCAGTGTTGCTAGGAAGATGTAGTGTCAAGATGTGAGTGGCCGCTCACATGTCTCAATGACCCACTTGGAATGGGACCAGATCGTGTGTATATACAGAGAAGCTGGTTACACCTGTTTATTTAATTATGTAGTAATTATACTGATCTAAACAACATGGATAAACTTCAGCACCCACATTCAACACATAACCAAGAAAGTCTCTAAGACAGTTGGTATACTCTCCAAAATCAGATATTATGTTCCTTACTCTGCTCTCCTCTCACTATATTATGCACTAATCTACCCCTATCTTAATTATGGTATCTGTGCATGGGGGTCTACCGCTGCAAACCACCTTAAGCCCATCATCACGCAGCAAAAATCTGCTATCAGAATAATAACTAACTCTGCTTTCAGACAACACTCGGCTCCCTTGTTTAAATCCCTAAACTTGCTAAATATTAACTCCCTCCACACATTCTCCTGTGTCAACTACATTTACAAAACCCTGTTGTTCTTAAATGCAAACCATGCTCTGAAACTCTCCCTGGACAGATGTAATAGGACCCATTATCACCACACCAGAAATAAATATCTCTTTGATATCCCCAGGGTCAAACTTAATCTGTGTAAACACTCTATGCAAATTAAGGGACCTAGTCTATGGAACTCACTCCCTAGTGAATTGAAAAACTGTAAAACTTTTGCCTTATTTAAAAGCAAAACCAAAAAGTACCTAATTTCATCTTAGTTTCCTACACTGAGCTTTAAATTTGCTCTGTACCTAGTGTTACCCAATCTCCTAATTTTTATGTATTTAACACAAACAACCTTATCATTGTGTTCATTGCTGTCTTCTTTTATGTGCTAGCCATATGCTGTATTGTGCCTACCAATTTTTGTCAACTACCATTCAAGCTGTCATTGCAATCAATCTTAGCTACCTATGTGCTTTAATATACTGTACCTACAATTTCCTCATTTTTTTTTTTCTTGCCATGTAACTGATATTTTTTTATATAAATTTTGCAAGTACTGTATTTACCTACTTAAAATTTTCTTAGATTAAGGACCTGCCCGAAACACTGCGCGTACTAGTGGCTTTACAAGACTGTAATTACCATTTTATGTATCCTCACATTCCCAATGTACCTTCTTGTATATGCAAAAATAAATAAATAAATAAATTAAATATTAGATACATTCTCATGCCTGAACCACTCTCTGCATGTAATTAGTTTTTTAATAAAAAATACAAATGTGCTAACTACTGTAATGTAATTAAATCGTTTGTATTTTGATCTTTTATAAAGCAACTGAAACTGTTTTGGGTGAACTCATATGCTAACATAATAGTGGAGATAGTATTCATAAAAATTTTGTAAAGGTTTAAAATTTATTAAACGTACAGTCAATTTTAAGTACATCGCTTAAAACGAGTAGATATATTAGTTAAACGTGTTGGCTGATGCAGATGTTCAAATTTTAGTAATAACTATAGGGAATGGTAGTGATAATTTATTTCCTTCTTGCATCCTATTAGGAACGAAGGTAGCAAAGCGCATACAGGTACTTGCTACTCAGTTCGAAGAAAATGGACATTGTTTGCAAAAGTGATGAAGTTTCTGTGGAAAGGAGTCCAGCCTCCCCATGCCTTAGTCTTCAAACACACGCCCTCCTCTCGGTGTTCCGCAGGAACCCGCAAAGTCTTACGATATTTAATACCATGATTAATATAACTAATCCCCTTCGTAAATCCATTAGTCTGATTTTATATAAATGAACATGTAATTATTAGTTGTAATGAATGTATTAAATCTATTATAGATTTAATAAATTATATTATTACTATTAACATTATACAGTGGCACCTTGACTTACGACTGCCCCGACTTTCGACAATTTCGAGTTACGACATAAATTTGGTCGGGAAATGCAATTCGACTTACGATAGTGTCGTCGACTAACGATATTCGTTGAAACACGTAGATTATTATATATCATGCCATGGGTCCCAAGAAAGTCAGTGGTAAGGCTCAACATATGAAAACACATGTAAGAATGACCATAGAGGGAACACAAGAGATCATTCGTAAACATGAAAATGGTACTCGTGGTGTTGAACTAGCTAGTGTGAAGGTGTCCCACCCCTATATTTCTTCCTTCCCAGCTTAGAAGACTCATATCTCTGTAGCCTGAATATTCTCTGATGTTCAGGGAACATTTTCATGTGAGGGAAAGCATGGAGCATGATGCTGGCTGTAAAATGGTCAGCTAATTAAGTTTGATGATGCAAGGGGCTTGCGCCTTTTGGGGGCACAAGACTGTGCCGAGCCATCCTGTTTCCCGCCAAGACGTCGTGACGCTTCTGGCACCTGATTGGCCAGGTGAGGTCACGTGCTGGAAGTTGTAACACTGTAAGGTGTTTGGTTTAGTTGTATTTAAAATACATAGAGATACACGAGTCACAGACAAGGATTTGAGAAGGCGCCAGTTTGGTCGACCTGAGATTCACACCTCTAAGCGTTGATGACCTCAAGTGACCCGAGGTCACATCATGCGAATTCCACCTTGCTTCTGCTAATCTTATAATTGGAGCCTGGTAGCCTTCAAACATGCCGACGTTTAAGGAGTGGTTTGGTAGAGTGCCTGAGGCTATCTACTTGTGGGCGGAGTTAGTCACTAGGTTCCCCAATATATACTCGGAGAGCTATCGATTCGAGGGCATTAACGAGACGTAGAAGAACAGGAGCCAGCAGAGAGAAGACGGCCTAGCAGGGAGGCTGTCGGCCGGCAGGGCCAGCCGACAGCTGTATTAATTATTTATGATTATTTATGATAGCCCTATTAATTATTTATGATTATTACTACTATTAAACAATTAAAGAACTTAAATCTTATAGATCAAATAAATTATATTATGGGTATTATTACAATGTTATTGTAATTGCTGTTATAATTGCTTTATAAAAGATTACTATAATTATTACAATATTGTTATAAAGATATTTGTATAAATGTCATCACAATTATAAATATTATAAATGTTAATATAACTATTATAAATGCATTATTAAATATTAATATGTTATAATTATTATAATTATAAAATTATTATTATTAAACAAATAAAGTCCCCCACTCTATGCATGCGTTTTCCTCCAATCACAGAAACGGAGTGTTCTGGAGATCCCGACACCACCCGCTGGAGGATTGAATGCAACTGGTGCCGATGTATTAATGGGAAAGGAAGCTGCACTCGTAAGGGATGCCCACAAGGTACGTTTTCTCTTGGTAATGGATGCTTTCAGAAACATGATATAACTGTTATTAGTAATTATTTTATATGTTGTCTACTCTTAAGATATTTTTTTTTTAAATATGCTGAACATATTTAAAGGGCTGGGAGAAAAAAAATTTGAATTGTATTAAAATTACTTGAAAATGTTAATTTCAATTATTTGGCATCAGCTTCGTTAAAATTTCATCCCAATATGTAAGAAAGATTCTAAATGAAAAAAAAATTATAAAGAGAACAGCTCCTATTAAATGAAACTGAGGGATAATGCAATAATAGAGATGCAGGCATATGTCCGACACACACAGAATAGTAATAAGGAGGGTCCACAAAGCGGATACGCAGAAATAGCCTAAGCTACTCTATCCCTTTGTGATGTATTTTTTCTTGTCTCAATACACATACTTGAACTGAACACAGCTGGTGCATTTCTATCATTGTTGAGTATTACGTAACTCAAATAATAATTAGTATGTTATTATACTATATTTTGTTATCATATACTGTAAATGTTTGCAGTCTCTGTGGTGTAGTGGTAAGACACTCGCCTGGCGTTCCGTGAGCGCTATGTCATGGGTTCGTATCCTGGCCGGGGAGGATTTACTGGGCGCAGTTCCTTAACTGTAGCCTCTGTTTAACGCAACAGTAAAATGTGTACTTGGATGAAAAAATGGTTCTTCGCGGCAGGGGATTGTATTCCAGGGACCATAGGATTAAGGACTTGCCCGAAACGCTACGCGTACTAGTGGCTGTACAAGAATGTAACAACTCTTGTATATATCTCAAAAAAATAAAATAAATAAATACATTGCCCTACGCCAATATGTTACTTCCACCATATCCAAAATTTTTATTTTTTAAGGGGATTTTTTTTTTGTATTGTTGTGGCTTCTACATCTTGAATGCTTACCCATCACAAAGGATGTCAAGATAGAACAAAATTGATCAACATGTAAATCAGCCACAAGTGGCAGAACTTGTGACGTTTATTTATTTTTGGGGGGGGGGGCAAAATTACAGATTTTAAAACTCCATTTTATTTGTCTCTTTAGGTTGTATTGATGAATGGGGACCAGATGCAGGCCTCACTTATATAAAATGTACTTATTATTCTTATTAACTCCATTATCCTCATCCCTATATAATATTTTTTGGGGGGAGGGGGGAGTTATTTTTTCTTGACTTCATTTCAACACACATTGACCTACAACTTTCACACTTTTTTTTTTTTTTAGTACAAATGACGAGCAATGTTTGTTAAAACATTCAAGAAGATTCATAAATTAAAACTACCATATTCCTTGTTGATAACTTCAACTTCCAGCATCGTGCTGGATAACATGTTGCTCATTTTTCTTTGGGGGAGTTTCTAGCCTCTGTTCGGTCTTGGGTTGCAATCTTTCTACCAGGATGGGTCTGTTTTAAAGTGCCTACCTTTCTTGGTGCTCAACCCCGGTCGATGGCAAACATGAATACTTTCATACATGTGAGTTTCATAGGCTAATGCTCCCTTTGCCTCTCTGAGGAGACCATGTTCTGGCTACTGGTCCCCAGTAGTCATGACAACTCGATATGACTGAAGCCCCTGTACTAATATTAACTAATATCAGCTCAATAGCTCCTGGGAGCCTCCGGGTCTCGCCAGAAAATGGCATTTCATTACATTCAATGCTGGTTTTTTATAAAAATACGATTGGTATCTCGGGAAGGTTGGTCAATTTAGTTTAAAGTTTGAGGATTATATCATTAGCATCTTGAGAACCGATTAGGAAAAGGTATAGACTTAGGATAGCTGCCTGTGAGGTAGCCCTTTTTTTTTTTAGGATTGTGGTGTATGGGTTGTAGCTTGCTTGTTATGGGAACACAGTACAAAACAGCCTTGGCCTTTTCTTTGTTTTACTATGAAATATAAATATTCTCAACTGGGCCACGTACTAGCTACCAAAAGTGGATGTATACAGCTCCTCTGCTTGGGATGGTCTGGTCGTGGGCGTGTTTTTTTACACTGTGGGTTACTAACATCTGCAAGCTTGCTGACTCTGCTGTTGACTGACATCGGATCGGTTGCAGAGTGGCAGTCGATGAGTGAGCTCGACACACACAAGCATCCAACACTGCTTGGCATGCAATCATCGGCGTCCTCGATGATCTGCTTGACGAACTTCTTGTTTTGTGGACCTAACTAACGTTTATGTACAGTAGTGACCTTAAACAACCTTTGAGATGTCAAACACTTTACATGGTTATGAATGCCGAGATCTCATTTGCATCCATAGTGAGCAGCAACATGAATTGCTCAGAAATATTTTTTAACAAGTTAAATGTTTATAGTTTGAGATGCACTACAATGTCACTCCATTAGGTATAACCTCAAACAGAAGTCATATACAGTAATGGCAACTAGAAAAGGAGGGGGGCTTACCTATGGTGGCAAAAAGAACCCATTGACTGCAGGGCCAGAGTCCACCTCCAAGAAAGAGATATAAGACAATGCCACAGCCGGACAGAGCACGAGGGACGTGAAAGGTGTAAAGCGGGTATGGATAAACATTGATCCTTTCTAGAAAGAATTCCCCCCCCCTATCCCCCTAAGAAGGTGAGAAGAGGATGACACAACAGCATCTATGACTAAAAGGAAATGAAAACGGGGTAAAGCATGAGGCTCGCTTGTAAACGGTAATAAAACAGTAAGGCAAGTTAAAGAAATAAAGGCTTGAGTGTAAGGCCCCTGCTGGAAGGAAAAATATAAAATTTCTTAATGAAGAATTTATCCAGACATAGCAAATCAACAGATCTCAACAGATTTCCTATGTCTGTTGAGACAAGCATTGGAAATCCAATGGCCTATTGAGACACCAGGTTGTCACCATCTGTGAGTCTCGGGAAGGTTGATTGAGAGTCAATCACCAAGAAGAATAGCCCAGAAATAGTTAAAAGAATAATAGACCAAAAAAAAAGCTTAGACCTCATGCTGTGACTGTTTAATGGATGTTTATACAGCTGTATATATAATATTGATACATATTATCAGTGTGGCAGTCTGTGTATTGGAACTTAATGACTGAAAGGCAAGGCAAGACAAATGGTTACTGTTTAACCCAATCTTGATACGGTAGAAAATGTTGAATAGAGTTGCTACACAGTTTACATCTTTGACAGTAAACAGTCGTCTGTAATCTGAATTTTTCTATTACAGTTATTATGGATCGTTTGGTCAATACCAGTGAATGTGAAGGATCGCCAACTTGGACCAAAGGTTGCAACACTTGCTCTTGTGTTAATGGCCGGGCACAGTGCACAACTAAAGAATGTGGTTAGTATAAGCTTTAAATAATAATTATTTGGGAAATCAGTGATGCTAAGTTAGACATAGTACTTCATAAAAATTATATATGCAGACTATGGAAGAATGGGTTTTAAGCACATGTAAACAAGCACTTGTAGTCAAATTTCCTCTAAAAATGGTCTCTACTCAATGTGTGGTCTTAAAGAATAAGCTACAACTTTTCATGAAGTTGCTGATAATGCATGCAAATATACCTAGATGTGTATAAAGTATTTAGTTTGTCACATTTAAAATGAAGGAATTCAGTACATGTAACTTCCATTCATTATTTAATAATTACTTTCTGAACACCTATTGTTACTGCCTCAAGATGCCACTCTATCCTTTGACATAGATCATAGAAAAACAAAGCACTATAATGGTAAAATTTTTTAGTATGGAAGTCCTTCTAATCCCTTCTTTATCATAACTGACAATGACAGGGGGCTAGGTTGCTATACAGTACAACTATAAAAATTAATGTGTAATAAACCTTTAACTATTGCCACATTAGATTCTTTGGCATAGTGGTTTCAGGAGAGGGTACTTGCACACGTCTCCATTCCATTCAAAGTTTCCTTGTATAAATGAGACATTATTTTTGCAGGGAAGTGGTGATTGTTCAACCCATCCTCTTGTATATCACATTTTGATGTATAAATCCCTCCCAAGGCCAAAAACTGATGTACTAAACTCATTGTAGTTCGCAAAATTTGTGATGTCACATTTTCTATGCGTGAGTCCTCGGTTTGGTTAGGTTCAGGCAATTTATAACATCAGCTTGGTGGTGATGTGACCGCTCAAGAAGATAGGGTGGATTGTTGTTCAGGTATGGTTTATATGCTTACAGTTCCATCACACACTTCCTGGTTGCAGTTCTTCTGTGCTATTTACTGGCCTTCTTTTTGGACTGTTCATGTCAATCATGATATGTTTCTCCCATGTACTGAGGCATTTCTCCCAGCTATTACAGTTCCTGGTTAAGCTCATTTAGCCACAGACCACCACGGAGTGCACAACATATTAAAAGTATGTTACTTTCACTGTTCTGTCATTTTATATAATAGAATTCAGGGCTTCTGGCACTGTCGGCAACTTCATAGGAAGTGCTATCTGCACATGTCCTTATTGGGTTCTTAAGTGTGTACCTTTTGACCCCTTTTTGTGGTGACCACCATTGAGTCTGGCTTGTATTGCACCATCACTTCAGATTCCACTTTGTCCTGGCATGTTCATCCTTTGCAGCAGTCTTCTGACGTTTTTCTGCAGCATGGGGTGAACATTTTATCCAGCTTACCTCTTTTTTATTTACTGTTTTGGATGCCTTAATGAAGAGGGTAACCAAATGTAAAAGTTCAGAAATAAGGCTTTCAACCTTTGTGATGAGCTCTTGCCTAAGCTGTATCATTAGGCTGTGCCCCATATATCTTCCCATTCTCTTCCCCCCCCCCCCCCCTCCCCCATCTGTGTGCAGGTTGATTTGATATTAAGCCTTTAACTGCACAGAGCACACTAAGGTGCTCTGAGGGCTGACCTAGCAAGGCTGTTGTTTTCTACCAGTCAGTCAAAATAGATGGAATAGAGGGATCAGCTGAAGGGATAAGTTTTCCAAATGCTTCTGTCCTACTGTGAGAATCAAACCTGGTACCTTTCACATGTGACAAGACTGCACTCGGCACTGCACCACAGGACCCTTGCTGAATTTGGATATTCTTTAACCTTCATACATATGTATTTCTCCACTTTCCTCTTTCAGGATGGCAATTGCCTTCATATAAATTCTGGCTCTGTTTCTTTCACTATTGTGAGTTTGGAATTTGATCCAAAATTTGTTCAAATCATAGTAAAACTTTTTACCATATTTTTTTGGTGATCCTTGCAGACAAATTTCTCTTGCAGGCCAGAGCCCTTCTGTAGCCACTAGATCTGGTCGTCAACGGGTAAATGCAGGTAAATATACTTGGTTTATTATTCTTAAGGGTACACGCATTCCTCCAAAATTGTAGTCTTAACATCCAACGTTTTAGGTGTTTGTATAATAATAATTTGATAATCTATAGTAATACAAATGCATTCTTAAAATAACTTCAATATAACAATAAGTTGCACACGTAGGTGTTATAAGCATACGTTATAATCTTAAACTTGTACAGTGTACTCTTAATTATAAATTTGAATTATGTGACTTGTACTCTTAAGTACTGTACTACTACAGGTATATGTATGTTGCTCTGCCCTGATAACACTACTGTTGATGCATCTCCATATCTCCTATGTTTGGACCTGGGATACGCAACTCAAAACTACCTTGGATACATCAAAAACTGTAGCCACTTTAAAATTATAAGTTATATTTTGTATGACTATTGAAGTTAAATTTGTCTGTCAAAGCATTTTCTTTTTCAAATTGAGTATTACTTATTCTTGAATCCACTTGATTTATAGGTGTATTTTCAAATTCTATACTACAAAAGTATTTTAAATATTAAGGGCAAGTTTGCTAGCAGTCGACCACACGTGTAATTTTATCGTTATTATTATTTATTATTATATTTTGATTGACTGTAGATTCTCTTCAAATACGGGAAGAGTCTTTTGGTGGTAGTTCCTTAAATTGCCTTAGGACAATGCATGTTCAACTGTACTCTACAAATAAACTTTTGAGTACCAGCATTGACATTTTATCTTAATTTACCTGAGGGCCACTAGTGTCGATGACGACAAGAACTCGGAGGCTTGTCAAAAGTTTCCCCACGTGTCCTGATGATTTTATCAAAACTGAATTTTGACTTGCAGCTGTGTTGTGGCATTTATAGCTAGAGAGAGTAGGCAGTTCTATGGGTTTATAACCTTATGGGTGGAAAAGCATCTCCTATTCTCTTGCGTTGTGGCTAGAGCTTTGAATCTATTTTCTTGTTTATTACATCTGACCTTTTTAAAGCAATGGTCTGGATAAATGTCCTCCAAATTTTTCAGTATAGTATTTTTAGTTTTGATGATCAGCCCTGTCATGTCTGGTTTGCAGTGTTAGCCTGTGGCTCTTTAACATTCCTAGTATGAGTGTTGACTTGGTTCAAGAAGGATTTTTCTTTGTGTTGAACTTTCAGGAAGAATAGTTGTCTTTCTGAAAATGGTCTCAATGCTTGGATACAATCAAAGCTAGGGTGCACCACAGCTGAATAACTACCTTCATTTCCTTGACATCAAAAGTTTATTATTCTAGGGTTTGGTTTGAATTTTTAATTTTACTGCATCCTTCACTTGGCCAACTTTCAATGACTGGTGGAATCTGACTCCAAGGTCCTTTTTATTTTATTTTATTTTATTTTATTTATATACAAGAAGGTACATTGGGTTTGTGAGAATACATAGCATAGTATTTACAATCTTGTAAAGCCACTAGTACGTGCAGCGTTTCGGGCAGGTCCTTAATCTAACAGATAATTTTAAGTAGGTAAATTCTAGCAGAATTAATAAAATGATGACAGATACATTGCAAGAAAAAAATGAGACTAGAGAAATTAGTAAGTATATTAAAGCACGTTGGTATATTAAAGCTCTGATTACATTGACAGCTTGATTGGTAATTTAAACAAGATTAATAGGCACCATACAGCAGATTGATAGCACATATAAGACGGCAATAATCACAATGGTAAAGATGTTCGGATTGGGTACATAAAGATTGGGAGATTGAGTAGCAATAGATACAGTGCAGTTTTAAAGCAACAAGGTAAAAAACTATGAAGATGAAATTTGGTACTTTTTAGTTTTGTTTTTGAATGACGCAAAAGTTGGACAGCTTTTCAATTCATTAGGGAGTGAGTACCATAGACTGGGTCCCTTTATTTGCATAGTTTTTACACTGATTAAGTTTGACTCTGGTGATATCAAAGAGATTTATTTCTGGTGTGCTGATAATGCGGTCCTATTAAATCTGTCCAGGGAGAGTTTCAGAGCAGGATTTGCATTAAAGAACAGGGTTTTGTAAATGTAGTTGACACAAGAGAATTTGTGGAGTGAGATTATGTTTAGCATGTTTAGGGAGTTAAACAAGAGGGCTGAGGGTTTTCTGAAAGCAGAATTTGTTATAATTCTGATAGCTGATTTTTGCCGAGTGATGATGGACTTGAGGTGGTTTGCAGTGGTTGAACCCCCCCCATGAACAGATACCATAATTAAGATAGGGATAGATTAGTGCATAATATAGAAATGAGAGCAGTTGGGTACATAATATCTGATTTTGGAGAGTATATCAACTGTTTTAGACTTTCTTAGTTATGTGTTGTATGTGGGTGCTGAAGTTGTCTCTTGTGTAAGTATAGGCCAAGAAACTTTCCATCATTTTTATTACTAATGTTTACATTGTCTATCTTTTCTTCATCAATGTGTTGCAAGGTAATGTTTTGGTAGTTGTAGTGTACATTGCTGTGTGCCACATGCAAGGTATTGCTTTTTTCAGTATTAAAGATCATTTGCCAGTCTTCCAACCATTTGTGGAGTTCATGTAGAGCCTTTTGCAAGGCCTCTGTATCATTTTTCATTTGCTATTTTGGCATAAATCCTGGTGTTGCCTAGAAATTTGATGCGAATTGTAATATTCTCATTTGTCTTTACTGAAAATGACAAACGGTTCACCCCTAAATGGAGCTTTGCAGTACCCCACTCACATTTCTCTAGTAGGATTCATTTCCATTTAGGATGACTCCTTGATTATATATTCTTTTTTTTTTAACCATTGTTTTATCTATTCTTAGTATTTTACCATTTAGCCCAAGTGCTTGTAATTTCCTTCCCAATCTTTCATGTGGTACATAATCAAACACTTAAATGAAGTCCATGTATACTAAATCTACTGGAAGTCCTTTGTTTGAATAGCCGATTACTCATTTCCAAAAATGAACACGTTTGCAAGGTGAGATATATTTTTAACACAACTGTTGCATTGGTTTTACTACTGTATAATGTTCGGTGAGATGTTGAATGATTCCTCCCTTGGGATTCTTTTTTCCATGCTTCAATCTGTTACTGGCAGCTTAGTTACTTACTTTAAGCTGGCATGCAATCTGAAATTATTCTTCAGTTTCTAGTGGCGGTTTTATAATTGAACAAATACTGTATGTATATGGTAATAATTATTCCCAAGGTTATTGGAGATGTTATATTTGTCCAAATATGTTAAAGGCAGGAGGTGCACATTTGATTAATTCTAGTGGTTTTTGTGATCATAGACATAAGTATACAGATGCCTATGCAGCTGAGAAATTTATCAACTTACGAGCTGTCTGGTTGGTATAGAGCAATATTAAAGTATCTCTTAATTATTGGTTTTCATAGTTGGGGACAAGAAGCCAGTTGGGCTTATTGAGGTCCTTCTGTAACAACTAGACATTTCCCAGGCTGCATCCCACAACAGTCGTTTGACTCCTGGGTGATCGAAGGCATCGGGTGAAAGAAAATAATGGCCAAACTTCGTCCTGCAGTACTGATTTTTGTAAAGTCTGTTGCTCGGAAGTTCTAGTTAAGAGTTGCAGTTCAGTACCTGAACGTGCTGGAGGTAGATGTAGGTGCAGAATTTGGCAGGTAATTTCATAGATTATAAGATTAATGCTTAGTGTAATAATACTTTTGATTACAAAGGTCAAAATTAATTCAGTACTTTGTCAGGTTTGCAAAGAACACCTTTACAATGATACTCTAAGTACAGGGCCTCAATAGGATTGTATAATTTCTTATCTAATTTCTTATCTTCCCTAAGCTATATTTAACTCTGTGCCTTTCATTATTAAGAATTACTTGCCTAAATCATTTAATAACCTTTTTTAACAATTCAGATATGTTAACTTCCTTTTAGTATTAGAGGTCACCCTATTAAACTTATTATTAATTTACCCATGTAAATTACACATTGGGTGGTTTCACATTATATTGTGGAATAATTAATAATATTACTATAATTGTGTACCTATGCTTACTCATTTGTATTATGTTAAAATTTACTTCATATAAAAAATTAAGAATTGTTGATTTCCTTTCTATTACAGAGAAGAGTGTACCTAATGGAAGCCTTCCTGACGATGCTATGTGCACACCCGACTCTAGGTGGAAGGACGAGTGCAACTGGTGTTTTTGTGGGGAAACAGGCATTGCAGGATGCACACTAATGGGATGTCCTGACAGTAAGTTGTTCCTCCAGATTTCTTTGTTGCTCCTTGTTTTACAAATTTATTTAAAAGAAGGTATATTGGGTTATGGGTGTACCATGCCTCCCATTTGCATCTAAAGATTCATTGGTGTTCTTACATTCTTGCAATGTAACAGTGCTTCGGGCAAATGTTATATTACGCCAGTCAACTATAATGAATGCCTAAATATCGCCTTCAGGCCTAGCCCCTAACCCAGCCTATAAGCAAATCAAATAATGTAAAAATTGTCATCCAAGAGTGTGTCAAAGGTAATATAAGCAAGACTAACTAAAGTACCTATAAGAAGTTAATACTATATTTACAAAGAAGAAATGGCTACATATAACCACGATACGCTGGTGCAGTATTGATTATAATGGAACCAGAAAATACCCAATTTCAGTATGCAGATTTTGCATAAATTATCAAAGTTTATTTGATACCAGAAATACTATATATTTCATGGTAATCAATCATTTCTCATATGTAATGCAGTATAATAAGAAGTAATAATAGACAGAATGATGTTCACCATAAGCCTAGCCTACCCTGTTAATTTTTGCCTATGTTTTGCTATGAATATTTACAATGCCTCCCATTTGCATCTAAAGATTCTAATTTTGCATACAGCATATCACCTTAGCAACGTCTTTAATTACTAACTCTCCATTATGCAAATTAAAACATTTTCACATTAAAGTTTGACTGTCCCTAGTCATGACACGTGTGCATTATTCAGATGTCCTAGTGAACATTGTGCAGAGATAAACAATACCCAAATTTGTAACAAATTAGATGGCAAATTCCTTGGCATTCTCATTGACCACAAGCTGAATTTCCAGGGACACATTCTAAATATATCAAAAAAAGTTTCAAAAACTGTCGGCATTCTTTCTAAGATCAGATATTATGTACCACGCCCTGCTCTGGTGACTCTCTATTACTCCCTTATCTATCCTTATCTCAACTATGGTATTTGTGCTTGGGGTTCTACTACCCAAAATCACTTACGTCCTCTAATTACCCAACACAAAGCCGCTATTAGAACAATATCCAACTCTGGCCCCAGACATCACTCGGTACCCCTACTCAAATCTCTTAATATGTTAGATATTAAGTCACTGCACATTCTCTCATGTGTATTATACATATATAAAACGCTAAACTATAATGCCAATCCTGATCTTAAAAGCTTCATAGAAGGTTGTAACAGAACCCATGAGCACCACACCAGAAATAAATACAGTTTTGATATTCCTAGAGTACGTCTTAATCAAACTAGAAATGCTCTGCAAATCAAGGGGCCCAGAATGTGGAATGACCTTCCCAACCATGTTAAAGACTGTACCTCTCTCAACCAGTTTAAGATAAAAACTAAACACTACCTAATAAATTCCCTGTAATCTACCTCACTCCTCTATTGTCAACCCATGTCTGTTATTTTCTTTTATTTTCTTTTTTTTTCTTTTTTTTTAATCAACACTGTTTGTCAACCTATTGTATTTGTGCTGCTTTTTCAGTCATGTTCCCCCTTTTTTTTTATCTTTATTTGTATTTGTTCTCAACATCTTTTATTCTTTATGCTCAATTAGTATTAAGTTCTAGATATTAATGTTTTTCTTGCCCGAAACGCATTGCGTAATAGTGGCTTTAGGCATTGTATGTACTAGCTCTATCTATATATCAATCCATTAATGTAACATCACTTGTATGTATATACCTTACCTGAATAAACATCTGAATCTGATCTGAATCTGAATCTGAGATAGTATAGTATATGCAATACAGTACTGTACTTTAATATTGTCATCAATGGGGAGCAACTGTGGTTTTTGTCGTCGGGCCCACAGCCAGGTCTGGAGTTATACTTTGTGAGGCCCTAAACTATGGGAAGCTGTAGAGGCCCTATATGGTAATTGTTAACAGAGAATAAGGCTGTGCAAAAGTGAACTTGACAATAATACATCAACAGGTGCATAACAGATCAGTGCGGGTTGGGGATAGGGTGGCTTTGTTTGATCCTTCTAGATACAGTATTTTCTTTTAATTATCAAGTTTAAAGAAATTTATTGTTTAAGAAAATAGTACTAGAAATTAGCTCCTAGTGATTAGAGTGAATGAATGTATTGAATTCCTGTGAGTAAAATTCTCTTGTAAAGTTGTAATTGTCTGAAAATATTTACAAACTACAACATATTAACATTGATGAAGTGTCAGAAATCATAGATTTGCAACCGATAAATGATCTTTTGATAAAAAATAAGACTGATAAACCATTTCAACTGATACAATGTTGCAGCTGATGAAATATTACATGCATACACTGATAAAATATAAGAAATAATTCAGTTTACATTTTCTTTAATGCTGTTCTGAACAAGAAATTATTACTTAAGTATAAATTATAATAAAAATGTAATAATGGGGGAAGAAAAGATAATAACATAAAAATATAGGTAACTGCAGAAGGCCTATTGGCCCATAAAAGGCGGCTCCTATTTATAACCATCCAATCAGACTTGTTTACATGTCCAACCCACATTGAAACAATCAAGGGACTCCACCTCCACCAAGTTATGCGGTAATTGGTTCCACAAATCGACAACCCTGTTACCGAACCAGTATTTACCCAGGTCTACATTTTCAATTTTGGTTTGCATTTTCTTTCCTGCTTTCCTAACAAACGGTCATTACTTGCCTAATAAATTATAATAAAAATGTAATAATGGAAAACACACAATTTAGATATAGACGCACCTTTACTTAAGGCCCTAAACTGTAACTTGCTTAGCTTATTCTGAAGCACAGCCCTTGGCATAGGTAGAAACTGGATATGCAATTGAACCAAAGCAGTGTAAGGAATTACTTTCATGTATTTTCTAATCATTTCATAAAATACAGTTGAGCCCTTGGTGGTAGAAGCAAACACGACTCTCGGCTACATGTACAGTATATGCATTACTGGAACATCAGGAAGTATAAATTCACCAGCCACAGTAACAGAGATGGGGCCCCTCAAGTTAGTTTGCTCTGTAGACATGGATAAGCACTGGAACCAGTGCTATAATTACAACATTAACAACTACTTCCACTACAAATACAACTTCTAGATGCCTCGCGTTCATTAAATAAATTATCTTATTTAACAATAAGGTAATCTTATTTTATCTTGATAAACAGTAAGCAAACTGCATATAAACTAGAGCTAGAACAGAGGAAATACGAGTACTGTACATTACACCGACCTGTATACACGAGTCACTGATGATATGTCGGTCATAAAAATGGTAATAATGAAGTGAGCATCTATCTATTACAGCAATAACTCCAGCCAGTATGATATGTACAATACTTTTGCTACAGGGATTTAGTTTCCATTGTGCCTAAGTCTTCTACAGAGGTGGGGGCCAGGTTTTGGCCTGTAGTTTCACAGGCCAAAACACGCTTCCACTACACATAAGGGGCATAACTGGCCGACCCGTCGGTGTTCAAGAGAGGACTTGACAAACACCTTTAAAGGATATCTGATCAACCAGGCTGTTACTCGTACGTCAGGCTGCACGCAGCCACATCCAACAGCCTGGTTGACCACCTCGGCAACGAGGAGGCCTGGTCGACGACTAGGTCGCAGGGTTGTTAAGCCCCGAAATCACCTTCTAGGTAACCTCAAGGTGGTCCCTTTGAGACATGTAGTGGCTTATAAGGGCCTAGCTTGGATTGAATTGGGTGGGAACAACGCTGGCAGCTAACACCAAGGACATGCCAGAAAGGGGCATTTCATTACATTCAATAGTAGCTTTTTATGAAGCCACTAATCACATTCAGCATTTTATTATTATTTGCAAAGTAATTTACTTTTTTCTAAAATATTTTTTCATACAGATTATGAGCACCCACCTGGGGAGCCTATGTGTGTTGACGGCTCTAGATGGAAAATGGACAACTGTAACTGGTGCACCTGCATTAATGGCTCGGCTGCTTGCACCGACAAATTGTGCAGTAAGATTCTGATGAATACTTAAAACCCTAAAATTGAAATCCGTTGGTAATACATGTCCATTGATGTGTCAACAGTGTCTTGATATTTTCTGTGGGGAACCCCTACGGCTCCCTGGAGCTTATCGGGCTAATGTATGTTATGTTAGACCGGGACATTAGCTATGGAGTTCAGACCTACCAGGGACCAGCGCCAGAACCTGGCCCCTTCAGAGAGGTTTCAGGGAAAAATGGCCCTGGAAAACCCCATTATTGTTAGGGGTTTTCCTTATCTGCCATCGACCGGGGTCAGGCACCCAGAAAGGTAAGCATAACAAAACAAACCCCACATGGTAAAAAACAACAAAAAACCGAACAGAGGTAGAAACTCCCTACAATCCCAAGGAAACAATCAATCGATTTACTGCCGTGCCGGCTGTCAGCGCAGCCCTCCCCTCCAAGGGAGGGGGAGGAAGGGCCCCAGACCTCACCGCGCCGGCTGCCTTCAGTTCGTAAGCTAGTGTCAACCGGGATAGACGCTTCTCTGGTCTTAAATTCCTGGGCGGTGTTTGCCTCGTGTGGTGTTCTCTGCTGTCTTTGTGCGGTGGCCAGGAGTACCTCATCAGTGCCGGGGCTGCATGCGCTTAAGGGCTTCCTTCCTTAGGCCCCCTGTGAGTACTGCCCCTGCGTGTCAGGGTTATCTTCTCTGGGGCGTTCGGGAACCGCTCCCGTAGGGGTTCTTGCTGCTCTGCATTTGCCTCGCCCTTGGGGCCAGCTGGGGCTTGGGGGGGGGCCCTTGTTTGACCTTGGGTAGGGAGTGGTGGTGTGCTGGTTAGGGCGTCAAGGTGTTGCGTGGCCTGCCACCTAAGCGGCGACCGGTTCTTGTTGCTTCTGGAGACGGTGTACTTTTGCAGGATTTTTCTTTTGTTTTTGTTTGTCTGGTGGAGGGTCTGCCTCGTGGGTTTATAGTTCCAATGATATTGTTTTGGTGGCTCTGTGCTAGGCCCCCGTGCTTGTACACGTCCCAGGGGATTTTCAGTGTTATCATCTACCCTTGTTTGTTTGGGTTTCTTAACCGGTTAGCAACACCGTGCCCGGGCTTCCCATAGTTGTTACCCTACGGGCCCTGGAAACCCCTGTCGGGGCTCGGGGACTCATGGATGCGTCTCCCAGAGTTCCAGCCTGCCTTGTGCGGGTTTGAAGGTTGCAGTGTGCCCTTGTCTCGGTGACAATCGCCTGTTTTGCCTCAGTCATGCTGCCTGTTGGGTTAACGACACCTTTGACCCGGAGTCTTGCGAGTCATGTTCTCTGCTTGTGCTCCAGTTTTACTGAGGATGTTCCTGTTAGGGTACAGGCAGCATCAGCGTTGCATGTTAGGTTTAGGTTATTGCAATGCGCTAGGTTGGTTTCCCACCCGTATGCCCCGAGGCTGCCCCGTTTTGGTTTTTTGGGACCATGACCTGGGGACGTTAGTCGCTTTGACTTTGGCTCCTGCCGCGCCCCCAGGTCCTTCCCCTGTAGTTCTTCCTGCACCTTCCCCCCCCCCCCCACCTCCTGTGTCTGGCTCCAAAACGTCTGAGGGTTTCGGCCTCGGCACAGGGTTTAGTTGGTAATGACACTTGGGGCTGCCCCATCTGGGTCGGGGACGGAGGCATTTGAGCCAGTTCCTCCTGCCGAGGCTTCTGGGTCCCACCAGCAGACCCCCTTCTTGTCTGCCTTTCCCTTGGACTCGACTGTTTCTTTAGGGGTAGAGGGTTTGGAGGACGGCTCTGCCCCGGGTCCCAACGTGGGGAATCCTGGGGCTGGGCAGGAGTTAACCTGGGGGCTGGGCAGGAGTTAACCTGGGGGCTTTGCTCCGTGTGATCCCGCTTGGGTGCTTTTGTCTCCCTCGCGGGTTGCAGGGGGAAGGGATTTTCTTACCCCCCTTCCTTGTATGAGTATGATTTGGGTTTGGCTCCTCCCCGGGTTCGGTTCCGGGCACCTTTGGGTACCTCGGATCTGTCTTTCCAGAGGTTTTCTACTTCCTGTATCTCCGCGAAGGTGGCTCGGGAAGCTCTTGCTGCATACCTCTTGCGAGACCCGGGTTATGCCTCTGCAATGGATCCGTCTTCATTTGAGTTCGGTTCTTCTTCCCGTTTTTTGGCTGTGTTTGTAGGTTCCAGAGTCTTCCTGGCTGGCAGACTGTCCTTTCTTTTCATTGGGGGCGTGGCATGGGTTCTGTCAGACCCGCATGCTTGATTGGCGGGAAACTTCTACTTTTTTGCAGGTTTACTTGGGGGCGAGTTTGAGCACCTTAATGGGTGCTTGTTCGCTCCCGTGCTTTCTCGGGATGTTGGCCTTTTCCATCTTCATGTTCAGGTTCCTCAGCTTTCGGCTTCGTTGGTTGCAGAGGAGTTGCGCTCCCGTGGGCATTTGGCTTTGGTCTTGCATTCCTTTTCCCTTCTCGAACCGTCTTCTGCTTGGCTTGAGGAGGATGTGGGTGCGTTGAGTGAAGGGCCTTCGTCTGGGGTGCTGACTTTGGCATCTAGGGCATCGGCTGCACTGTTCAAGCTCTTTGCGCCCATCCTGAAGGAAGCGGTGTCTGGTTTTTTTTGCTTCTCGCCTCGTGTGCCATCAGGATGTGCTCGCCCTCTCTTTGCAATCCGCTTGGGCCCTGGCTCTTAGGTTTTCGTCTCCGTTTTGTCCGTTGCTGTTTGCAGAGACTGCGGTCTCTGTTTCTGCATGCGGCTTCATCCAGTTGTTGTCCTATGGCGGACTTGTTGATTCTCCAAAGTGGTCGTTCTCGGCAGTTTCGGAGGGGTCGTGCCAGGGTTCCGGGTTCCGTTGGTCGTGGTGGGCCATTGGTGCCAGTTTGAGCAGTTGTTCCCTTCGGGGCCAGCGTCATCTGGTCAGCACGGTGATTGCCCTGTTCAACGTTTGGGTTCTCGTAAGGGGCGTCGGCCCTTTTGCGGTTCGCCCCGTTGACGGGGCGATGGGGGGGGGAGGCTCGCTCTGTTTGCTCGCGCTTGGTCCCACGATTTGTGGGCCTTTTCGGTCGTGTCATCCGGCCTGCGGTGGCATTGGGCGACTCGTCCTCCTTTGGGGGGATTGGGGCTAACAGGGCAGGTTTCTTCTCCTGCGTTTTGTAAAGTCATCTTGGAGTGGGTGCGCTTGGGCGTGGTCAAAACGACTACATCCCTCAGGTAGGTTTCCCCGTCTGTTTCCAATAAAACGGGACTGTGCGGATCTGAGGTTCATTCTGGACTTGTCCCGTCTGAACCCCTTGGATTCCTTGCCCCTCCTTTCAGATGACTACTGTCTCAGGTCTGGCTTCTGTTGGAGCTGGGTGCCTGGATGGTGTCCCTGGACCTCAAGGATGCCTATTGGCATGTTCCTATTCCGTTTTCGATGCCTACTTTTTGGCTTGAAAATGGCACCTCGCGTTTTCACGCGTCTGACCCGGGTTGTGGTGACCCGTCTGAGTCTTCTAGGGGTTCGGGTTTTGGCCTACCTCGACAACTGGCTGGTGTGTGCTCCCAGTCGGTCAGCTTGTCTGCTTGCCAGGGATATGGTTCTTCCCCAGCTCGCCAGGTTTGGGTTCCTGGTGAACTGGAGGAAGTCCCATCTGGTTCCGTCCCAGGTTCGGACCTGGCTGGGTCTTGTTTGGGATTCTCGGACCACTTCCTTGTCTCTCCCTCCAGAGGCATTGTTGCGGCTGCAGGACCACCGTCTGCTGTTTCTGAGGGGGTCCCAGGTCACTCGGCGGTTGCTCGAGCGGTTATGCGAGAGTCTGAACTTCGCCGTGCTAGTCTACCCGCCTGGTCAGGTTTGGCTTCCGCGTCTGTTTTGGTTCCTTCGGGACGTCCCTTCCACCTCTCTCGCAATCATTAGGTTCGTCCTCTGGGGGCCTTGTGTCGGTTGCTGTGTCACTGGCTTCCTCTTCGGGGTTCGGTGCTTTGGCGCCTTCCCGAGCCCTCGCTGGATGTTTTCACGGACCCGTCGTCTCTCGGCTGGGGCTTTGTGGCCAGTGCTTACCAGGCAGGCCAGGGACGGTGGAGTCCGTCCTTCCGTCGAGCTCACAACACGGTTCGGGAGTTCGCGGCAGTCTGGTTCGCGCTTCGAAGGGTTTGGGTTGCTCAGGGATCGACTATTCGCCTCCATTCGGACTGTTCTCCAGTGGTTCATTGCCTGAACTGCGGGGGTTCTCTTCGGTCCTTGGCTCTTTGGGGTTGGTCTCTTCAAGTGGTTCGTCTGCTGGATTCTCGGGGTTTGGCTCTCCGTGCGGTTCGTGTCCGGGGAGTGTCCAACGTTCTGGTGGACGGTCTGTCACGCTTCCATGCCCTGTCCACGGAGTGGACAGTCGACGACGACTCGTTTCATTCGATCTGCCAGACGTACGATCTCCCAGATGTGGACCTCTTTGCGTCGGCGTGGTCTCGGTGTCTCCCGATTTATGTGACGCCCTTCCTCGACTGCAAGGCGTTCGCAGTGGATGACTTTCGGCAGGACTGGTCGAGGTGGGGTTACCTGTACCTCTTCCCTCCCGGTCCAGCCGTTGCTTCGGGTTCTGGTTCGGTTGGAGACATTCCCAGGGGGAGTAGTCCTTGTTGCCTGTAGGTGGCCGGCCCAGCCTTGGTTTCCGTTGCTATTGGCTCAGTGCCCAAACCCGGGATGTTTCCCCGCGGCTCTGCCTCATTCAGCAGGTCCGCCTGGTCCAGTACAGGGCTGGTTCGAACTTCTCATCTACTCTTCGCGTCTGGTCTCTTTGACGCGGGTGTATCACGATTTCTATGGTGATAGTGACTTCGTTGGTGTCCCACCTGAGAGCTTCGTCTCGGTGACAGTATGAAGTTTCCTGGCGTTCTTTTCGCCATTTTCTTGCTCTTCATAGGTTCTTTTCTTTCGTATCGGGTTGTCTTGTCCTTTCTTTCTTGGCTTTTTCAGGACTGGCATTTGATGCCTAATACTGTCGCCTCGTATTGTGCGGCGCTGGCGGAGCCGCTCAAGCTAGCATTCGGGGTGGACGTCATATCCGCCCCGTTTTGTAAGCTTTCCCGTGCTATGTTTCACCTTCGGCCTGCTCGTGCGCCTCCTGAGCTGTCCTGGTCCTTGGACAGGGTGCTCTCGTATCTTTCCTCTCCATGGTTTGTGGTGACCCCTTTGGTTCCAGATTGTTTTTCCAAGGCTTTGTTTTTGTTGGCATTGGCCTCTGGGGGGCCTGGTAGGGGAGCTTCATGCTTTCCTCCGGCGCAGGGGTTCCTGCTCTTTTGGTCCTGGGGGTAGGTTTGTCCTTGTATACTGTATATGGTAATAATTACAGTATTCGCAAGGTTATTGGAGATGGTATGCTTGTCCAAATATGTTCAAGGCAGACATTTGAGTAATTCTGGTGATTTTTTTGTGACCATAGACATAAGTATACAGATGTCTATGCACCTGAGAAATTTAACAACTTATGGGCTGTTTGGTTGGCATAGGGTAATATTAAAGTATCTCTTTATTATTGGTTTTCATAGTTGGGGACAAAAAGCCTGATGGGCTTATTGAGGTCCCTCTGTAACAACTGACTGCAGTTGTTACTTTTGTTGTTTCCCAGGCTGCATCCCACAAGTCATCTGACTCCTGGGTGAGCAAAGGCATCGGGTGAAAGAAAATAATGGCCAAATTTTGTCCTGTAGTACTGATTTGTCACATCTGTTGCTCGGAAGTTTTAGTTAATACATAATTAGTTGCAGTCCAGTACCTGAAATTGCTGGAGCTAGGTGATGTAGGTGCAGTATTTGGCATGTAATTTCATAGATTGAGATTAGTGTTTAGTGTAATAATACTTTTGATTTACAAAGGTCAAAATTAATACAGTACAGTACTTTGTCAGGTTTGCAAAGAATACCTCTATAATGGTACTCTTAGTACAGTGCCTCAATATGATTGTATCATTTATCTTCCCTAAGCTATATTTAACTCTGTGCCTTTCATTATTAAGAATTACTTGCCTAAATCATTTAATAACCTTTTTTAACAATTCAGATATATTGACTTCCTTCTTGTTTAGTATTAGAGGTCACCCTATTAAACTTATTAATAATTTACCGATGTAAATTATGCATTTAGTGGTTTCACATTAGTTATATTGTGGAGTAACATGATTATTAGTAATAATATTACTATAATTGTGTACCTATGCATACTCATTTGTATTATGTTAAAATTTACTTGATATAAAAAAATTAAGAATTGTTGATTTCCTCTCTATTACAGAGAAGAGTGTACCTAATGGAAGCCTTCCTGACGATGCTATGTGCACACCCGACTCTAGGTGGAAGGACGAGTGCAACTGGTGTTTTTGTGGGGAAACAGGCATTGCAGGATGCACACTAATGGGATGTCCTGACAGTAAGTTGTTCCTCCAGATTTCTTTGTTGCTCCTTGTTTTACAAATTTATTTAAAAGAAGGTATATTGGGTTATGGGTGTACCATGCCTCCCATTTGCATCTAAAGATTCATTGGTGTTCTTACATTCTTGCAATGTAACAGTGCTTCGGGCAAATGTTATATTACGCCAGTCAACTATAATGAATGCCTAAATATCGCCTTCAGGCCTAGCCCCTAACCCAGCCTATAAGCAAATCAAATAATGTAAAAATTGTCATCCAAGAGTGTGTCAAAGGTAATATAATATTATTACCTATATCAATCCTGCCAAACTTGTCAAAAATTTTTGAAAAACTAATCTATAAGCAGCTTTACTCATATCTAGCCAAACTCAATATACTTAGCCCTTGCCAATATGGCTTCAGGCCCAAAAAAAGCACTAACGATGCACTTATTAGTATGCTTAACTCGATTCATACAGCTCTTGATAAAAATGGGTTCCCTGTTGGGTTATTTGTGGACCTGCGTAAAGCTTTCGATACTGTCAACCACCAAAACCTTCTTCTTAAATTACATCATTATGGTGTCAGAGGACACTCCCTACAATACCTCAAATCCTACCTTACTGACAGGCTCCAATGTGTTTCTGTGAATAATACAATTTCTCCCACCCTACCCATCAACATTGGTGTTCCCCAGGGCAGCATACTTGGCCCTCTCCTCTTTCTCATCTACATTAATGACCTTCCAAATGCCTCCCAACACCTCAAACCAATTCTATTTGCTGACGACACAACCTTCATTTACTCCAGTCCTGATCCCCTTGCTCTAAATGCCACAGTAAATACTGAGCTAAATAAAGTCCATCTGTGGCTAACTGCCAACAAACTCACCCTTAACATTGACAAAACTTTCTATATTCTGTTTGGCAATAAATCCTCTAATCAAATAAACCTCAAAATAAACAATACCCAAATTTGTAACAAATTAGATGGCAAATTCCTTGGCATTCTCATTGACCACAAGCTGAATTTCCAGGGACACATTCTAAACATATCAAAAAAAGTTTCAAAAACTGTGGGCATTCTTTCTAAGATCAGATATTATATATGTACCACGCCCTGCCCTGGTGACTCTCTATTACTCCCTTATCTATCCATATCTCAACTATGGTATTTGTGCTTGAGGCTCTACTACCCAAAATCACTTACGTCCTCTAATTACTCAACACAAAGCTGCTATTAGGACAATATCCAATTCTGGCCCCAGACATCACTCGGTACCCCTACTCAAATCTCTGAATATGTTAGACATTAAGTCACTGCACATTCTCTCATGTGTATTATACATATATAAAACGCTAAACTATAATGCCAATCCTGATCTCAAAAGCTTCATAGAAGGTTGTAACAGAACCCATGAGCACCACACCAGAAATAAATACAGTTTTGATATTCCTAGAGTACGACTTAATCAAACCAGAAATGCTCTACAAATCAAGGGGCCCAGAATGTGGAATGACCTTCCCAACCATGTTAAAGACTGTACCTCTCTCAACCAGTTTAAGTTAAAAACGAAGCTATACCTAATAAATTCCCTGTAACCTACCTTACCCCTCTATTGTCAACCCATGTATGTTTTTTGTTTTTTTTTGTTTTTCAAATCAACGCTGTTTGAATGTATTTTTCTGTAATAATTTGTAATTGTATTTGTGCTGCTTTTTCAACAATGTTCCCCCCTCTTTTACCTCTATTTTTATTTGTACTCAACACATTTTGTTCTTTTTACCCATTAGTTTTAAGCTTTAGTCATTAGTGTTTTTTCCTGCCTGAAACGCTTTGCGTAATAGTGGCTTTAGGCATTGTATGTACTAGCTCTATCTATAAAGCCAACAAACTTTGTAAAATCTCTATGTATGTACCTTTACCTAAATAAATATTATTATTATTATTATTATTATTATAAGCAAGACTAACTAAAGTACCTATAATAAGTTAATACTATATTTACAAAGAAGAAATGGCTACATATAACCACGATACACTGGTGCAGTATTGATTATAATGGAACCAGAAAATTCTCAATTTCAGTATGCAGAATTTACATAAAATATCAGTTTCAAAAAAGGAATACCATATATTTCATGGTAATCAATCATTTCTCATATGTAATGCAGTATAATAAGAAGTAATAATAGACAGAATGATGTTCACCATAAGCCTAGCCTACCCTGTTAATTTTTGCCTATGTTTTGCTATGAATATTTACGATGCCTCCCATTTGCATCTAAAGAGTCTAATTTTGCATACAGCATGTCACCTTAGCAATGTGTCTAATTACTAACTCTCCATTATGCAAATTAAAACATTTTCACATTAAAGTTTGACTGTCCCTAGTCATGACACGTGTGCATTATTCAGATGTCCTAGTGAACATTGTGCAGAGATAGTATAGTATATGCAATACAGTACTGTACTTTAATATTGTCATCAATGGGGAGCAACTGTGGTTTTGTCGTCGGGCCCACAGCCAGGTCTGGAGTTATACTTTGTGAGGTCCTAAACTATGGGAAGCTGTAGAGGCCCTACATGGTAATTGTTAAGAGACTGCCATGCAGTCTGAAGTTATTCTTCAGTTTCTAGTGGTGGTTTTATAATTGAAAAAATACTGTATGGTAATAATTACAGTATTCGCAAGGTTATTGGAGATGGTATGCTTGTCCAAATATGTACAAGGCAGACATTTGAATAATTCTGGTGGTTTTTGTGACCATAGACATTGTGACAATGTCCTATAATAAGTTGCGGTGCAAAAGTGAACTTGACAATAATACATAAACAGGTGCATAACAGATCAGTGCGGGTTGGGGATAGGGTGGCTTTGTTTGATCCTTCTAGATACAGTATTTGCTTTTAATTATCAAGTTTAAAGAAATTTATTGTTTAAGAAAATAGTACTAGAAATTAGCTCCTAGTAATTAGTGAGTGAATGCATTGAATTCCTGTGAGTAAAATTCTCTTGTAAAGTTGTAATTGCTTGAAAATAAAATGTAATTTACAAACTACAACATATTAACATTGATAATGTCAGAAATCATCGATTTGCAACTGATAAATGATCTTTTGATAAAAAATAAGACTGATAAACATTTCAACTGACACAATGTTGCAGCTGATGAAATATTACATGCATACACTGATAAAACATAAGAAATAATTCGGTTTACATTTTCTTTCCTGCTTTTCTGAAAAAGAAATTATTACTTAAGTATAAATTATAATAAAAATGTAATAATGGGGGAAGAAAAGATAATAACAAATATAGGTAACTGCAGAAGGCCTATTGGCCCATAAAAGGCAGCTCCTATTTATAACCATCCAATCGGACTTGTTTACATGTCCAACCCACATTTGAAACAAGCAAGGGACCCCACCTCCACCACATTATGCGGTAATTGGTTACACAAATCGACAACCCTGTTACCGAACCAGTATTTACCCAGGTGTACATTTTCAATTTTGGTTTGCATTTTCTTTCCTGCTTTCCTTACAAACGGTCATTACTTGCATATAAATTATAATAAAAATGTAATAATGGAAAACACACAATTTAGATATAGACGCACCTTTACTTAAGGCCCTAAACTGTAACTTGCTTAGCTTATTCTGAAGCACAGCCCTTGGCATAGGTAGAAACTGGATATGCAAATGAACCAAAGCAGTGTAAGGAATTACTTTCATGTATTTTCTAATCATTTCATAAAATACAGTTGAGCCCTTGGTGGTAGAAGCAAACACGACTCTCGGCTACATGTACAGTATATGCATTACTGGAACATCAGGAAGTATAAATTCACCAGCCACAGTAACAGAGATGGGGCCCCTCAAGTTAGTTTGCTCTGTAGACATGGATAAGCACTGGAACCAGTGCTATAATTACAACATTAACAACTACTTCCACTACAAATACAACTTCTAGATGCCTCGCGTTCATTAAATAAATTATCTTATTTAACAATAAGGTAATCTTATTTTATCTTGATAAACAGTAAGCAAACTGCATATAAACTAGAGCTAGAACAGAGGAAATACGAGTACTGTACATTACACCGACCTGTATACACGAGTCACTGATGATATGTCGGTCATAAAAATGGTAATAATGAAGTGAGCATCTATCTATTACAGCAATAACTCCAGCCAGTATGATAGGTACAATACTTTTGCTACAGGGATTTAGTTTCCATTGTGCCTAAGTCTTCTACAGAGGTGGGTGCCAGGTTTTGGCCTGTAGTTTCACAGGCCAAAACACGCTTCCACTACACATAAGGGGCATAACTGGCAGACCCGTCGGTGTTCAAGAGAGGACTTGACAAACACCTTTAAAGGATATCTGATCAACCAGGCTGTTACTCGTACGTCAGGCTGCACGCAGCCACATCCAACAGCCTGGTTGACCACCTCGGCAACGAGGAGGCCTGGTCGACGACTAGGCCGCAGGGTTGCTAAGCCCCAAAATCACCTTCTAGGTAACCTCAAGGTGGTCCCTTTGAGACATGTAGTGGCTTATAAGGGTCTAGCTTGGATTGAATTGGGTGGGAACAATGCTGGCAGCTAACACCAAGGACGTGCCAGAAAGGGGCATTTCATTACATTCAATAGTAGCTTTTTATGAAGCCACTAATCACATTCAGCATTTTATTATTATTTGCAAAGTAATTTACTTTTTTCTAAAATATTTTTTCATACAGATTATGAGCACCCACCTGGGGAGCCTGTGTGTGTTGACGGCTCTAGATGGAAAATGGACAACTGTAACTGGTGCACCTGCATTAATGGCTCGGCTGCTTGCACCGACAAATTGTGCAGTAAGATTCTGATGAATACTTTAAATTCTAAAATTATAATCCCTTGGTAATACATGTCCATTGATGTGTCAAGTGTCTTGATATTTCTTGCTGATTACATGTACTGTATTTGGTTTTTGTGTCCTAGGTACCATCAGTACTTGTCTACACTAGGCAAGAGGAAGGTCCTCCTGACTTCTCCAGGTGGCTGGTTGGTTTCTCTTGTACAGGTGCTCAACAAGTTTATGGTGTGGCTTGCTTTGTGGTATCCACATTTTCTCTGGGCTCTGTGCTCATGCTCTGTTCTGACTTCTTCCTAGCATTTCACTTTCTTAATTGGTGTTCATTGTGTTAGGCCCTTCCTTGGGCTGTGCTCAACTGTTTTGTAGTATCCTTGTGGGTAATGTTGTGTGTTGTCATGGGCAATTTTCTCACTTCCATCAGTTCTCAGAGTGGGCAGTCATCGATGCATCATATTGTTGGTTCTGCAAGACTTTTGATGGCCCTAAAGTGCTCTTCTGCCTTTGCACTGGAATTGATGGTTTTCTTTCTGTGGCTTGATTTCCAGCTCACTATCTCTGTGGTTGCCTTTTGGCTGCCTGGAGCCAAATGGAGTTACTTTTGATTCATGGACCTGCCTGAGCATTACACAATACTTGCTTACACAAGGACCTGCCCAAAATGCTGTGTTAGTGGCTTCGCAAGAATGTAAAGACATCAATGCTATGTACTCTCATTAACCCAATGTACCTTCTTGTGTATATGAAAAAATAAATCTTTGGTGGTTGAGTGATGTTGTTCAGGCTTTTTGGGTCCAGTGTCTGGGCCCTCCTTGTTCTTCCATGGCACCATCTTTTTCCTGGGATCATGCTGCAGTTATTTGCTGATTTATGGCTTTATGCTGTTCTTAGTGTTCTGAATATACTAGGGTTGTTAGCCTCTGGTTCTGGTGCATTGTCTGGTTTCTCTCTTGCTGTCTTGTTTGCTGTATCTGATTTTACACTTCTCCATACTAGGTGAATCTCGTTTACTTTTTGTTCTGTGGCGAGATGGGCCACAGGGAGCCTCCGTAGGAGTCCGTTCAGAAAATTAGCCTTTAATTTAATGAATCGCCTCTTTCAGGTGGATCTCTCGGTGGCTCTCTGATCCTTCCTTTCATCTTTCAGGTATGTTGGTACCCATTTGTTGGCTCTTGACTGGTGGGTCGACACCAGTCAGAATGGGAGCTCCCAAGGCTGCCACCTGATGGTGGGAGGTGCAACTAGTGGGGAAATAGCATGTGTGCCTAGTTAGTTTTTCACAACCTTGCTATTGTCCATTTTACTTCACTCTACCTTTCTGGTGGCTTCTTCCCTTAACATTTAACATCCTTGTACTTCTTTGAGTGGACTGTGTTTAATCTGCCTTTGATCTTGGACAGCCTTTTTATGGCTCGTAAGGGTCTGGTGTGACAGCACTATTACATTCAATGCTATTTTCTTAAGATTTTATTTTATTCAATGTAATTTTATTGATGTATGTGCAGATAAGTAATATTCATCATAAAAAAATGGTTGTAAAATAAACATCCATAGAAAAAATTTATGAATGGGAATATCTGTAAGCATGTGACATTGTGCTTTGTCCCAATTATGAGTTACAAAGATACTGTAAAATACAGATGATTTTATCTTGAATCGAGAAATTAATACTGCAACATTTTATAACTTCCCTAACTTCACCTCCCTCCCGCCTATTGCTATTTGTGTAGTGTTGACTTAGTAGTATCTCACATACAGTTGAGCGTATTCCTGGTAGAAGCCTTCCTGATGATGCCCAGTGTGTGCCAGGATCTCGCTGGAAGGACAAGTGCAACTGGTGTAACTGTGGGGAAAATGGCAATGCAGGATGCACAGAAAAGGGTTGTCCTGACAGTAAGTTATTCCTCCAGATTTCTTTGTTGCTCCTTGTATTACAAATTTATTTAAAAGGTACATTGGGTTGTGAGGGTACATAACCTTGGTGTTCTTACATTCTTGCAAAGCCACTAATATGCATAGTGCTTCAGGCAAATGTTATATTACGCCAGTCAACTATAATGAATCCCTAAATATCTCCTTCAGGCCTAGCCCCTAACCCAGCCTATAACTGAATAAAATAATGTAAAAATCGTGTCGTCCAAGAGTGTCAGATGTAATATAATAAAGACTAACTAAAGTACCTATAACAAGTTAATACTATATTTACAAATTAGAAATGACAACATATAACCAGGAAACACTAGTGCAGTATTGATTATAATGTAACCAAAAAATTCTAAATTTCAGTATGCAGAATTAGCATAAAATATAAGTTTACATATTTAACAATGTTTAAGAAATTTGCTATCATTTTATTCCAGCATAGTTGAAGCAGTTGAGTGGTAAGGTTTGTGATGTTGTGTACCTTGACTTTATCAAAGGTTTTGATACAGTGCTATGTGAAAAGACTTTAAAAAGAGACTCATGGTATTGGGGGTGATATATTAAGTTGGATTAGGGCATGACTATACCAAAGGAAACAGTTACAGGTAGTATAAATGGGGTTAAATCAGAGTGGGAAAATATTGTAAGTGGAGTGCCATAAGTCTGTCCTGGGACCTCTGTTATTCATAATATGCATAAATAATTTAGAATCGGGTTTGAGCAGCAATATGTGCAAATCTCCTGATAAAAAATCGGGAGAGGGGTGGAATAAACATGGAGAAAGACTCGCTACCACTTAGACGATCTAAATAGGGTTTTGAAATGGTCAGGATTGTAAGGTGCAGTTTAATACCGACAAATCTACAGTGATTTAGTATCCACTGTGCCTAAGGCTTCTGTAGTGGGTGGGGGCCCAGGTTTTGGCCTGTGGTCCCTTTGAAGCAGTGCCTTACAAGGGCCTGGCTTGGATTGAATTGGGTGGAGCTTTGCTGGCAGTTAACACCAAGGACGTGCCAGAAAGGGGCATTTCATTACATTTAATGGTAGCTTCTTAAAAAGCCATTAATCACATTCAGCATTTTATTATTATTTACAAAGTAATTTACTTTTTTCTAAAATAATTTTTCATTTTCATACAGATTATGAGCACCCACCTGGGGAGCCTGTGTGTGTTGACGGCTCTAGATGGAAAATGGACAACTGTAACTGGTGCACCTGTAGAAATGGCTCGGCTGCTTGCACCGAAAAATTGTGCAGTAAGATTCTTATGAATATTTAAAACTCTAGATAGAAATCCCTTGGTCATACATGTCCATTGATGTGTCAAGTGTCTTTATTTTTTTGCTAAATATTTGATTTTTGTGTTCGGGGTACCTTCAGTAATTGTCCACACTAGGCAAGAGGAAGAAGGTCCTCTGACTTCTTCAGGTGGCTGGTTGGTTTCTCTTACACAGGTGCTCAGCAAGTTCACTGATGTGGCTTGCTTTGTGGTATCCACATTTTCCCTGGGCTGTGTGTTCATGCTCTGTTCTGACTTCTTCCTAGCATTTCACTTTCTTCATTGCTGTTGATTCTGTTAGGTCCTTCCTTGGGCTGTGCTCAACTCTTTTGTAGTATCCTTGTGGGTAATGTTGTGTTGTCATGGGCAGTTTTCTCACTTCCATCAGTTCTCCGAGTGGGCAGTCATTGATGCATCATATTGTTGGTTCTGCAAGACTTTTGATGGCCCTAAAGTGCTCTTCTGCCTTTGCACTGGGTTTGATGGTTTCCTTTATGTAACTTGATTTCCAGCTCACTATCTCGGTGATTGTCTTCTGGCTGCCTGGAGCCAATGGGAGTTATTTTGATTCTTGGACCTGCCTGAGCATTACACAATGCTTGCTCACAAAGGGGACCTGCCTGAAGCACTATGTGTGTTAGTGACTTTGCAAGAATGTAAAAAAATCAATGTCATGTACTCTCACTAACCCAATGTACCTTCTTTATATATAAAGATACATTGGATCTAAATCTATATATCTATTTGTACCTCTTGTCTACATCTTTGTCTACATCTCTCTCGCGTAGCCAGAACGCACTTCTTGGCCTACTATGCAAGGCCTGATTTGCCTATTAGGCCAAGTGATTTTCTTTATTTTACAAAAATGTTTCCAATTGCTTTATTTGAATTATTATTATATTATACTAGGAATATTAACATATCTAGGTCAATAATTTGTTTAGGTTTAGGTTTGGTTGGGTTATCTTGAGGTTATCTTGAGATGATTTCGGGGCTTTAGTGTCCCCGCGGCCCGGTCCTCGACCAGGCCTCCACCCCCAGGAAGCAGCCCGTGACAACTGACTAACACCCAGGTACCTATTTTACTGTTAGGTAACAGGGGCATAGGATGAAAGAAACTCTGCCCATTGTTTCTCGCCGGCGCCCGGGATCGAACCCGGGACCACAGGATCACAAGTCCAGCGTGCTGTCCGCTCGGCCGACCCGAGGTTAAGTTCGTAGGGTAGGTTAAGTTTGGTCATATATCTACATTAGTTTTAACTTGTCTTAAAAAAATGAACTCTTACATATGAAATGATAAAGCTATCAATTTCATTAAGAACAAAAAAAAAAAAAAAAAAAAAAATATATAAAAATTCAGGAAAACCTGGCTTATTAGACAAATCGAACCTTGCATAGTAGGCAGAATACTGCGTTCTGGCTACTAGGTACAACATTATATATGTGTGTGTGTGTGTGTGATATATATATATTCACTATGTATTTTATGTTAAATAATTAAGAGATTCCTTGGTGGCTGGGTGTGTTGTTTCAGGCTCTTTGGGTCCATTTTGTGTCCTGCTCGTTCTTCCTTGGCACCATCTCTTTCCTGGAATCATGCTGCAGTTATTTGCTGATTTGACTGTCTGCTGTTCTTTGTGTTCTGAATTTACTAGGGTCTTCAGCCTCTGGTTCTGATGCATTGTCTGGTTTCTCTTGCCGTCTTGTTTGCTGTATCAGATTTCACACTTCTCCATACCATGCGTATCTCATTTACGTTTTGTTCTGTGGCAAGATGGGCCACAGGGAGCCACCATGGGAGTCCTCTCAGAAAATCAGCCGTGAATTTAATGAATCGCCTCTTTCAGGTGGATCTCTCGGTGGCTCTCTGATCCTTCCTTTCATCTTTCAGGTGTGTTGGTAGCCTTATGTTGGCTCTTGACTGGTGGGTCGACACCAGTCAGAATGGGAGCTCCCAAGGCTGCCACCTGATGGTGGGAGGTGTAACTAGTGGGGAAATGGCATGTGTGCCTAGTTTTTCTCATTAACCTTGCTATTGTCCATTTTAGTTAACTCTCCCTTTCTGATGGCTTCGTCCCTTAACATTTAACATCCCTTATACTTCGAGTGGACTGTTTGATCTGCCTTTGATCTCAGCCTTTTTATGGCTCATAAGGGCCTTGTGTGACAGCACTTTATTACATTCTTAATTTATTTTATTCAATGTGATTTTTATTGATGCATGTGCAGACAAGTATATTCTTAGTCATAAAAAATGGTTGTAAAGTGAACATTCATAGAAAAAAAATTATTAATGGGAATCTGTAATCATGTGACATTGTGCTTTGTCCCAATTATTTGAGTTATCAAGATAGTACTGTAAAATACAGATGATTTTTTATCAAATCGAGAAATTAATACTGCAGCATTTCATAACTTTCCTAACTTCACCTCCCTCCCGCCTATTGCTATTTGTGTAGTGTTGACTTAGTAGTATCTCGCTTACAGTTGAGCGTATTCCTGGTAGAAGCCTTCCTGATGATGCCCAGTGTGTGCCAGGATCTCGCTGGAAGGACAAGTGCAACTGGTGCAGCTGTGGGGAAAATGGCGATGCAGGATGCACAAAAAAGGGTTGTCCTGACAGTAAGTTATTCCTCCAGATTTCTTTGTTGCTCCTTGTATTACAAATTTTTTTAAAGTAAATTGGGTTGTGAGGGTACATAACCTTGGTGTTCTTACATTCTTGCAAAGCCACTAATAAGCATAGTGCTTTGGGCAAATGTTATATTACGCCAGTCAACTATAATGAATCCCTAAATATTGCCTTCAGGCCTAGCCCTCAACCCAGCCTATAACTGAATAAAATAATGTAAAAATTGTCATCCAAGCAGGTCAGATGTAATATAAGCAAGACTAACTAAAGTACCTTTAACAAGTTTACCTTTAACAAGTTCAAGTTTTCTATATTTACAAAGAAGAAATGGCTACATATAATCACAATACACTGGTGCAGTATTGATTATAATGTAACCAGAAAATTATAAATTTCAGCATGCAGAATTAGCATAAAATGTAAGTTTATATATTTAACAATGTTTAATGTTTAACAAATTTGCTATCATTTTATTGCAGCATAGTTGAAGCAGTTGATAGTGGTATACGGTTTGTGATGTTGTGTACCTTGACTTTATCTAAGATTTTCATACATTGCCACATGAAAAGACTGTTTAAAAAGAGACTCATGGTATTGGGGGTGCTAAATTAAGTTGGATTAGGGCATGACTATACCAAAGGAAAGGTTACAGATAGTATAAATGGGGTTAAATCAGAGTGGGAAAATGTTGTAAGTAGAGTGCCATAAGTCTGTCCTGGGACCTCTGTTATTCATAATATATATAAACGATTTAGGTTTGAGCAGCAATATATGCAAATTTGCAGATACAAAAATTGGGGGGGGGGAATAAACACGGAGAAAAACTCGCTATCACTTAGATGATCTAAATAGTGTTTTGAAATGGTCAAAAGATTGTAAGATGCAGTTTAATGCTGATAAATCTACAGTGGTTTAGTATCCACTGTGCCTAAGGCTTCTATAGCAGTGGGGGCCAGGTTTTGACCTGTGCTCACTTTTGAAGCATACAGTGCCTTACAAGGGCCTGGCTTGGATTGAATTGGGTGGAGCTTTGCTGGCAGTTAACACCAAGGACGTGCCAGAAAGAGGCATTTCATTACATTTAATGGTAGCTTCTTAAAAAACCACTAATCACATTCAGCATTTTATTATTATTTACAAAGTAATTTACTTTTTTCTAAAATAATTTTTCATTTTCATACAGATTATGAGCACCCACCTGGGGTGCCTGTGTGTGTTGACGGCTCTAGATGGAAAATGGACAACTGTAACTGGTGCACCTGTAGAAATGGCTCGGCTGCTTGCACCGAAAAATTGTGCAGTAAGATTCTGATGAATACTTAGAACCCTAGATAGAAATCCCTTGGTCATACATGTCCATTGATATGTCAACAGTGTCTTGATATTTTTTTGCTGAATATTTGGTTTTTGTGTACTAAGTACCTTCAGTACTTGTCCACACTAGGCAAGAGGAAGGTCTTCTGACTTCTCTAGATGGCTGGTTGGTTTCTCTTGTACAGGTGCTCAGCAAGTTCACTGTGATGTGGCTTGCTTTGTGGTATTTGCCTTTTTATCTGGGCTCTGTGCTCATGTTCTGTTCTGACTTCTTCCCAGCATTTCACTTTCTGCATTGCTGTTGTGTTAGGCCCTTCCATGGGCCTAACACATTTTGTAATTTTGTTTTTGTTTTTTTGTAATTTTGTTTGTTTTGTCTCAACTGTTTTGTAATATTGTTGTAATTACCTTAGTGTAGTTACAGGATGAGAGCTACTCTTGTGGTGTCCAATCTACCCAGCACTCCTTGTCATATAATGCTTTGAAACTACAGATGGTTTTGACCTCGATCACCTTCTCACTTAACTTGTTCCAACCGTCTACCACTCTGCTTACAAAAGTGAATTTGCTTATATTTCTCCTGCAGCTTTGTTTCATTAGTTTAAATCTGACCTCTTGTTCTTGAAGTTCCAGGTCTCGGGAATTCTTCCCTATCAATTTTGTCAATTCGTTATTATTTTGTACGTACGGTCATATCGCCTCTTTTTCTTGTCTTCTAGTTTTGGCATATCTAATGCCTCTAACCTCTCTTCGTAGCTCTTAACCTTCATTTCTGGGAGCCACTTGGTGGCATGTTGTTGCACCTATTCCAGTTTGTTGTTGTGCTTAAGATATGGGCACCATACAACCTCTGCATATTCCAGAGGTCTAACAAAAGTTGTGAACAATTTCTTTAATATTTCTCCATCCATGTATTTAAAAGCAATTCTGAAGTTAGAAAGTGTAGCATAGGCTCCTCGCACAACGTTCTTTGTGGTCCTCAGGTGATAGTTTTCTATCTAGAACCACTCGGATATCTTTATTAGAATTCTGTAAAGATTTCTCGCCTAATTGATAGGTTGTGGGGTGTTCTCCTATTCCACATTCCATAACATGGCATTCATTCACATTAAGCTCCATTTGCCATGTGGTGCTCCATATACTTATTTTGACCAGGTCTTCTTGGAGGGCATTACAATCATCTAAGTTTATCCTTCCTATTATCTTAAAAGCAAACATGTTCAAATAATTCTTTATTCCATCTGGTAGATCATTTATGTAGACAATGAACATCACCGGTGCAAGAACTGAACCCTGTGGTACTTCACTTGACATTCCTCCAGTCCAATACATTGCCTCTGATTACTGCCCTCATTTTTATATCGGTCAGAAAATTTTTCATCCATGTTAGCTTACCTGTCGCCCCTCCTATATGTTCCAGTTTCCAGAACAACCTCTTGTGTAGAACTCTATCGAAACCTTTTTGTAGGTCCAGATAGATGCAGTCAACCCATCCTTCTTTCCTGTAAAAAATCTGTGGCTCGATTATAGAAACGGAGTAAGCTCGATACACAAGATCTTCCAGATCGAAAAACATACTGTCTGTCTGATATATCATTTCTCTCCAGGTGTTCTACCCATTTAGTTTTTATTATTTTTTCCAATATTTTGACTATTACACTTGTCAATGATACAGGTCTATAATTGAGGGGGGTCTTCCCTGCTGCCACTTTTGTAGATTGGAACTGTTAGCCTTTTTCCACACTACTGCTACAACTCCTGTACACAGGGATGTCTGAAAAATCAGCTGAAGTGGAATGCTGAGCTCAGGTGCGCATTCTCTCAGAACCCATGGTGAAACTCCATCTGGACCAACAGCTTTGTTCTTACTTGGTTCCTTGAGCATTTTTTCCACTTCGTCTCTAGACACCTCTATGTGCTCTGTTGTTCTTTGGAAGTCTTGTCTGGTTCCCTGAAGATTTCATTTTGCACACACACTTTAGAACTTTTCGTTTAATGTTTCACACATTTCCTTTTCATTTTCTGTGAATCTGTTTCCCATTTTCAACCTCTGAATATTATTCTTTACCTGCAATTTGTTTATGAATTTATAGAATAGGCCTGGTTCTGTTTTACATTTGTCCGCAATCTTTCAAAAAAAATTTCTGCCTCTCTCCTCGCTGCCATGTAGTTGTCTCGCATCTTTGTATTGCCAATATGTTTGGGGGTTTGGCCTCTTCCTATATTGATTCCATTTTTGTGACTTGAGGGGGAGTTCTGCTCTTGCAGAGTTCAGTATTCCTTCTACAGCCTTGGAGTTCCATCCACTTACTACTTTCCTGGCCTCGAAGTTCTCCCATCAACTCATCCTCCCAAACAAACCTGCAATTCCCATTGACATGCCAATAAAAATGTTTCCCTACTAACATATAACTAAAATATATTCGCACACAATAAGTGTCTTCACTCGACATCTCTTTAAACTCTCGCACGTCGCGAAGGAGACTCCCCTGTTCGGACGAATCCATGCTCCGCCTCCCTCGGGGCAGCCCACCGCCCTCGAGGCTACCTGCCGCGCCTCCCTCGGTCAGCCTTTGGCCTCCGGACAGGGTGGATGCGTCACTCCGCCCTCCAGGTAGTCACCTCATCTTTACTCTTATTTAAACTTTCTGCCTTAATAAAACATATCTAATGTATCCATAAACACTTGCCACGATCGCTGGACACACGGTCAACTACAGGTAATCGCTAACAACTGGTTAAAATGACTTGCCACAGAATTTTTCACTTGAGGGCACTCACTCGCTGACTCTCGACAGGGCACACACAGGCTGCCCACGAAAATACTTCAGGACTGCTCCACCATGCTTCCTGCAGTCCCCGACTTGAGTTCACTCATTTCCAGACCGATTCCACAAACGAAACGTCTGCTCACTTCCTTCCTCTTGAAGGTATATCAATTAGGGGTTTCTTCTCTAACAGGAGCTCAACGGAGCGCGACCTTCCCTTTGCGATTTCTGCTGCTCAAGTGACCAGCAAGCCTCACCTTCTCAACAAACTCTAGACATCTCATGTCAAGTCATTTATTTACATATTTATTCACTGCCCATGCTTTTAAACTATTCATCAATATTACCCAAGTATTTAATACAGTATATATATTCCCATATCTATCTTTCCTTTGACCGCTAAGTTGGGTCAGGTTTGCTAAATAACTCTCACAGGGGGTAGACTCGTTTTTCAAGCTACTTGGGATCATAATGTATATATGTGCACATGTATATATGTGCATATATGTATATATGTGCATGTATATGTATGTACAAAATATAAGAATATTTGGTGGCTGGGTGTGTTGTGCTTAAAGTTCCTTGGGTCCATTGTTTGGGTCCTGCTTGTTCTTCCATGGCACCATCACGTTCCTGGGATCATGCTGGTTATTTGCTGGTTTGACTCTATGCTGTTCTTTGTTTTGGATTTACTAGGGTCTTCAGCCTCTGGTTCTGATGCATTGTCTGGTTTCTCTCTTGCTGTCTTGTTTGCCGTTTCTGATTTTACACTTCTCCATACCAGGCATATCTCATTTACTTTTTGTTCTGTGGTGAGATGGGCCACAGGGAGCCACCATGGAAGTCCTCTCAGAAAACCAACCTTGAATTTAATGCTAATAAGAGCTCGGGTAGAATATAGATTGAGCTCACTATAATCAGCTGCCCGTGTGATAGCTGGTGGTTTGCCGGTTCCAATTCCAAACACTCGCTATCTGACTCAGGCTCTGCAAGTTCTGCTAGGGATGATAAAATATGACTTCCAGATTGAAAATAATTTAAGTATTGCTTAGTTACTTGCCTTTGGTGCTTTTTAATTCTGATTATTCCATTTGGCTAATTACGTATTTTCCTATTTACTTTTATGCTAATCAGTTAAGCCTGAAGAACAATGTACTGAAGGAGAATCTTGGAGAGACGACTGCAATGTATGCCACTGCTCGAATGGACGTGCCATTTGTACCAAAAAGGCTTGTGTAACACCAGTTAAACGCAGCCAGCCATGTCTAGGAGAAACGTAAGAATTTTCTGAATTGCTATTCTTGTAACCAGATGGGAATTTTGGAAAGAGTTTCTTGTAAAATTTTGAGAAAGTTTGGGACTCTAATTTGGTTTTCTGTTAACATATTAAAACTTTAGCTCAGCCCTTAGTTGTGTAAAATCTATGTATACTGTAAATGATCTTTTAATATTGTCATTATGGGTACATCTAATCATGACATAAAAGGGAATAAAGGTCAAGAAAAAGCATGCACTAAAAAATATAACTTCTCAGAAATGGAGTGTGGATAATTGTGTCTTCTGGTGCAATGACTGCAATGTATACTGTGTGTGTACACTAAGGTTTGTTTTCTTGTACAGTACATACAGCACACTGCTGGTGCCTTTCACAGCCATGCCTGGTGCTGCATTCGTTCTTGGTTCCTATTGGTGAGCATCCATTGTGCTTGGATTATGTGCTTGGTCTTTATCTTCGGATGCTGGTATGCCCTGTGGATCTTTGGAGTGGATTTAAGTTAACCTTTCCTGCACTTGCTACTTGACATTCCGAGGAATATCCATTGGTTTACCTACATGCTGATGGTCATTTTTTCTGTCTTGGCCATGCTGCTTGTTGGATGGATGATATTTGTTAGGTTCAGATAAATGCAGCCAACCCAACCATCTTTCCTGTAAAATCTGTGGCTCTATCATAGAAATTAAGTAGATTTATTGCACAGAATCTTCCAGATTTAAAACTATACTATCTGTTGTCTTTTTCTTCAGCTGTTCTACCCATTTGATTTTAATTATTTTTTCCAATATTTTGAACTTAAACTTTTCAATGATAAGGTTTATAATTAAGAGGGTCTTTGCCTCTGCAGTTCTGTAGATTGGAACTATGATGGCCTTTTTCAAGGTGTGTGAAAACGTTTACTGTAGGATTTGTCATCTGTATGCCATGCAGGTCCCACTGCTTCTTGGCCAAGTGCCGGCCATTCTTTAACTTTATCCTGCAGGGGCCATTTGCTTGGTATTCTTCTCGTTTTAGTTCTGTGCCCTGATTTGTTTTATCAGAGTTACCTAAGGGCCACTGCCACTAGTAATGGGAAGGAAGCCATCAGCTTGTCAAAGCCCCCCCCCCCCTCCATTTGCCTTGCTCTTTTTTTCCAGTTTGATTTTGAAATTCAAGAGTCTTAGCATTTATAGCTTCAGTGGGATGGAGGTTCTGTGGGTTTATAACCCTGTGGGTGAACAAAGCATCTCCTGGTCAGTCCAGTATTGTGACTTGCCGAGCTTGAAACCGTTGCTCCTCGTTTGTCACAGTAGACCTTTAGAAGAAAATTTTCTGGATCAACATCCACCAAATTGTTCAGTATTTTAAGTTTCAGTGAGATCTGCCCTGTCATGCCTGGTTTGTAGTGTTAGCCCCGTGGCCCTTGACCGTTCCTGATAAGAGATGATTTGGCTTGTTTCACTAGTGTGACGGGAAATGTTGGGGGGGGGGGACTCCAACTCTGCCCCAGTGACTATGGTTTCCGGAGCTTGGGGTAGTCGGATAGGGATCCTTGGGTTCCCATGTACCTCACTTGGACCTTCATCCCCTCCAACAAAGGGCTTTTGCTTCAGGAGGTGGGGTTTTTATATCCCTCTTACGTGTACATGTTTAATATAAATGCGACTCGCCAGGGTTCGTTTCCACTTGCCTCTCGGCGATCAGATCTGTCCTTGCTAAGGTTTCTTTCCTCTTGGATCATCCTTTCCCCCTTCAGTGACTGGCAGGTCTTTTAAAGTATCTCTTGCAAGACAGTTTGCATCTGATAGACCCTGCCTTTCTTGAGTTTGGGCCTCCTTCACCATACTGGCTGTGCTCTGAGGTCCAGAAGTTTTCCTGGCTAGATGATGATCTCTTTCTTCCCCCTGGGGCTGGTGTGGCTTCTCATTCCTGCATGCTAGTGGTGTGAGGTTTTGACTACTGTATTGTATTCCAGGTGTTTTTGGCTGCTTCTTTTGAACTCCTGACTTCCTGTTTGCTCCTGCTTTTTCCTTGGATGTGGGGTTGTTGCATCTGTGCCCAGTTGCCTTTGCTATCGGCAGCTATTGTGACAGATGACTTGCAGGCCCACTCGCACCTGGCTAGAGTCGTGCTTTTCTTGGCACTCGTGAAGTTTTATACTAACCGGCTATGCGAGGACATGGGTGCACTTGGCTCTGGTGCGGGCGCCTTGGTTTTATGTTGAAGTGAAAAGGGGAATTTGTCAAATGGCACAGTGTCTGATCATTCCTTGGATGTATTAGAGTACCAATCAAAGCATGAAGGATGATAGTTTTAGTCTAGTAATACATTGCCAACAGCCGTCATTAGAAATTCACTAAAGTAACTTGTAAAATAAAATTGGAAGTGTGTAAAATAATTAATAGAAATAGAAGTGCAGCAGACAACTGATCATTTCACACAACTTCCTGGGATTGTTATAAGAAGCAGAGAGGAAAATTTATAGAGGGATGAATGTACCAAAAGCTTGTACTCATGCTGGGTCCACATTTCTTAAGCTTCTAAGATGTCACAGAATTTTTCAAGTTTTCAAATGGATGTAAACTAACAAAAATACACTACAAATTATTTTTACCCCTAGGAAAAATGGCTGCAGCATTCAGAAATTGCCCCCTCATTGCAAACTGCCACCTTTTATAAGTGATGGAGCATTGTGTTTGGCCTATATTAATAAGTGGACCTATGATTTGTAAGTAACTTTTCTTTGTATTTTAATAGTTGAGTTTTGTTATTGTAGTTTGTTCATTGATTTGTGTGGTGCTTGAAAGTAGAATGTGTAATGTGGTTTTTATTTGGTGGTTGTAGCAAACAAAAATAAGATTCAAATTTTTATTCGGGAAAAGTACATACATAGATGATTTACAAATATAATGTTGGATTTATAGATAGAGCTAGTACATACAATACCTCAAGCCACTAATACGCATAGCGTTTCGGACAAAGGGTGACTACAAAGAGTTTGTAGTCTTCGGGCAAAGACTACAAACAAAAATGCTTTGCAAACAGCAAAGTTTTTTTTAATTCTTGATGAATGTAGAATTCAGGAGTTTTTGCCTGGTGCAGTAGTAGTTACAGGCGTGATGCTATCTCTGACTACTTCAAAAGTCTAGTGGGGTTCAGGTGCCGTCTGACATGTGGCTCCATGGTGGTGTCACATTCATAAGGAATTCATCTGGATGATTGATCTTCAATGTGTTCAGGGATTCACTGAAAACAGAATCATACTGTAGTCTCAGTACTTAACTCATTTCTTTGTTGTCTTCAGTGAAAGTTCCATTACTCTTGCACAAGGGCCCAATGCTAGATGTTTGTTCTTGATTTTGCATAGGAGAAAAAGTTTTTTAGATTCTTTTCTATTTCACTTATGTCCTTTTGCCATCTACAAGAAGTAATTTGTGTCCGTGTGACTATTCATTTAAACAGCTTCCTGGAATTCTTTCTGATATTACTGTATTTGTCACATCCTGAAGATGGAGGATAATGTACTGAACTAGTCACTCCTGCCTCTTCCTTTGAATGGGCACTTAGACAGGCTAAACGGAAACACTATTTTGCTTTTTCCATCGGTTTGTTTCATTGGTGTGGTATGGGTGCATGATGTGTGGGTGATCACGCTGTGGTGTGAAGTAAATGCACAAGGTGTGTGTGTGTGTGCGCATTGTGTGGTTTATTATGACTGAGAAAGTGGAAAGAGGGAATGATGTCGATTCATACCCCACGCATTCCTTAATGTTAAGTTCCAATTTTGCATTACAGTATATATACGTTATCTAAAGGGGAAAAATGTATTTAGCATCTAAATCTGAATTTTCCTTGAAATATTTTAAAGATTGCAAAACTATGCAATATGCCATACAGAATAAATATAATTTGTAACTTCCTGAATATAGTGTTACATTATTTTAGTAATGCAGTTGATATTTAACAAAAAATATTCAGGTTTTCAATAGTATAATTTATTCAATTTTTTTCTGTAATGCAGTGAATCTAGAAAATGTCAAGCCATAATTTATGGAGGGTGTGGAGGAACAAGGAACCTGTATAACACAGAGGAAGAGTGTAAGGCATCGTGCTCTCTCCCTCCCACTAACCTACCACATCGCACGGGAAGAAATGGTTAGTACTGTAATTTACCTTAATTTACTTGGTCATCATCTCCCTAATGGCCTTATCCACCCCACTGCACAGAGTGCCTCGAGGTGCTCTGAGTTGTGCTATTTTTTTAATTAGGCTATATTTTAATGTTAATGTTTTCATCACTGTTTTGAAATGAAAATGGTAGTTTGGAAAAATTTTGACATTAACAGTATCGATGGCCATGGACGACACTCGCGTCCACTTTTTTTTCTCTAGTCCTAGTCGTGGACAGCACTCGTGTCCAGAACAAAAATATTTGTATAAAATTCATTTTTTATCCGATCGACTTCAGTATAGTTTCAAAATAAGCGCCCTTAGAGTGTGCACAATTTGGTACCAAAATGAATGATGTAACACGAAACCTGATGTCAGAACACTTGAAAGATAAATACATTTTTTTGGTCAAAATTTTAAAATTTAAAATTCTATTGTGCTATTTTGAGACTAGTTTTTAAAATGCGCGCCTTTACATTGCAAACAATTTGATACCAAAATGAAAGATGTAACGCAAACATTTGTCAGAACACTGGAAAGATATAATTTTATGAGTGTGCAAAATTAAAATATTTAAAATTCCAGTTATTGCTTTATTATTATGGGACTAGTTTTAAAATGCGCGCCTTTATATTGCGAACAATTTAATACCAAAATGAAAGATGTAACGCGAAAATTGATGTCGTCCAACTGAACGAGTTTACACATTCGGTTGTGGTGTGCCAATTGGTGCTCGTTTACGGGTAACTTTAGGCTTTCCTGCGGGGAATCACACCAGGCTTTTGTACATTATATGCACATACACCTTCAGGGAATTTAATTGCGAACACAATACCAAAACGAACGACGTAGCACAAGAATTAAGGTGAGAAAACTGAAACGAGTATACACATTTGTCGCCATGCACTTGCCCGCACGCTGGGGGTGTGACCTCTAAGTTGGTGGTGCGCATGCCCAGCGCGTGATAGTGTTAACTTTACCTGAACATTTGTTAAAAAACAAAAATGTCTAACAATTGTGTTTTATGAAGTTTTTGCCGAAACCAGGTGCGCAGTGCGGTGGTTAACTAGGACATGAAGACGATGGCTTGAAAGTCACCCCATTGTTTGAGGATTTTCCCAAAAGGATTTTGAACTGCAGTAATATCATTGCATTTCTAGTTTTGGTGGTTAGGTGGTTCCACGGGTTCATATCACTTTGGGTGAGAAAGCATCTCCTGTTTTCTGTTGTACATTGTGGCTTATGGATCTTGAAGCTGTTATTCCTTGTATGCATTATATTTGGCATTTTAAAGTGGATGAATTAAAATCCTTAAGCCTGTTCAGTATTTTAAAGGTCTTGATGAGATCAGCTCCGTCTTGTTTTCCCCTTCCCCATTACCCCCAAAAAACCGCATTAAATGAATTGAAATTTTGCTTTCTGGGAGAGCTCGGTTGCTCCATCTTCCTCGCTTTCAGATCATTTGTTGGTGGGGGATATTTTGCACATCTGCTTCTGAACTGGAGTAAATTAGAGAGCACTGGGAGCTGTGCCCACTTCCCAACTAGTCTGGGGTAGCGCTAATGAGCTCTTGCTTGTTTTGAGAGATTCTATCATTTGTTTACACTAGGGGAGTTCATTTGGTAGTTTGAGACTTCAGTCTCTTTTAAACCCAACAGTGGTCTATATTGGTTTGCTGACTTTCTGGATGTTTTCCATGTGGGGTGGGGGTGTTATCTGCTCTCTACACCTCTATGGGAGGGGTCAGGTTCCAGTTCTGGTTCCTGGTAGGCCATACAGAATGCCACAGTTGATGTGATCTAGAAGCTGGGTAGCCATCTCGGCAAAATAGCTTCAGGAAGTTACAGAAATGTATTAACCCTTAAAGTGCGCATCACGTCATATGACGTGCTGGACGTTGTTCCAGTCAACTGTGCATCACGTCATATGATGTGTTGGAGCACTACGCAAGATTTAAGCAGCCCGCGGATACACGGGGTTCACCACACCTTCATCAGGGCTCTTGTAAACAGACGCCATTTTTAAAAAAAATCGCGGGCCAAACTCCAGGGTGTTATTGGCCTCAGTATTGAGTGAGCAACCAAGCCTGACGCACGCAGCATGAGCTAACAGCACTGCTGTTCAGCTTGTGACCACAGCATCGCCTAAAAATGCCAAATTATACTTGTTCATGCTATTATGTAGCGATGATATTATTACAGAAGACCCCTGACTGTGATAAAACTGACCAGGGTTCTGATAATAACAGGATTGTGGTGATATTTAGCGCTGTGCGCCATGGAGGGAGGGTGGTGGCGATGTCTTTTGACTGTGTGTGGCCACCTTTTATTGACTGCACTCAGCATACCAGCTTAGTGGTTCGCTATGGTGAACACAAATGTAGATACTTATATATAACGTGTGTATAGAGGGTATAAACAGCAAGAGAAGGTTTGGAGCCGCCATTTTGGTGAGAGCGGTGGCGTCGTCTGCCACGACGCCACCGTGCAGACGATGGTGTTGTTTACTGGTTACCACGATGGTCTTTGGGCACCATACCAGTTTATTTGTACAAGTATGGTGAATAAAACTGGTAGATATTTATATATAATGTGTGTATATAGCGTAATAACACCACACAGTATTGTTGGAGGAGAAATATTAGTGCGTCTGGCCTTGAGGGCGGCCGCCGATCAGCTGACTGTGTGAGTAGCTACATCTTATAATAATAATAATAATAATAATTTTATTTAGGTAAGGTACATACATAAAGAGATTTTACAAAGTTTGTTGGCTTTATAGATAGAGCTAGTACATACAATGCCTAAAGCCACTATTACGCAAAGCGTTTCGGGCAGGAAAAACATTAATGACTAAAGCTTAAAACTAATGGGTAAAAAGAATAAGATGTGTTGAGTACAAATAAAAATAGAGGTAAAAGAGGGGGGAACATTGTTGAAAAAGCAGCACAAATACAATTACAAATTATTACAGAAAATTACATTCAAACAGCGTTGATTTGAAAAACAAAAAAAACAAAAAACATACATGGGTTGACAACAGAGGGGTAAGGTGAGTTACAGGGAATTTATTAGGTATAGCTTCGTTTTTAACTTAAACTGGTTGAGAGAGGTACAGTCTTTAACGTGGTTGGGAAGGTCATTCCACATTCTGGGCCCCTTGATTTGTAGAGCATTTCTGGTTTGATTAAGTCGTACTCTAGGAATATCAAAACTGTATTTATTTCTGGTGTGGTGCTCATGGGTTCTGTTACAACCTTCTATGAAGCTTTTGAGATCAGGATTGGCATTATAGTTTAGCATTTTATATATGTATAATACATATGAGAGAATGTGCAGTGACTTAATGTCTAACATATTCAGAGATTTGAGTAGGGGTACCGAGTGATGTCTGGGGCCAGAATTGGATATTGTCCTAATAGCAGCTTTGTGTTGAGTAATTAGAGGACGTAAGTGATTTTGGGTAGTAGAGCCCCAAGCACAAATACCATAGTTGAGATATGGATAGATAAGGGAGTAATAGAGAGTCACCAGGGCAGGGCGTGGTACATAATATCTGATCTTAGAAAGAATGCCCACAGTTTTTGCAACTTTTTTTGATATGTTTAGAATGTGTCCCTGGAAATTCAGCTTGTGGTCAATGAGAATGCCAAGGAATTTGCCATCTAATTTGTTACAAATTTGGGTATTGTTTATTTTGAGATTTATTTGATTAGAGGATTTATTGCCAAACAGAATATAGAAAGTTTTGTCAATGTTAAGGGTGAGTTTGTTGGCAGTTAGCCACAGATGGACTTTATTAAGCTCAGTATTTACTGTGGCATTTAGTGCAAGGGGATCAGGACTGGAGTAAATGAAGGTTGTTTCGTCAGCAAATAGAATTGGTTTGAGGTGTTGGGAGGCATTTGCGCCTTTACTCTTAACCATACTCTCGCCTTTACTCACCATACAAGCTTAGATGTACAGTTATGGTGAACAAAACATGTAGATACTTATATATAACGTCTGTATATAGTGAATTGTAGCAAAAACAATATTGTGGGAGGAGAATGTGGGTGAGTCAGATGACTGGAGGGAGGGCGGGAGTGGCTGGCTGGTAAACGGCGGTCACTCCTCGTTACTTTTTGACTCGTAATAGCTACTTAGTGGTTCATTATAGTGAACAAAACATGCAGATACTTATATATAACCTGTGCTTATAATGTAATAACCGACAAAGTATTTGTTCACTGATTGATGAACATAATTGAGTCAACAATATGCACACCATATTTTTGAGTACAGCAATGATTCACTCATTTTATTATATAAATATATCAAACTACACACTATTGAATAATATTACAGCAAAAAAAAAGTATGAAAAATCAATCAGAGACATTGAAATAATTCGGTAATTATCTCTTTGTGGCAACTCTGGCCTGACAGCTTGCGAGCAACAGACCGCCTGGGACGCACGCTGAGTCAGCGCCTATAATTTGCCAGACTTCCCCGCCCTATAGCGGCAATATATGCCACTTACGATTTTTTTATTATTTTTCCCGTGATCAGTGAACACAAATTAACAGGTTAGAAAGAAAAAATAATTTTTTTTTTTTTTTCAAAATGACATGCGCCTGTGGGGATGACAGGATATTAAACCCCGAGCATGTTAAGGGTTAAATTAGGCATTTCATTACATTCAACCCTTTGTTTTTTCCAGCAAGTACAAGACCAGAACGGTGTTTAAAGAAACAAGATTCTGGACCATGTTTTGCATTTTTTGTTCGCTATTTCTACAATGAAGAGACCAAGAAGTGTGAGGAGTTCATATATGGGGGCTGCGCGGGCAATGACAACAGGTTCACAACACTTGAAGAATGCCTGGAAACGTGTGAAAATGTAACACTAGGTTTGGGTAATCCTTGATTAAAAGTAAAATTTCGCATGGGCATGACATCCTAGCAAAAACAAATACGGTGATAAAATAACTGTTGTGATTTGCAATTTGGATCCTTTAAAGGTATTAGTAGCAGAGTCATTCATAATTTCTAAATTAAAGATGACCTTGTATATCTAGGTCTTGATTTATTTTCTTGCATGTGAAAGAAATTGAATGACTTGAGACACATTGACCGTCTTTGATTTTTCATAAAAATACTTTAATATTTCTAAGCTAGAGGTGAAAGACTGAGAAGCTTTATTGTACAGTATGTGCATGTTGGCACTTGCCTGACTGCTTTTTTTAACTCTGCACACTAACTAATAGCATAGTGTATTAATGTTTAGTACTGTAAATGTGCAATGACTCTTGTTAGTATTTGTTTGTTTTGTACAAGAGTTTTTGATCTTAAATAAAATTTCTTAACACATTCATTGTTGTATTTTACTTATGATCGTTTTTAATAGCTAGTTACCTTGACTATGCAGCTTGTTTATTTTAGAGTAGGTAATAATGCACCCAGTTACTAAAACACAACTTAAATATGGATGTTCTATTTTGCTAGCTTCTATAGTTAACCTAAATTACAATTGTTTGTACTGTATTAATTGGATAAAATGGTGTCACTGGTGATAGGAACATGCAACACATCATTAGAGGGAGTAAAGGACAAACGGAGTGGGAACATGTTCCTGAACATCGTATATACTAACATAGATGCAGCAAGATAACAAATACAGGAGTTAAATGATATAATACAGCTTAAGATGCCAGAGATTGTTGCACTAACAGGGATAAAACTTGATATTTTAAATTGGGTCATATTCCCAAGGGGCTACTCAGTCTGAAGATGGGACCGAAAAATTAGAGAGGGTGGTTAAGTTGCAGTGCTGGTGAAAGAACACCTGAAGGCAAGAGATTTAATAGTTGACAACCCAGGAGAAGTTGACATTAAGGCTCTGGAGATTTGTAATCAGAATGATAAACTGATAATCATAAATGTCTACATTCTACCAGCAAGCAATACATGGGCAAAGGAGCTGGATAACAAATGAGGGACCTCATAATGATCATCAGATATTATAATAAGAGCAGATAAAGAAAATCACACATTAGTAACTGTTGACTTCACTCTTGAAATCTTTGAAGATTTCAAGAGTGAAGTCACTCGTGGGAGATCACTCGTCGAAGTAAGGGCGGAGGACATTTGGACTGGCAGATTCATAAATCTCATCCTGGAGACATTTGTGTGTCGACATGTTGAGCAACGAGAATGAAAAGGAAATGTTCCATCAATGCTGGATTTGGTATTTAACAGGAAAGAAAGATATTTAATATTCTCTTCCTTCCTCTATTAGGCAAGAGTGACCATGTCCTCTTGGAAATCAAATATGCAATGCATTATCATCTAGAAGAGAAGGAGCAAAATGTAATGGTAGGAAAACTTTATTTCATGAGGAGACTATGGGGAACTTGGTAAGTTTTTAATGAACTTGATCGGGAATATCTCTTGCTAGGTAAGGAAGTAAAGAATGTACCAAAGGTAAATGGTATACCAGGATATATATACGTGTGTGTGTGTGTATATATATGTATGTGTATATATGTATGTGTGTATGTATGTGTATATATGTATGTCGTACCTAGTAGCCAGAACGCACTTCTCAGCCTACTATGCAAGGCCCGATTTGCCCAATAAGCAAAGTTTTCATGAATTAATGTTTTTTAGACTACCTAATATAACCTAACTTTTTCGGCTACCTAACCTAACCTATAAAGATAGGTTAGGTAGGGTTGGTTAGGTTTGGTCATATATCTACGTTAATTTTAACTCCAATCAAAAAAATTGACCTCGTACATAATGAAATGGGTAGCTTTATCATTTCATGAGAAAAAAATTAGAAAATATATTAATTCAGAAACTTGGCTTATTAGGCAAATCAGGCCTTGCATAGTAGGCTGAGAAATGCGTTCTGGCTACTAGGTACAACATATACATACACACACATTATATATGTGTTTACTAGTTGTGTTTTTACGGGGGTTGAGCTTTGCTCTTTCGGCCCGCCTCTCAACTGTCAATCAACTGTTTACTAACTACTATTTTTTTTTTTTTTTTTTTTTTTTTTTTTCCCACACCACACACACACACACACACCCCCCAGGAAGCAGCCCGTGACAGCTGACTAACTCCCAGGTACCTATTTACTGCTAGGTAACAGGGGCATTCAGGGTGAAAGAAACTTTGCCCATTTGTTTCTGCCTCGTGCGGGAATCGAACCCGCGCCACAGAATTACGAATCCTGCGCGCTATCCACCAGGCTACGAGGCCCCCTAAATGTGTGTATGTATATGTGTATATGTATGTATATGTATGTTTGAAGGCACAAAAAATTGATACCAGCAGAGATGCAGAACTAGAAAAAAAATTGGTTCAATAGAAATCGAGACAGAAAAAGAAAAAAATGGGTGCAGTCTAGGAGCACTACAAACAAGCAAACTACAGCAGTGAGGAAATGCAAAGAAACTGAGAAAGGGATAGTGGACAAATATACAACAGAACCAGGACTTTTCTATAAATTTATGATAAAATAGAGATCGAGAATGGGGGGACAGATTTAGAGAATGAAAAGGGAATTGGTGAAGAGCTAAATGAAGAGTGTGTGCATAATGAGTTTCAGAGAACCAGACAACATGGATTTCATAGAACAATATAGAGTACTGTATATAGAAGGGTCTTGAGACGAAGTGTAAAAATGCAGAGAGCGAGCTCAGTGGAAACAAAGCATTTATCTCGGAGTTTCACATTACATTCTGAGAGCATGGGCACCCGAGCTCAGCATCCTCTTTAATTGATTTTTCAGACAACTTTGTACTGGAATCTTTACCGATGTATGGAAAAAGACAGTGTTCCACAATATAAAAATGGTAGAGAAATCCCTCTAAATTATAGACCTGTATTGTTGAAAAGCATGGTACAAAAAAAGTAAAACCAAATGGGTAGAATACCAGGAAAGAAATGATACAATGACACAGTATGGCTTTCGTACACGAAGATCCTGTGTAACAAATCTTAGTTTTTATGATAGTCACAGATTTTACATGTAAGAGATGGCTGGGTTGACTGTTTATCGGGACCTAACAAAGGCTCTTGACAGTCTCACAAAGATTGTTCTGGAAACGAACATGCTTAAGAAGTGACAGGCAGATTGCTGACATGGCTAAACAAATTTCCTACAAAGATATTGGTTATTAAAGGCAATATATCAGACTAGAAAAGTATTATTAGTGAAGCGCCACAGGATTCAGTTCTTGCACCAGTAATGTTTATTGTCTCTAAATAATCTTCCTTAAGGAATATAGAACTATATAAGAACATGTTTAATGATGCAAAGTTGCTAAGGAAGATAGAGACTTGATGATTGTCATGCCCTTCAAGATGACGTGAACAAACCAAGTATATGTAACATCACTTGGCAAATAGAATTGTTTTCATAAATGTCATGTTTATGGAATAGGAGAAAATAGGGCACACACAACATAAGTTATGTGGAAAGACACTAAAGAACTCTGACACAGAAGATAATCTAGGTGTGGTTCTGAATAGTAGACTGTCACCAGAGAACCACATGAGTCAGTGCGAGGAACATGTGCTATGCTTTTTCAACTTCAGAATCACTTTTAAATACATGGATGGTGAAATATTAAAACTGTTCTCTACTTTTTGAGAGACCAAAATTGGAATATGCATTGGTTGTATGGTGTCTGTCTCGAAGCATGTGTAAACTGGAAAAGGTGTAATGACATGCTACAAAGTTGCTTCTGGAACCGAAAAAGAACTTAGGAGCGGTTAAATATGCCAAAGCTAGGTGATGGAAAGAGGTGATATGATAAGTACATACAAAATAGTAACTAATTGACAAAACTGACAGATTCTTGAAACCTGCAACTTACAGAAGAAGAGGTCAAAGATTCAAACTAAGGAATCAAATGTCAGAAAATATTAGAAAGATTTTTTTTTCAAAGAGTACTAGATGGTTGGAACAAGCAAAGTGAGAGGTTTGTTGAGCCAAAAACCATGAGTAGTTTCAAAGAGTCGTATGACAGAGTACTGGGAAGATGGAATACCATGAGCATTGCACTCATCTTACAACTACACTATGGTCAAATCCACAAGACCCGTGATGAGGGTTTGAACCTATGTCCAGGATGATCCCAGATGCGCCTTAGTCGATTGCGCCATGACAGTCAAAAGAATTGCAACCGGGAATGCTACTGCCCTCACACAGATCCCGAGCCTCTCCGAGACACAAACCTGGGTTTTACACAATTCCCCAAGATATATTTGATGCATCACAATATTGTGATTTCTGTGTGTATTGAAGTAAGGGCAAAGAGGTAGAACAGTTTGCTGACATAGCCCGAGTGCATGGGAGAATTGTGTAAAACCCCAGTTTGTATCTTGGAGAGGTTGAGGGATCCATGTGAGAGTAATAGTACTCCCTGTTGCAATTCTTTTGACCATGTCATGGTGCAATCGAGTAAGGCGCATCTGGGATCATCCCGGGCGTAGGTTCGAACCCTCATCATGGCCCTTGTCGATTTGTTCATTTCATGTATCGCACTATTGTGATTTCTGTGTGTACATTGGGGTACTGTAATTACACTGCTCTGGCTCCCCAGCTGATAAGACTGGCCTACAACTCAAAACAGGAATGGCTAAGGTAAGAATTAATTAATTTTGTTGGACGTTTGTGAATCTGATAACTTTAATATCTCCTGCCTTATGTGCTTTTGCTCTCGTATTTGCATCCTCGGTGATATTTAGCACCTTGATTATCCTGTGACTTTGATGGTGCTACATAGTCTCCCTGGCTTGGTGCTTTCTTTTAATAATTACTTACTTGTTGGGGACAGTCAGCCTTGTATGTATATATGTTTGGCTTATATTGAGGCCCCCCCACGAGGGTGGAACTACTAACTCTCCCCAAGATGCAACACAACAGTTTACCAACCCCTGGGTACCTATTTACTACTACGTAATATGTGCCAAACCATATCTGTGCCACCCTGGATTCCCGATTAAGAGTAAAGCACGAATCCAATGGTAATGCCAAAGGTCTCCTGCTCTTCCAACCGAAATTGTGTTGACACCCATCGTTCTCCACAGGGAATCAATTCCTCAGATGTAATGAATGGTATACTGTGTGAATAATGTACATCAGTTCAGATGGTATAATGAATAAGGTGGGTTAACTGGTAAACTCCAGAAGAGGGAAGTGAGATATGGCTGCTCATCATTGAAATTACAGTTCAATTCTCAATTGAACTGTAATCACCTCAATTCCGCTAACTATATGGGACCAACCGTGATATGTTGCATCTGGAGATGTATTGCAACTGGAGATCTTTTATTAACAAGCTTAGGTACACAACAATGTGCTGCTACCATGTTCTTTATAAAGGATTTCAGTGTAGATCAAAAGCTAGCTATGAGTTCATATATTATTCCCATATTACAGGATGGTTAGTCATACTTGGAGTCAAGAGAAAGAGATGCAAGTGTAGTCTACTAGCCTGCACTAGCAAACTCTGGGTAAAGCACAAATATATCTTACAAAATTAGTGAGTTTATGAAGTAACTACAGAGCTCAAAGTATCTCATCATTTGGTCCAAAATTATTAATAGGACAGTAACAGATATACTGCTAGAGAGCTAATCATAGTTCTTGTTCACATAGTTTACAGTTGGAATGTTCATCTCTGGAGGATTCTTTACCTGCAGCCACCTGCTATAAATATTGATAACCCAGCCTTATTCTGGTAATTAAAATGTGTCAATGTCTGGATGTTTTGTGCAGTCGGTACATCCAGTGCTGTCAACACTGCATCAGTGACAGAACAGATTTCTCTAGCCAGTGGACAGCATGAGCCCCATCCCACCCCTACCCCCCCAAACAAGTGAGAGGGGTGGGGCGAATGAGCATATGCTTGTTTACATTTGTTTACATTGTCGAGGCATTCATTTGGCAGGTTGCAAGGCTTCAGTCTCTTGATTTTAATCCAGCAGTCATTTGTACTGATTCATTGATTTTCTGGATGCCTTTGCTGGTGAGATGGTGGAGTGTCCTGTTCCCTTCACCTCTGTGAGGAGGCCAGATTCTAGCTCTGGTCCCTGGTAGACTGTGTAGAACTCCATGGCTGATGTGATCTTATAGTTAATAACCATCTTGGTGGGATAGATTCAGAGAACGCAAGGGGCTTTTCCCAGAAAAAGGAGAACAACCTAAGCATTAATGTAGCATCAGCCCTAATTTCAGAGGCACATCTCAAATCCACACTGGCACATAGAGATCAGGCAGGTTCCTTGTGATTAAAGAACAGAATTTTTAATTCACTGCATTGTGAAAATCTCGTGCCTAATACATCAAACAATGAAAATATTTGTATGTACTGTATACAATAATTTTACTCATTTATCATTTAAATGTTTTAGAGTCTTCATGTGATAGATCCAGGTGCCCATGGACGAGGTGGGCTCATTATTTTGCCAAGAACTGCCTGCCTCGGTACGAGAGAGGGTCCTGCTGCCCTACCAGCTTCTCTTGCCGTGAGTAGAGGACAATAAGGTTAAGACAGATGGCTAGGAAAATTTTGAGATAAACATTCAGTGAAAGTTGGGAACAAATGGCTTTTTGAGACAGTTGGAGATGGGATTTTTTAGATATTGAAAGTCTGAGACAGATGGATACTGAGAATACTCAAGGTAATGAATAGTGAAAATTAAAATAAGACCAAGCTCTTCATTACCGAACCATATAATTTGTTCACTTCCTCAAGTAAGATTCTATTGTAATAATAGGGAAACAAAGCATGTAACCAAAAGACTTTTTCGTGCCTACTTGCAGGGTCATATTGTGCTGAGGGAGTCACTAGTGAAAAATAAGTCTAGGCTGGAAATGAGTCATTTGTTTTCCCTCAAAGATCAAAGCCATTCCAAGACCCTGGGATGTGATCACAGGTATCCACCAAAGACTCGTGCTAATAACTGGCAGCCTGATCATTCCTGCTAACCAGGGGCCAGATTCACGAAGCAATCACGCAAGTACTTATGAGCATGTACATCTTTCCTCATTCTTTGACATCTTTGGTTGCATTTATTAAACAGTTTACAAGCATGAAAACATTCCAATCAACTGTTGTTATTGTTATAAACAGCCTCCTGGTGCTTCAGAGCCTATTGACTGTTTAATAATTGTAAACAAAGCCGCCAAAGATTGAGAAAAGATGTACCGGTTCATAAGTGCTTGCGTAACTGCTTTGTGAATCTGGCCCCAGGTTCATAGAACTGAACTAGGTCACATGCATCCTAACTTTAACAAATAAACATGCACACAGGAGATGGAGGAGAGAATAAGGAGCAGCCAAAGAATACAGCTCTGTGAGAGAAGCTTTTCACTAATGCTAGAGTTCTTATTTTTGAGCTCCTACATTTGGCTGCTCCTTCAAGTAAGGCATTTAAAACCATGAGTAGAAATAAATAATCTGCAAGAAACCCTCGACTGTGGTGTTGAACGATGGCAGTAGGAGGCTGCTGGGAAGAACAACAGTGTGCAGCTAAGCAAAATAAGGAGGTGCAGGCAGGCAAGCATAGCTCTAGTCCCAAGAATGGCCACCAGGAGTGTGCTCTCCTCTGGTGGTGGTTAGTGTGAGTATCTAGGCAGCCTGACAAAAGCATATTTAAGAAGAGTGGTCACTTACGATACCAAGGGAGAGTTGGGAAAGCTTAAGTTTTTATGAATTAAACTATAGGTTATTCTGGACTGGACAGTTTTCTCCATATGACCCTGCAGGGAGGTTTTAAAAATCATTTACTGTAGTGTCAGGATGGATATCATCCTATCTAACTGTTCTTGATCTTGTTGTATGACACAGTGGATCATATCTTAAGAGGTAACTGAGTGTAATGGCTTAGAAAGGAATATTTATTCAGATACTCTCCAGTATTTTTATATAGTTCAAAATTAGTGTGTGATTCTCCACAGCAAGTGCAGATGCAGCTGACCCTGAGAAGTGTTCCTACAGAGGGCAAGTGTATCCTAAAGGCAGTAATGTGCCAGTAGAAGACGCTTGCACTGCTGATTGTATCTGCACAGATTCATATGTTCCAGGATTTCCGTAAGTATTGAAGAAATTAGAGGTCTTTTAAGTGAGAATTAAAATATAGTTGAAATAGGATTGATTCAGATAGCTTGATAATTGGACAGTAGGTCTCTTGTAAAGAGATTGGCTCTGCATCCTCAAGATTGAATCTGTATGCTGGAATGTCATAGCTTCTCATTTTATTTTAAGCTGCCTTGCAACATAATTATTCAAGTTTTTTGTTTTTATGGAGGGACTGAACTGTGGTTACCTGTTACTAGCCACACTGAGATAGCTCCACACATATAATTCACATCAGCTCTAGGAGGCCTTAATAATCTAATGGAGACCAAAGACCAAAAGTGTCCATCCCCCCCCCCCCCCAACCCCTTCACAGAAGCGCAGGAAGCAGGGGATTCTAGCTCGCCCTTACTTAAGAACCCTCGCCCCCAGAAAATGAAGCAAAGCAAAACAGGAAACAGCAAGGCTCAACAAAAACTAAATAATGCAGCAAACAACTCTACAAATGATCCAGCCAGTAGTTATGTTATACCCTTCTAGTTACCAGCAGCCACCAGCTCCCCGTGTGTCTATAATGATCACCTGGTCATCAGGGGAAAGGTTGCAGTAACAGTAGCTTGCAGAGTAAAAATTGGCTGTCCTGATTTTATCTGATTTTATCCCAGTTCTCATTTAGAAGAGTTGTTCCTACTTAATGCAACCATAGAGGCTTTAATATTACCTGAATGCTTTTTTAAATGTGATATTACTGCACTGGACTCATTTGAAACCTCCATCTGTCCCCTGGTGGCAGAGGCAAATTTCCCAGCATCACGGCTCTTCACTAGTTCAAATGTTGTTGCTACGCAACATTATTTTCTCATTGCAACATTACATTCTTCACTGGGACATCTTGGGGTGCAGCAGAAGTTGTAGAACACTTGGGAGATGTGTTAAAGTCACTGTGTTGGTTCTGGGTGAATGAGTATATTACTGGGTGCTGGGAAGTTACAGAGTGGGGAGCAACACAGCAGCTAGCCATACCTTGCCTCACACCTTGCATTTCAGACTTATGTCACACAAATTAGACTTGTGCTGAGCAATTATTTGGTGTTTATGGACTAGGTGGTGCCATACAAGATTTGCATCATGTGAGTTTGTGTTACACAAGAGTCTTCTTTATATATCTTGTTTGGTCATGACACCTGAAAATGTGTCATAAGAAATAACTTATTTATATACATTTATTTTGCAAGTTTCAGTGACTAATCTTATTTATATTGTTTCAAAAGAATAGATTTGTTTGATTTTTATAAATGTCAGCTATTCTAGTACAGTGAAACTTTGGTTTTCGAATATTTCGGTTCTCGAGCTCAATTTCTTTGAAAAAACTTGACTCGGTACTCGAAAATTGCCTCGGTGCTCGAGTTTGCTGATACACGTATGGGCCGACTGAGCACATGGTGTACTTCAGTTACCAGTGTCTCCCACCTAGTGACGACCACTCTTGAATTCTTTGTGAAGAATTTAATTGTTTTTGTACATTTTTTGTTTCTGAACATAAAAGTTCTTATTATATATCATGCCATGGGTTCCAAGAAAGTCAGTGGTAAAGTTCAACCTAAAAAAATAGTTGTGAGGATGGCGATAGAGGAAAAACAAGTGATCATTCATAGTGAGACAATGTGATGTCTGACTACAGACAAGTGTTAAAACGTAGGAAAAAACAATTGTCTATAGACAGATTCTTAGTAAGACAAGCAAGCAGTGAGCCACAACCAGGTCCTAGTGGTATGCCTGCAAAATGTAAGAGAGAGAGAGTACCCCAGAAATGTCATCACTGCCCCGCAGGGACACAAAAAAAACAAAACGAAATCATCTCAAGATAACCTCAAGATAACTGCTGTTATAATGGAAGGGGACTCCCCTTCCAAACACTAACACCTCTCCTGCTCCCCCTCTACCCTCACTGTCTTCTATATGCCAACAAGAGTCCTCAATAAAGGTAACTATGAGTATTATTCAGTATAAATTGTATTTTTTTTTAGTTAATATTTTTGGGGGTGTGGAATGGATTAATTCAATTTCCATTATTTCTTGTGGGAAAACTCGTTTCAATTTTCAAATTTTCGGTTTTTGAATCATCTCTGGGAACGGATTAAATTTGAAAACTGAGGTACCACTGTATATGTTTAGTTTTTTATAATTATTGACAGTTTAATGACTCCAGGGAGTGTATGATAAGATTTGACGCTTTCCACTCTCGGTTACATACCACTGTATAAGAAAACTGAGCTAAAGATCTTATGTTGATTGTCTTTCTAAGATAAGGTTCACCCATAATACTCTTATTAGTCTCAGTCTGACAATATAAGGCCACTCATATCTCATATACTGACCAAATTAAATGGCAAGGTGTTTACCACTATGGATATTTTTTGTTGTACTGTACAGTATTTTGATCAAGATCTGCCTTTGTTAGGTTACATTGAGAAGGATGGCCCTGAAGGTTGTACTAGTAGTACATCTTGGGTGTGTCCAAAAGGGTCATGCTGGTCATCTTTGGGGAGTGAGCAAAAAGTCAATGTGTCCATCTTTTAGGTTAACTGTGTGTAATTGCCCAAGTGTAATTATCTAAGTGTAGTTACAGGATGAGAGCTATGCTCATGGTGTCCCATCTTTCCAGTTCTGTCATGTGACAATTTGAAACTACTGACGGTTTTGGCCTCCTCCACTTTCTTACTTATTCCAACTATCTACCGCTATGTGTGCAGAAGTGAACTTTCCTTAGCTGGAATCTATGCCCTCTTATTCTTAAAGATGCAGGTTTCAAGAATTCCTCTTTGTCAATTTTGTCGTTTACTGCTACTATTTTGTATGTAGTGATCATATCACCTCTCTTTCTTCTATCTTCTTACTATGGTATATTTAACACTAACCTCTTCATAGATCTTGTTTTTCAGTTCCGGAAGCCATTTTGTAGCATACTTTTACACCTTTTCCAGTTTATTGATGTGCTTGAAGGACATGACAATCATCTAAGTCAATTATCTTTCCTAGTACCTTAGCACCATCAACAAACATGTTCATATAATTCTGTATTCCTTTTGGTAGAACAATTTATATATACAATGAACATTACTGGTGCAGAAATTGAGTCTTGTGGTACTCCGCTAGTAACACACTTCCAATCAAATATATTGCCTCTGAATACCGCCCTCATCTTTATGACAGAATTTTTTTTATCTGTGTCAGCAGTTTCCTGTTATGGTTCTGGTATGATCCAGTTTCCTAAACAACCTCTTGTGTGGGACCCTGTCAAAAACCTTTTTTAAGATCCAGATAGATACAGTCAACCCAACTATACCTTTTCTGTAGAATCTCTATGGCTCTATCTTGGAAACTGAGTAGATTTGTTACTCAGGATCTTCCTGATCAAAAACTGTATTGTCTGTCTAAAACTACGGCTCTGTGCTTTTTGTCTTGTTTGGGAAACATTGTCGCCAGAATCGGGTTTGCTGATATTTGAACTTTGTACACTGTCTTTTTCACTGTCTGGGATCTTCTATTTCAGTATCAATAAATAATTTCAGATATATATTTATTCATTATGGCGTTCCGCGAGCGCTATGTCATGGGTTCGTATCCTGGCCGGGGAGGATTTACTGGGCGCAATTCCTTAACTGTAGCCTCTGTTTAACGCAACAGTAAAATGTGTACTTGGATGAAAAAACGATTCTTCGCGGCAGGGGATCGTATTCCAGGGACCATAGGATTAAGGACTTGCCCGAAACGCTACGCGTACTAGTGGCTGTACAAGAATGTAACAACTCTTGTATATATCTCAAAAAAAAAAAAAAAAAAAAAAAAAAAAAAAAAAAAATTATTTGGTGATGCTGTGTGTGGTACATGCTGCATGGTGGTGGTGAGAGCTGCAGCAACAGGTGCTACCCATGGTTGACCCATGGTTGCTGTGTTAGTACCGAGGCTCTCACACCCCAGGATAGTTGCCCACAATAGATACAGGGAGCCTCCAAGCCTTTCTAGAAAGAAACATTTTATTACATTAAACACTGATTTTTACAGTTGACCCTGACACTCCCCATCTCCTGGAGTCTCGTTCAGCCACCTGTGTCTGGAATAACAGAACTTATCTAGAGGGTGACAGGATGTACTTTGAAGACTATCCATGCCATCAGTGCATCTGTAGCCCAGCCTTCACAGATCCAAATGGACCTCTGTGTTTCAAAGTGAATTGTGGACTTGACTTCAGGTTGGTGTGTTGATTGTATTTTTCTTCGCTAATATTAGGCATTAGGATGAACTATGTATTGGTTATACAGTATTAAGGTTTTCACTTTACTTTTTTTCTTGTACAGATCAGTGTTTAAAAATTATACATAGCTAACAAGAATGTAAAAAAAAAAGGTGATGTGCATAGATTTACAGGAAGATCTTGAAAAATCCCAGAAATGGCCAGAAAAATAGCTGCTAAAGTTCAACCCTAACATGTATATAGTAAAGAAGATGGGAAAGAAAGGTAGGAGGCTACACCATACAATGAAGGTAACTACAGAAATCAGAAAAGAGAACATCTTGGGAACAGATGCATTAACACCAGAGGCACATAATAACATTGACAATGTATAGAAAGCTGGCATCTTTTTTTCATTTACCTTTATGGACTGTGGGTGTAATAAATTACTACATTTTGTAACATGGTAGGCAGCATAAGAGCACAGTCAGGTTATGAAGTGTTACTCCTGAAGCCAATAGAGGGCTCTGAAGCTAAATTAGTGATCAAATTATTCTTTTTGTGTGAATATAAAATAATGCTAATTGGTAACTTGTAAGAATGTCAACAAATTTGTATACTTGTCCGTATTTAAACTGGTATTAGTATTGCTTTCTGGAAGGGTCCATTCAGTAGTTTAAAATGCTATAGTACTTGGGCTACCAAGCCTGAAGGAATAGCACCAGGCTTCCAAGACCCAGCCCAGCCTACCAGGAGCTAGGACCAGAATCTGGGCTCCTCTATGAGATGAGGGAGCTTGGTGATCAGAGATGAACCCAAAATGAAAATGATACAAGAATATATTTCAGCACATCAAAATAAGCAATGCCTTTAAAGGATATCAGTTACTTTGAGAAAAACAAAACAATCATTGCTACTGTATTGGGAAACACCCCCAGCCATTATTATTTCCTTTCGAGCAGTTGCTTGTTTTGATGCACTTTATTTTTGCTTAGTTTTGAGTTGATCTCTGGTCACCAAGATCACCTCTTCTTGTAGAGAAAGCCAATTTTAGTCTTGGTTCCTGGTACACAAGGGTGAGTCTCGGGCCTGGTGAACCTTCCTAAGACATGGCTGTGCCAGTGCTTAGTTCAGGGATGTACTGAGGACCCATTGGAAAGAGCATTTTATCATTGTTACATTTAACTCTTGGTAATTAACAAACAGGTATACCTCCAAATACACTGAAGGCTGTGTCCCCATTTACTTTGAAGACAAATGCTGCCCAATTGATTGGCTCTGCCGTAAGTATTTTCTCTCTAGTCTTATGCTAAACTTGATCTCTTACTATATTGTATTTATCCACTAAAAGTAATTTTTTCAAGTCAATGACCTTGTCTATGTAAGGATGTTTTGTTTACATGTTATTCATCACAAAAATATTTAAGGGATTTTAAATTCAACTTGTTAATGGATTAAAAAGTGCAGCTCAAAATTATATAAGTACGTACCTGTATTTACTTCTTGGCAGCGTCCCTCTTGGTGCACTCTCCTTATCTGGCTCCTCTTACTCACACCTCATTTTCTCGTGTTGCTCTCTTCTTTCTCACACTTCTTTTTTTTTTTTATCTCGGAGTTCTTTTCATACCTTATGTTCTCATGAAGCTCTCTGCTTTCTCACACCACTTTTTGTTCTCATGGAATTTTCTGCTTTTTCATACTTCCGTATGTTCGCATATAATTTTACAGATTTTGTATGGATCTATAACTCTTCTGCAGCAGTTATAATATGGAACTCATAAAATGTTTTCAGTACAGTGTAAGGTTTCATGGTTGTATTTTATCTTACAAGTGCCTCATGTTGCTGTAGATTTATTGCACATGAACACTAATAACTTCAAATTGACTGGGTAGTCTTTTTTTTGGACCATATTTGGCAATCAGGTATGTTTAATTTTTATTCTGATTGGCTAGTGTAACAAATTTGTTTGAAATAATCTCTGTTGCTTGAGAATTTTTGTATCTCTATTGTTTTAGATATTTTTCTGTGGCGAGCTCCTTGTGGCTCCGTGGAGCTATACACCACGATGGTTCCCATCTATCAGGTTGCATCAACTGTGGAATTGGAATTCGCTTACCAGGAACCAGTACCAGGACCTGGCTGCCCCTCATGGAGGTGCAGCGAGTAGTAACATTTTGCCACCCTACCAGGAAAGGCAACTAGAAAGTCAGTGAGTCGAAACAGACCACTCCTGGACTCAAGAGAAATTGAAGCCTTGAAACTCACCTAATGATCTCCCCTTACCATATAAACCAACACTCAGATTCTCTCGAAACTAGTGCGAACTCGTTCACCCCACCACTCCCCACTCGTTTGAGGGAGGAGAGAAGTGGTTCGCTGCCTGCCGGGGTCTGAGCTGTCAGTTTTGTTGCTGATGTAGTGGTTCCCAGACAGGTCAGGGAACTTCATGCTCTCTACTGGAGGCTCAGTTTCTGTTTATTTGGCTCTAGTGGGTATTTTATTCATTTGCAGCCAGGTTCTTCTTTTCTGAGAAAGAACGAGTCACTTTCCTTCCAGAGAGGTTCTTTGGTTATTGATGCTTGGCTTGTTCAGCCAGGAGTGCATCATGAGCAGCATCCAGTGGTGGCGCTCTGCTGCTAAGTTTGTGCCACCAATTCTGCTTCAGTGGATGCTTTGTGGGGTTGATCCTCTTTCCTTCGTTCCCTGTTCCAAGGCTCGTTTATCTCAGGTCGTCTGCAGTGTTATTAAATTTAGTCAGCTTGTGGTCTACCCTCATGTCCATAATGTTACAGTATAAAGTATGTCTCTCTTTCAGCTGTGTTTGCAAATATGTCCTGGGCTGATGTTGGCCTTGCTGGCTACAGGGGTTTTAAAGGTCTAACAGGGCTCTGGCAGCCTAGTATTTGGTGAACGTTCCCGGGTTTTGGGTCCCTTGCGTAGCCTTGGTTCATCTCTCACGTCTGGGGGTCTCCTCTTCTTATTGATTCCTGCGGTGCTCCCTCCTCCCTGGTAAATTCCAATGTGTTCTACCTTTCTCCTTGAGTAGTTAGCTTCAGGCAAGCATAAGGGGCTCCCTCCCTCCCCCCTCCCCAGAAAACCAGCATTGAATGTAATGAAAACTCCAGTTTCTGGCTGAGCCCTGGTGGCTCCCTGTTATTTTCCTCCTGGCTGTTAGATGGGTGTTTACTTTTGCTCCCGAATTGATAGCTCAGACCCCTAGCAGTTGGTGAGCCACTTCCCTCACTCCGTCCCTCCAAACGAGTGGGGGCAAACAAGCTGGCACTAGTTTCAAAAGAATCCAATTGTTTGTTCACATTGTTGGAGCAGTTCATTAAGTGGGTTTAGAGGCTTCAGTTTCTTTTAAATCCAGCAGTAGTTTTTGACTCGCTTACTTTCTGGTTGCTGTTCCTAGTGGGGTAGCAAAATGTCACCACTCCCTGAGCCTCTGTGAGGGGGGTCCAGGTTCTAGTACTGGTCCCTGGTAAGCCTATAGAACTCCATGGCTGATGTGACCTGGTAGGCCACCAGGCTCACCCAAAAATTGTCTTTTCATTACATTCAACACTGATTTTTTAATATTATATCTAAACTGCGTGTGTGATGCAGACTTTTAGAGGATGAGGGATGATTTTTATAATATCTTCTAAATATTATATAATTATTATTACTATCATTCTTAATTCAATAATTTATTGTGCTGTTATTTAATTCCCACAATATACTCTTTTGTTAATTAGTTTTCACTTATTATTCATGTCTCTTGTAGCTGGTGATGGTCGCATTTCGTTGCCAAGTGATGTCGACCCAGAATCAGGCACTGGAGAAAACCTTAAAGGTAGGAATATCTGTTTAGGTGTATGTCTCTTGTTCTAAGCAATGACAGTCAGTTGCTCCCTAAGGTAAACATCTATTGTGTTATTTACAGGATTTATGACAATTCAGGAAGGATGGCATTCAGCCACAAGGATGTTGTCAAGAGTTCCTTCAGGTTTATATAAGGTATTGAGAGGCACTGAACCAAAACTCAGTGCATCGAGAGTGACTGCCAGAGGTTTGGTTTGGTGTTGGGCTTAAGGTCTATCAACCTCTGATGTGTGAAAGGTACATCCATAAAGACTCGAAACAATTACTTGATTGTTAATCCAGCCAAATCAGCAACTTATCTTCGAATATTGGCCAAATATTCGTTAATCGAACACTTATCCTTTTCCCACTGTTTGTAATAATAATATTAATTCATTGTGTCAAGGGACAGGAAGCCAGATTATGCATGTTAGGCTTATATCAGGAGCCCCCTATTTCCCCATGATCAAATGACTGACCCCGCCCAGGATGCAACCCCACAACAAACTGGGTACCTATTTACTGCTAGGTGGACAGGGACATAAGGTGAAAGGAAATGAATGAAACGAAACGTTTATGAATGATAAACCCTCACATGACTTACAAATGATTATTAAAAGAAAAATGGAGAGTGAACTTTGGAAGGTCTCGAGTTGCATCCCTATTTATCAAGGTTTTCATGGACTGCATCTTTTGTAATTAACTATGCATACAGTAGTTACAGGATGAGAGCTACGCTCGTGGTGTTCCGTCTTCCCAGTACTCTGTCGTATAAGGTTTTGAAACTACTGACGGTTTTGGCCTCCACCACCCTCTCACTTAGCTTGTTCCAGCCGTCTTTCACTCTATTGGCAAAAGAAAACTTTCTAATGTTTGTTCATGTATAGCGATTGCTGCCTACATGTGTACCTGGTGTATGGTCCTAAGGGTTGCATGTGGGAATGCATTTTCAGACATCATGTGTGTGTTACTTATTTGTATAGACATTTGTTAAGGATCTTGTGGAAAAAAAAATAGGATGCTTTAAAAAACCAAGAATTTTAAAATTTTATTAACAAAGTTCAAACCTTGTGAACTTTGTGATATGAAACAAAGACCTTGTTTCATACCTAAAGTATAAAACAAGGTCTAATTATCCATAGTTTTTACACAGTTAAGGTTGGTAAATCTATGAAATATTTGTCTTCAAATTCAATGCATCACATCGTGAACTAATTTTCATTTATATATACAGTACAGTAGTATACAAAATTTTAATTTAACACTAATATCTCTTATGATTTTACGCACAAGTCTTTATCATTAACTAAACTCACTAATTGTTGCTTAATACTGGTAAATAAAAACATGCAAAAATGAGAGCAGACATAAATTGCAGAAACCATTTTATCTGTGAGAGCTTTTGCAAATCTGTTAGATACAGAGGCTCGTGCTTATAGAGGGATAAAACTGGGAAGGGATGAGGTCAGGTAAGGTGACTCAATGCTTGTGAGATTGTAAATATTATAACTAATATTTATGATGTAATAATTTGGTAAGAGGGATATCATTGTTTAATTTTCTGGTATAAGGATTGTTCCCAAGATATCTTCTACAATTTAAACTCCTTGTCAGCAGAATGGCAACAGCAAGGTCACCACAACGGGGCGTATATACCCTTAACATTTGTGACAAAATATATGTAGGGGAAACATCCTGAAACCTGAATGCAGTGATTTACAAATATATGTATGCCATTCCAGTAGCACCAACAACACTTGTCACACATGGAATCAAGAGGAAACTTTCATGAACTTCAAAGATGCTAAACTTGTCACAAAAAAAGGGGGAAACCACATTGAGACAATGTATAGTGTGTAGCCATCAAACACTACAACACCATCAAACAGAACGCAGTAAAGGAATATGTGACTTTGCTGCCTCCTTTTGCTAAATTCATTCTTCATCAATATTAATTGTGATAAGTAATCCTACATGTCTCTCAACTGGCCATACTTGTTGCCAGTTTTGCCCCTAGATAATCATTAGCCCTGAGCATTTGTTACATTTGATAAAGTTCTACAATGAAAGTCTTTTCTCATTGATGTTTCTGTACATTTCTGTCAGCACTTTGTGCTCTTCCCTGTATACTAAAACTGATTGTTTTGTTTTTGCTTTCTAACCCAGTCTTTCTTTTTTACTTATCAACAAGTGGACATTGTGAATGTGTGCACACTGCCCAGGGACTCTGGTCGATGTCTAGGAAATATACCTCGTATATATTACGACGCAGAGGCATCACAGTGTAGGCCTTTCTTTTATGGAGGATGTGAGGGCAACAATAATAACTTCTTAAACTTTGAGGCATGCCATCAGTTGTGCAGCAAGACACCAAAGCCTTCAGAGTCAGGTGTGGTACCCTGGTATAGTGATTCCACTATTGTTATATTTTCTTGGTTTAAAGGAATCTCTTTTTCAACATTATTTAATACTTTAAAGTTAAAATAATTAAATTAAATTTCTCACATTCTTTGTATTTGGCAGTGTCATTTCTTCATATCCACTCAGTGCTCAGTTCTAGACATCTGATAAGTGATAGTCTCTTGTACAGTATTCACATAAAAAATTAGCTCTTTGTGAACTGGGCAAATTTAAAAAGAGTAGATTTTGAGTCGACTGTAGATGTAAAACTTGCTTCTGAGCAAGGCACTTCGTTGCTTCTTTAGGCAGGGTCCTGTGGGTTCTGTGGACAGCACTATGCACAGTTAGTACAGCTCCACAAATTGCACTTGGCACAGTGGGAACTTTTTAAACTTCCAATTCAAGTTATACTGGTCCAAGAGAGATCTGGAAAATTCTTGATCTAGCCTGGAATAACCTTCAGAATGCTCATTTGTTTAAATTTAAAACCCCTTTTAAGCACTACTGTACACGAGAGTAGCAAGCTAGCTGTTATCCCGGTCCTCCATGAGGTGTAAGCACCTACATGTCAAGAGGATAAGCAGGCTATGTCCACCTCACATTATGCTCCTTAAGTCCTAGTAGTACATGTACTTGGAAAGTGTAGATAAGTGTAGATTTAAGTGTAGATAAACTAGTCTTCTTCAGGTCATTCTTGGCCGGAAGAAGAATTGATCAATCTTTCACCCCCACCTCCTAAAAACAAAATGAAGGAAACTGAAGGCTTGTTAGCCCATACCCCCATATTGAAGCAGCTCCTATTTGTATCCACTCCAACTCCTTAATATATATATACAATATACCTAACCTACACTCATAACAATCCAGCACCACCATGTCTATTATGTTACCTTGTATGACCTGTCGCATATAAAAAGATGCCCACTATACCATTGAGAGAGGTTGGCCTGCCCTGGCAATGTCTAGTTTTTGCCATGAGAAGAACTGTTCCTTGCTAAAGAGCAACTGATTAGTACAGATCAGGAAAAATGTTTGATTATGAAGAGAGATTATTTTCTTATCACAAACCCTATTTACATTGCAAAAAATTTTGCTTATTTTAATAGCTATCAGGAAGTTAAGATATCAATTTTAGCTGCATTATTATGTGTAGCATTACCTCTTTCTGTCCATTTTAAAATTAACGACACCTGCTATAGCAACTATATTCTAAATTTATGGAAAATACATTTACTCTTATTAATGTACAGGTATTTTTAAGGCTTGGTACCCTGTTGTGTTCTAATATAGTTGTTTTTAGTACAGTAGTATTTTTAAAATGACTTAATATGTTGAATTGTGCTATTGAGTATCAAAAGTTTATTTCTTTATGAACTTAGCAAATAAATATTTTTTGTTTTATAGTGATTGCTTTGAGAGATGTTAAATTTTATTATAATTTGTTAAGATGATGTACAGTAACTAGCATGCAAATATAATTAGTACCTGTATTGTAGTGTACTGTATTAGGGTATATTTCATCAGCACATTTCTTGATGAGTTCCAGTAACCAAGAATGCCTGCTGGAAAGTTTACAAAAATATCTGGTGCATCTGATATCATCTGTATTATGCAACCAAAGGAAAAGCTTCTGGTCCAGCTAGCATTCTCAAGGAATAAGTTTTGAGTGGGAATACACAGTATTGCAAAGGGAAGATCAAACCAGAAAATGCCTATAGCAAATGCTGAACAACTAATAATGAAATGTTCATAAAATTGCCAACCAAACAATAAGGTTGAGGACTTAAATTAAATAGTTTCACTTGATAGTGACACAAAGCACAATTTAATCAACAGTTGTAATATTACAGAGAAATGAGAATCGTGTGTGTGCGTGTGTATATGCATGTACTGTATAACCTCTTCTGACTAAAACTTTTCTTGTAGAAATACTCTTCCACTAATTCTCAATTCCATTAGCGTGCATTGTGGGTGGTGAGACCCCTCGAACCCCCACACCCCCACTCGGCGTGAAGGTAACAGGTGTGTTAGATCGACGATTTCCCAGCAGGATGGCCCTGCAGGTGGAGTGGTCTCCTCCTCGGTGCCCTCATGGCAGTATTATCGGTAGGCGGAGCATGATCGGGCTCGTCATTGACGGCAAATAAAATATTATACCGGCAAACTATAAATCGAACGATATCTAATTGATAAAGGAATGTGTATTGTAGTCTTGAGGATGTTGATAAAATTTATTTGTTTGCAAGAACCTATTAAATGAAATATTTATGGCTTAAAATGCTGATTAAACTATCTCGTAAGAGAATGTAATATTTTTGCTTACCGAAGAATATAACAGGCATATTTAAATGCTTCAAGATATCAGCTGGTTGCAAGAAAATGGTATGTTATAATTTTTTTTTACTGAACAGGAAAAATGCAGGTAACAAACTTACATTCTTACAGAAGTTATGATATTGCATTAATCTTGCTTGATTTGATTAATTTTGTATGAATGGTTGCATGAATTTTAATATATTGCATAGTCCTGCATTTATACTCAGGATGAGGGGGCTAAACTGCCATTAAAAGACTTGAATAACCAAGAGTACTGTAACTACTGCTTTTCTTCCCCTATAATGTACATAAATGCCAAGTTCAGAGTGTAATAAATAGTAGATGTGGTATCATTGGAGTGTTTCAAGCATAGGATAGACATGTATGAATGAATTTGGTTGAACATAAATAGGACCTGTTTCATAGGTCAATCGATCTTCTGCAGTTCTCCTTAATCTAATGTTCTTATTCATAAGTTAACCTAACCTAACTTAGGTGTATTGTAAATGATGTTTTGTTTGATACAGATAAAATATAATTTCCGGTAAAATCTACTCTCAACATGGTGTTTCTCTGCACTTTGTACTCTCTCTCTTTGGTCCAGTTCCCTTAACTAGAGTGTACTGGTATAGTTGTCATGGTGTGTATGTGGCTGTCTGTCTTTAGCATGATCACACTTTCAGTTCCACCTACAATATCATTTTCATTTATTAAAGTATTACAAGTAATCTTTATAGAAGGACTGTGTTCATTATATGAAATCATTTTGTTCACAATTATTAGAGTAAAAAGTCATTATTACCATTAGATTTGAAAGAAATAGTTTTCTTTCAGATTACAAGTCTATAATTAATTTCTGAAAGGACTCCCTCAGTATCTCCCCAAGCTAACCACCAGTCCAGCCAAGCCTCTGGGGATGCATGAGGCCTCTCAGAATGCACTCTTGCTTACCAGGAACCAAGATCAGAATATGGATCTTTCTATATGAGGTGGGGGGAGCTTGATGACCAGAGATTGTGAGGAGAGAGAGAGACATCAGCCAGCTTAAAATGTGGTAGAGAGTGCACACTGCCGTTTTGATTTCTTTCTCATGAATGCACAAGGAAGTGCACCAGGGCTAACTTCGTTAGTATGAACTGTATGTGTACTTTGTTGGCTGTCTATGGACAGTGCATGACCCCAGCTGTCAGGTGAGACTATGATGGCTGTCATGGCAATTTTAGTAAGGGAGTTACACCCATTGTAATAGGTACTGTATTACATTACTTATCTCTAAGGTTTTTGAAAATCCAGAAATAGAATCAGAGGGAACTTTCAGCTGCCTTGTGCTCAGTAGGCTACAACCCTCCAACTGTCTTGAGGCTCAGGTCTCTCTCCAGTGTGTCACCAGAGCCATCACGCCACCGAGGTCAGGCTTCCATTTGTTGAGGCATGTATGGGCTCCCTCTGATTGACTTTTTCAAAGAACAGAAGGGATAGTGTGTGTGTGCCCACATCTAAGCCACGTGGCATCTTCCCCCTCATTCTGTCGGTGTTGCTCCACCTGTAGGACATGTCATCCATAGTTGTGGCCACAACTACGAGAACACCGTCTAAATGCAACACTAAGCTTGACCCACTATCCTCATTCCATCCCATACTATGATATGCACTCACTTTAGGCTAGATCACCCCAGACTAGTGTGGCACGAGCTGGAAGCAAAGTCCTAGTTGAGGCCTGGTGCACCCATGAACAGTACCAGTGATGGAGGAGAAGGATGCAATGGAAGTGAACTCCCCCCAAAAAACAGGAAAATTATTGATCATAATCCCCTTCAAGGTGACACATGCCACATGTAGCCCTGACTGCAGCACAACATGGCTGGAGTGTTTATGTCACGGCAGTGATCGATTGGATGAAAAGCAGTTGGTCATTTTATGCAATTATGCTTTCAACTTTTTTTTTCAGTTATGGACTGATTTCTGATCAAGGTCCTCGTAACTTTATATATACTGTAGTGTCAGTCTGGTCCTGTCTGCTGATGGGTAAGGGTGCATCTCGGGGGGGGCCTGGTGCATCTCCATATAAGAAATGATTGGACCAGCACTTAGCTTAGGGAGCTATTGAGAGGACCTGCTCAGAAATACACATTTTATCATACAGAAAAAATTAGTAAATTCTGAATTTATTTAATTTTCAATTTATTTTTTATGAAAACAGTGCACTATTAATACACACATCGAATGAATCTCTCACTCTTTATAGAATGTCTGTATTTAAGCACTTATTGCTGTATATTTGCCAATTAATTTAATATTGCTGTGGTTGCATGAAGTTATATTAGCATCTTTGTAAGAATTTCAGCAAATTGCATGGCAAATTTTATCTTAATGTTCTTAATAACTTTAATACTCAATATTATACAGTAACATCTTCAATGCATATTCCTGTAAATTCAGAGAAAAATTGCAAATCTCATCGAATAATGACCAATTATCAGCCTATTGCTATGCTAGAATGTCACGGATATCTGTAAATAGTTGTGATATAGAAGTCCACCTCAAAGTGGCATCAATTTCCTTGACAACAGCATAAGCTCCATCCCAACAGCTTATTGGGTATTGTATCATGAGACTCAGCATCATGAAGCTAATAACCACATTGAATGGACAAGACGAAAAATCCATGGAGACCTTAGGACTCAGATGATTATTGATGGGCTAGATCCCTTGCAGACATACATGGTAGGAGTATCAGCCCAGAATGCCCAGGGACATGGCGATGTTTCGCATCATGTGATCTTCAGTTTGGTCCCACGTAAGTCATTCAGAAGCATTGCAGATCTACTGTGAGGCATTATAAAATAAGTTTTGTCTCTTTCAAATGGAACTTCATTCAACGGAAGTTTGAAGGCTACAAAGAATTATGATCTGATTTTAGTTATTAAAAATTTCGTTTTTTTTTTAGTAGTGTACATGTATTAATGTGCTAGATGTGATTAAATCTCTTTACACACAAGTTCTCTTGGTAGTTGTCGTTCATATGACAGGTTGAAATTAAAATTTCAGTCTACTGTCCAACCATTTGGGCAGAGTGACAGTCTTGCTTCATGCAGGTCTTCATTCAATCTCCAGATGTTAAAGTGGCTGGGGACCGGTCCTTTTTCCCCGGTCCCATCCCAGATCCTTTTCCTGATCCTTTCCAAGTGCTATATAGTCATAATGGCTTGGCACTTTTCCCAATTATTCCCTTCCCTTAGTAAAGTTAGCACATAGGAAATTGGGAAATAGCATTGGGAAATATTAGGGTATGAATGATAACACTTAATATGGCTTCAATCACATTTTTAATAATTTTCAAAGATAGATGCAACATTACAGGAAACAGATGGAACCTTGCGAAAGCTTTTGAGGATATTTAAAACTAAATTCTATGGCTTGATTTCATTTTGAGTTGGCAATATTTTGATTCAATCAAGTACAGTATACCCCTGCTACCTTTTGAAAATGAGTTTTGTGGCTGGGGGCATGAGAAATAAGCTAGAAGTGGTTAAAATTCTTTATAGACATGTTTACTTGGTAGTTGTCTATCATATTACAGGTTAAACTAAAAAGAAATCTGATTGAAATTAGCCCATAGGGCATGGGAAATGCATCCTGGAACCATCTCCAATTGCAAGAAATTGGGTTTGGTCCCTTTCTGTAACAAATTAGGGTTAGTTCCTCTCTGCATCAAATTGGGGTTGGTCCCCCCTCTGTAACAAATTGCAGTTGGTCCCATATAGTTCACTGAATCAAGGTTGTAATGTATGAGTGCGTGTGTAATTACCTAAATGTAGTTACAGGATGAGAGCTATGCTTGTGGGGTCTCGTTTTCCCAATACTCTTTGTCAAATAATGCTTTGAAACTACTGACAATTTGGCCTCCACCACCACCTCACTAAATTTGTTCCAACTGTCTATCACTATTTGCAAAAGAAAGCTTTCAAATATTTTTTTGGCACATATGTTTCCTTAGGTTGAAGCTGTGTCCTCTTGTACTTGAAGTTGCTGGTTGTCAGTTTGGTCGATTCCTTTTATTATTTTGCAAGTGGTGATCATATTGCCTTTCTTTTCTCTATCTTTTGCATATGTAATGCCTCTAGCCTCTTTCATAACTCCATTTTTCAATTCCAGCAGCCATTTTGTAGCATATATGTATGAGTGTAGTTACAGGATTAGAGCTACATTCGTGATGTCCCAGCTTCCCAGCACTCTGTGTCACAAAATTGGAGTAAAGTACAGAATGTCATAAATCCTCTAACCAATGAGTTACCATGTTACCACTACCGTTTCTGGTGAAGAACAAGATGGCCCCTTTCCAGAGGGTCCTTGGGTTGTTGGTGCTTGGTTGCTTTGGCTGAGGGTGCATTATGCGTTGTGTCCCGTTGCGGCTCTTTGTCGTTATTTGCGCGCCACAGCTTTGGTGGCCGGGAACGCGCTTTGGGTTGACCCAGTTTCCCTTCTTCCCTGTTCTAGGGCTCTGGTCTCCCAGGTTGTCCTCAGGGTTATTCGGTCCAGCCAGCCTGTGGTCTATCCTCGTGCCAGCCAGCCTGTGGTCTATCCTCATGCACATGACGCTCGCAAATTTGTTGCTTTAGCTGCTATTTTTGGTAATGCCTGTGTGTCTTGGGCTGACATATGGGTGTGGTGATTTTGGAAGTTGAACAAGGTCCTGGCAGCCCGTTACATCGATAATGTTCCTGACCCTAGTCGAGTGTGTGTCGCTTTCGGTCGCAGCCAGTTGTCTCGACTTCCAAGTTGAGGCGCGAGTGGCGGCCGCCTCATAGGTAAATCTCTCCTTTCCTTTTTTCTGTGGCTAGGTAGCTCCAGGAAGCCGGAGGGGCTCTCCACAGAAAACCAGCATTGGCTAATGAAATGCCATTTTCTGGGCGAGTCTCTGATGCTCCCGGCAACCCTCCTTGCCTCCCTCCGGTCGGCGTTTTTTTGCATTTTTTGACATTCAGCCTCTGAACTGAGGGTGGATAGCTGGCACAGGGTTTGGGGCTCCCCCTTCCCCCTCCCGGGGAAGTGGGAGCTGTGCAGACAGGCGGCGTGGTGGTGGGTGTGATGTCATGCTTGTTTTCCGATTGGGGAGTTCTGCTTAGCAGTTCAGTTTTAGGTAGCACTGTGTCACCAGTTGGGGTCTGTTTTGGAACATCTACCTTTCTGGGTGCCTAACTCGGTAGATGGCAGATATAGAATGCTTCCAACCACTTGGGGGTTTCTATAGGCCATTGCTCCTTGTGCCTCTCTGAGGGGGGCCAGGTTACTGGCTCATGGTCCCCGGTAGGCTAGAACTCCAATCGAATCGATTGATGCCACGGTCTAATACATACATATCAGCCCGGTATAGCTCTAGGAAGCCTCCAGCACTCACCAGAAAATGGCGTTTCATTACATTCAACGTGTTTTTTTTTTTAATATTTTGTAGCGCTATCCTATGTTTGAAGCACATGTGCTAACTTTATTCATGAATTTGTCTAGGTCCATGTTAAAATATATTGCCAATATATTCAGATCTTAACACTTAACAGATCTTATTATATTATTGTAAAATAGTTTAAGAAAATGCCACTAATGAAAAATGATTTTACTGTAGTCTTTATTATGTTTGATAATACTTTGAGAAACATGTTTATTGCACGTAAGGGTACAGGTATGCAAGGCATAATTATTCATGTTTATTCCCAGTATTGCAACCAGTATATCATGCTTATTGTTCCTGGTAATTAATATAGCCAAGAACTTCTGTACTACGATAAATTTGTATTCATTGTTTAGCCTTGGTAAGAAGTTACTTAACATACCTTATTTACACCATCAAATTTTTGCCCTAAGTTATGATTTGTAACTGAAACTACACTTAGATGTGTGGTGATTGAAACTTAATTACAGTATTGTAATTAGTAAGAATAATATATAGTACTTATGTGGAGACCAATAATAAACCAATAGTAAGATTATTTTGATCGATATTTCTCCACCTTCCAGCAACACAAGCTGTGGAATGTTACCTTGGGAGTCTAAACATTGCTCTTGGGTCAGCCCTCAACACGAGTGAGTGCAATCTTAACTGCAGATGCATAACACCACCTGAACCCACCTGTGTGCAGTACAGGTCTTGCACACTAGCTCAAGAAGCAGCATTGATTCAAGGTACTGTAATGGGTTTCTTCTAGAGAAGCCAGTTGGCAGATTTACATTGCACAGGAAAAACTGTGTGAAGAGCATGTTATGGAATGCAAGATTATTTTGCCTTTTCCTTCTCTCTCAAAATTACAGCATTATAATTTTTAATAAAATGCATGATACAGCTCCACCAAAGTTTCTAGTATTGTAGGATTAATATGATATCTCGAGCTATTATTGGTGTCCTTAGGTATTACTAAGGTGTTGCTCCTCACACAGTGTTCTTTATGTGGTCCTCAGGTGACAGTGTTATATCTATAACCATAGATCTCTTTATCAAAATTTGTTAAAGCTTTTTTACACAATTTGTAGGCTACATATTGTTCAAGGCCTAGAGATATTTAAAAATACAGGGAGGCTACCAAGTACAGTATAGGAAGTGCAATGAATACATAGAATATATTAAGTACAGTACATTATTACGCAAATGAGTACAGACATCTGCTCAGCCAGGCTACTACACCCCAAGCATTCATGACACTGCAGTTACTAACCCTATATACCTGAATTTTACTAAAAGGATAATTTTTTTAATTGACAAATTTAAGAAATATTGCTATATAGTGCTGTCAAAATTTTGCAAAAATCTTTTAACTTTTAGTCTTCCTATATGATTGTAATTTTAATTCTTAAGAATTATCTTACTGTTTGTCTTCAATTGAAACCATTTGGGATCAATTTAAATTTTTTTATACATCAATTTTATATAAAAACTCAAAACAAAATTTAATATGCTTTGTATTATCCAGTAAATTTGTTACAATTCATTGAAAGATTGTTGGCACTTTCTGACTGTTGCAAATCTGGGGAATTACTTAATTTGATGTAAAGTATTGTAATAATTCATTGTTATTAAAGTCTTGTCTTATTCTGCATTTTATATTTAAGAATGTGCTGAGCCGTCATGTGCTACTGGATGTGACATCATCATGGATGCTGCAACGGGATGTCTTGTATGTTCATGCAAAGATGAAACCTTTGTGTGCCCACAACACACTTGCCCCAGTTACTGTGAAAATGTTTTAGATCTCCAAACAGGTTGTCTTCTCTGTAAGTGTGACTGCTCATATGATTTTGCTGGCCAGCCCCATTGTCCAGTAGATTGTGATGTTTATGAATTTGTAGATGAACTCACAGGATGTAAGAGATGCGAGTGCAAGCTCAATAGCACAAGCAGTACATCAGTTACACGTCAACTCTGCCCAGTGGATTTCTCGGGCAGAGCCCCATGCCCCATGGACTGTGCAATCCGTCGAGTGGTGGATGAGACAACAGGCTGTGAGAAATGTGAATGTGATCCAGAAAAAACAATTAATCCATTTAGGCCACATGAACTTCCTCCCCGCCCTCCTCTAGATAGTAACTGTCCTACGTATGCCACTGGTAAGGCCCCTTGCCCCATGGATTGTGCAATCCGTAGGGTTGTAAATGAGAAAACAGGTTGTGAAATATGTGAATGTGATCCAAATAACCCAGGTCATCCATTTGGGCCCCATAGTCCTCCCTATATTGTTAACACATAGCTTCAACAAAAATATTCTTAGCACTGTTGTTTACAGTTTGCTAGATTATGGGTCAAACTGAAAATATGTCCATTTGTTTGTTTCCTTCACTCCACAATGAAGTATATTAGCCCATCATCAAAACAAAGGGCTGAGGCACACAACATACAAAGTCAAATACTGAGTACAAAAACTACATAGGTCAGTATTTGGACTTATAGTCCACTTAGCCATGTTCAAGGCCTTGACTAAACACATGCTTCCTTCAGCCTGTAGTATAAACACTCCCTAAATCAATGTAACTAAAACACCTAACCATACAAATCCACAATATATAATAATAATAATAATTTAAATATCAGATTTTTTGTTTATTATGTGATAATAAATATAATAAAAATGTCTGCTGGCTTCTCGGGGTTTGGCTTTCCATGTGGTTCATATCCAGGAAGTGTCCAACGTCCTAGCGGACGGCCTATCTTGGCTCATTCCCCTGTCCACAAAATGGACAGTTGACACAGACTCCTTCAGTTGGCTCTGCCGGATGTACGGACTCCTGGACGTGGACCTCTTCGTGTCGGAGTGGTCTCGGCGTCTCCTGACCTATGTGGCGCCCTTTCCCGACTGCGAGGCTGTCGCGATGGATGCCTTTCGGTAGGACTGGTCGAGGTGGGGTTGCTTCTACCTCTTCCCCCTGGTCCAGCTGTTGCTTCGAGTTCTGGCTCATTTGGAGTCCTACCAAAGGAGAGTAGTCCTAGTGGCCCATTGGTGGCAGGCCCAGCCTTAGTTCCAGGCGCTGCTTGTTCGGTGTGCGAACCCGGGGCGTTTTCCGCAGCTCTGCCCTGTCCAGTACATGGCTGGTTCAGTCTTCTCCACTCTTTGCAGCTGGTCTTTTTTACCTAGGTTTATCACTATTTGTATGGTGATCAGGTGGTTTCGTTGATGGTGTCCCAATTGAAAGCTTTATCTCGGCAACAGTATAAAGTATCCTGGCATTCTTTCTGCCATATTCTCTCTTCGTAGGTTGTCTTCAATTTCTGATTAGGTTGTCTTGTACTTTCTGTCTTGGCTTTTTCAGGACAGTCATTTAATGCCTAATGCTGTTGCCTTGTATCGTGTGGTGGAGCGTGTGTTCGGGGTGGTTGTTTCTTCTGCCCCGTTCTGTAAGCTTTGTGCTCTGTTTCACCTCCGGCCTGCTCATTCCTGACACCTGAGCCATCCTGGTTCTTGGACAGGGTGCTCTCCTATCTTTCCTCTCCTCAGTTTGTGGTGGCCCCTTCGGTTCAAGATTGTTTTTCCAAGGCTCTGTTTCTGTTGGCATTGGCCTCTGGGGGTCAAGTCGGTAAGCTTTTTATGCTTTAAAAAAAAACTTTTTGGCTTTTTTCATGTATAATTCTTTAAGTGTAGTTACAGGATGAGAGCTACGTTCATGGTGTCCTGTCTTCCCAGCACACTGTCGTATAATGCTTTGAAACTGCTGATGGTTTTGGCCTCCACCTTCTCACCTAACTTGTTTCAACTGTCTACCACTGTTTGTGGAAGTGAATTTTCTTATATTTCTTTGGCAGCTTTGTTTAGTTAGTTTAAATCTATGACCATTTGTTCTTAAGTTCCAGGTCTCAAATTCTTCCCTGGGCTGGATTATTTGTTTTAAGTCACATTACTATAACTTATTGCATTATTATTATGATTATATATTTGTGTGTGTGTACTTACACTATGAGATCCTAGCATGTGATGACCCATATTCATTACTGTATATTCTTTGTCACACAGTATATATAACGTTCATGTACTTTGGTTCCTTGTACGTATGCTCTCTCCACCTGTCTCCACAGACCTATATGATTGGCTTTTAGATTCCATTTTGCAGGATGTCTGAGCATTATCACTTAAAAAAAAATCTTTCTCCTACCTCTGGTCAGCCATTTAGCTTTTCCACGTAGCATTGTAATACTTGCATTTTTTCTAAGAGTAATCCCTCCTTAAAAACCATAGTTATCATTATCATCACTTAATATAAATGCTCAGAAATACTGGAAGATTATTTGTTTTTTACCATTTAATTTCAGTACTTATAAGGGATGATTTCTTTCCTTATACAGTATATGCAATACTGTATATACATATATAATATATACTTATATATGCATATATTATTATAATTGATAGCAAAAGAAAAAATTAGACCATAATAAATTGTGAAAATGAATTTTGAAGTTAATTTTTCAACTTCCCTTGACAGTGAAGAAAAACATAAGAAACATTGAGAAGATTTGTGTTAGAATCATTAATCTTACCCTTTTGGTCATATTCAACAACATATGTTTACAAGAAAGACTGCTACCAAAAATAAACTAATATAATATATACATATATATCCACACACACGGTATAATGTCATACCCAATAGCTAGAACTGCACCACTTGGCCTAGTGTGCATTATTTTCGTTATTTTCAAATTGGTTTATTCCAATTAATATTACTATATTAAGAACATGAATTATTGACAGTTACCCAGTATGTAATGTTAAAGTTAGGTAGATTAGGTTTCATCAAATTTGTTAGTTTTCAATTTTGTTTCATCATGTCATAATGAAAGGAGAATGCTCTATCATTCCATAAGAAAAAATTGTAAAATATATTTTTTCAGGAAAATTTGGCTTGTTAGGAAACTTGGCCTATTAGGTATGGTATGTAGATTTATATATATATAAATATACATATACAGTATACCATATATAAATATATTTATATACATATTTATATACTGTATATAAATATATATTATAAATATACTCTATATAAATTTGTTAGGGACAGGCTGCCCGTCCAACAAAATTATTATAATCATTGTTACTGATGGTCAATATTGATGAGTTTAAATTTGAAAGATATACATCTAAACTTGAAATTTGTTATAATATAAATACAAATTTATCCAAGGTATGATGAAGACATTAAAAATATTGTATAGACAATATCTTGCAGAATTAATATATTTCTCGAGTGCCACAAGTTTATATATATTTTAGGAAAGAAGAAAATGCATTGATGTATTTAGACCACAAATTTAATGTTTTCCACGGGGACAGCATGTGAACGTTCCTCTGGGATGAGAGCACTTTCAAACCAAGACAAAAAATTAGAGCAACAAGGATAGCCTCTCAAAATATGTCTTTGTTAGATAATGTTAATAAAAGTAAACTTAATCTAAGTCCTGTTATATAATATATTATATAATATATATATATATATATATATATATATATATATATATATATATATATATATATATATATATATATATATATATATATATATATATATATATATATATATATATATATATATATATATATATATATATATATATATATATATATATATATATATATATATATATATATATATATATATATATATATATATATATATATATATATATATATATATATATATATATATATATATATATATATATATATATATATATATATATATATATATATATATATATATATATATATATTTTAGTATACTCAGCCAGAAAGACAAGCATGATACATAATAGGTGGAATGGCCATTCTCCGTCTTGGGTAACCTAGTTAGCTTAATCGTGGCTTTTGGTAAGTACAAGTAAGTTAGCGAGTACAAGCCAAGAATATTATTTTGCCATGTTTCTTTTTCCGTTTTATTTGTCTCCTGTCACTATTATATATATAGATTCTGTGTGCATATATCATATATGTTATGTATATATAATAGCTATAGGCATATCATATATGCAATGTATGTATAATATTTAAGTGTGTGTGTGTGTGCATATAGGTATACTCGGTATTATTTTTAAGTAATAAGCACATTTTAACAAGTAAATATGTTGCATATGTATGACTTTTATATTTAAAAAGGGTACATCATTACAGTTTACATTATAAAGAGCCTAAGTAGACTGCATCAAACTAAGAAAGTGCTGCATTTACCTTTATTACAGGTGTTCCAAACTTTGTTACATGTGAACTTAGCAAGTTTTTAAGACTATATAAAGTCTTATCAATAATGTCTACCACCAAGTCTGTCAATGATGATTTTATATAAGCCAACTTTTGTTATATACCAACAATGTAAGCTGGATATAAATTTTGTTTTTAATATTAAATATATAATTTTTAATGATTAAGAGAACATAAATCATAAATAACGATGAGAGTGCTTGGCAAACAGATGGAGATAAGGTGATGGCTGGAAGCATGAACTAGAAGCCTGGTTGTCAATGGTCCTCAAGCTACCAACTCACCGCCTCCACCAGTTCTGAAAGGAACAGTGCCTTCATTTCTTTACAAGTCTGTATGGTGTGGGGTACGGGTATTGGTGGCCTGTTTTAGAAAGGTCAGTGAAACTGGAGCATCCTCCCTCCCAACTCTCTCTCATAAAAACTAAGCAATGGCCAGTTTTTTTTTGTTTTTTTTTCTTTTTTTAATATATAATGCCTAGTATGATGACTTTCTCAACTAATCACCTCTCATAACTTTGACATCAGTCGATGTGGGTAGAGTTCTAGGCCTACCAGGGACAACAAGCCAGAACCTGGCCCCCCTCAGAGAGGCACGAGGAGCAATAGCCTATAGAAATGCACATGTGATTTGGAGCATTCTATATCTTCCATCAACTGGGACAGGCACCCAGAAAGGTAAGTGCCCCAAAACAAACCCTTATTCTGATTAAAAACGACGAAAATAGACAAATGAGTGGACAGAACTCCCCAAATGAAAACGAGCAAATGAGCATGACGTCACTCAAGCCGCACCGCATGTTTGTGCAGCTTTCCCCTCCTCGGGAGGGGGAAGCCGCACAGCATGTCTATGCAGCTTTCCCTTTCCCAGAAGAGAGGGAAGGGGGAGCCCCAGAAATTCACATCCCAGTTCTGAGGGTGGATATCAAAATACACAAAAACCGCCGATCGGAGGGAAGAAAGGTTGCCGGGGAGCCTCCGGGACTCGCCCAGAAAATGGCATTTCATTACATACAATGCTGGTTTTCTGGGGGGAGCCCCTATGGCTTCCCGGGGCTATTTCACCAAAGATGAAAACGAAAGGGGACTTACCTGGGAGGCAAGCGGTGCTAGCATCTGAATTCAAAGTCAAGACAGGCTGCAGCCGCCAACCCAAAGCGACACAGGCTTGACTAGGCCCAGGAACATTAATGAGGTAGCGTGCAGCCAGGACCCTGTTCAACCGCCAAAATCCCCATGTCCAAATGTCAGTCCAGGACATAACACCAAAGACGGCAGCAAGAGCAGCAAATTTACGAACGTCATGGGCACAGGGATAAATCGCAGGCTGGCTAGAGTTGATAACCCTGTAGACGACTTGAGAGACCCGTACCCGTGAACAGGGAAGAAGGGAAACTGGATCAACTCAAAGTGCGTCCCAGGACACAGAAGCCGTGGCATGCAAATAACAGTGGAGGGCCGCAACCGGACACTACACATGATGCACCCCTGGCTTGACCTGCTGGATCACATCAGCCGAAGAACTGGGGGTGTGGATCGCCGGCACGGGGGTATGGGGCTCCCCTTTCTCCCTCCCAGGGAGGGGAGCTGCACAGACATGCAGCGGCTTGTGTAACATCATGCTTATTTGCTCGTTTTCATTTGGGGAGTTTTGTCCACTCATTTGTCTATTTTTGTCGTTTTAAATCAGAATAGGGGTTTGTTTTGGGGCGCTTACCTTTCTGGGTGCCTGTCCTGGTAGATGGCAGATATAGAATGCTCCAAATTGTTCATTTCTATAGGCCATTGCTCCTCGGGCCTCTCTGAGGGGGGGCCAGGTTCTTGCTCGTGGTCCCTCGGTAGGCCTAGAACTCCTAGAACTCCACCCACGTCAACTGATGCCACAGTTGCCATATTCATATCAGCCTGGATAGCTCCAGGGAGCTGTAGGGCCTCCCCCCAGAAAGTACTTTGAAAAACTTTTAACTTTGAAAAAAAGTAACACGAAGCAAAGAACTTGTTGAAAAAATACACACCAAGAAGGAGAAAGAAAACTAGGTTGATACAAATAGTAGTTTAAAAAAAAAAAAAAACTTTAACAACCAAACTCAATCTCCGGAAAAGGCATCATGAGATATATAGAAGGGCATTATATTTATCTACCCAGGAAAACGATCAGTCAAAAGAAACTACGAAAGAAGACTTGCTCAAAACAAAGAAAGATCCATCTATTTTATGCTTTTGCTAAGAGGGATGCTTGGACTAATCTCTCTTCCCCTTCCACCCAACATTCCACCCTTTTCCTATAATTCTGACGGTGCTACAATCTCCCTGGCTTGGTGCCTTTTGACAATTGCCTCCCCCTCTCCCCTACGGGGGCCTCGTAGCCTGGTGGATAGCGCGCAGGATTCGTAATTCTGTGGCGCGGGTTCGATTCCCGCACGAGGCAGAAACAAATGGGCAAAGTTTCTTTCACCCTGAATGCCCCTGTTACCTAGCAGTAAATAGGTACCTGGGAGTTAGTCAGCTGTCACGGGCTGCTTCCTGGGGGGTGTGTGTGTGTGGTGTGGAAAAAAAAAAAAAAAAAAAAAAGTTAGTAAACAGTTGATTGACAGTTGAGAGGCGGGCCGAAAGAGCAAAGCTCAACCCCCGTAAAAACACAACTAGTAAACACATCTACCATCTCCTTTCCCTCCCCCTCTCCCCACATCTACCATCCCCTTTCCCTCCCCCTCTCCCCACATCTACCATCCCCTTTCCCTCCCCCCCCCCCTCATACCCCTTTCCTGCCCTGTTCCTTTCCTTGCCCCCCCCCCCTCTCTCAAACAGACATTTCCATTTATAATTCTAAATATAATACATCCATCTATATACTGTATAATACATATAGAAAGGGGTACCCGGCTGTACCCAGGACTCTTCTCCCTTTTTCCACCCTTTCCTTCTCTTCAACCCATCTCTCCTTGACCCCCTCATCCCCATCCTCTTGGTACCTCCTCCCTCGCCTTTCCCCTCCTCCAGTGATCCTTTCTCAGAAAATTTAATAAGAAATACTGAAACAACTGTGGGAGTCTCAGAATATATATTACAATCACTGAAAACTGAAAATCTCCAAATATTTCACTCTTGACTCCGTGAAAATTGCATGTGTGGGGTCTATAAATGACTATTTCTTAAAGCATTTAACGTAGGCCTACCATGACCAGCCTATGTCTGTCTCATACCCTAGACCATTCCCTCTGCAAAGTTGGATGATGATAACCTTCCCTATCCCTTGGTCTTCCCTCCATCTCTTCCTCCTCTAGTAAAATGTATTAGGAGCCCCCCCCCCACCTCTTCCCCTTCTCTCAGATGTGCCCCCCCCCCTACTTGAGGGCACACTGCTATCCAAGTCTCCATGCTTGTATACCCAGCATGGAGACCTCATCTTCAGAAAGACAGTTGCATTGAAGAAAGTTTAATGCCAACAAAAATCATTCCACAACTAAATCTCTCATACCAGGAATAGTTGAGGGCCACAGAGCTAACAACACTGCAAACCATACATACATGATAGGGCTGATCTCATCAAATCTTTAAAATACAGAACAATTTGGAGGAGGATGTCCCTGATAACTTATTTAAAAGTTCAAATGTAACAAACAAGGAACAATGGTTTTAAGTCACAATGTAGGACGGAAAACTGGAGATAGTTATTCACCCAAAGAGTTATAGACCCATGGAATCGCCTACTCGCTGAAGCCATAAATGCAAAACAAGAATGCTGAATTTTAAAATCTAGTTTGATAAAAATCAGGACAAATGGAGGTACATTTGACAAACTTGTGACCTCATCGAGGTCACTACAGTGTTAGTGGCCCCTCCGGAAATGTGTGTTCGTACAGTATGATTATCACTCTACGGACATTTAGTTCCAGATTTCATTATGGATTAATTTCTAACTTGAAAATCGCTCGGTGTTGGGTTACACAAACCATATTTCTTAAAGCATTTAACTTCGGCCTACCAAAGTCCGTCCCATAACACACCATTTTCCATATAAATTTCGCCGAGATTAGCTCCAAGCAGCCTCCAACCCTGGACACACACACATACACTGTCTTATAGTATACATAAGTAAAACCAAGACCAAAGACTTGATGGGACCACTGAAAAGACAAGATCAACCAAATACTAATTTATGATAAAAGTGAAGCCAACACTGAATGAATACTTTAAATCAGTGTTCACACTAGAAAGATTAGACAACATTCTAATTTCATAAATGTTTGAAGCACGGAAAGAAATTTAAGAAGAATATTTTCCCATAATATGCCAAATAGTCAAGAATAGCTCTGACAGATACAAAAGCCTCGGGTGTGGATGTAATTTAAAGCCATCAAGAAACTAGCAGAGGAACTACCATTGTAGTTCCTTTTCAGAAAACCTCTGGACCAAAGGATAGTTACCCTAGATTGGAAACCCCATTTTAAAATATGGCAGAAAGAGCTTAGCAGAAAACTGCCTGTGTTGGTAATAAGAGGAGAAGAATTGAATAGGGAAAGAATTATTGGTTGAATACCTGTACTTACGGCCTGGGACGCAAGAGTGCGTTGAGGAACATACTCCCGCGTTCCTTGCTGCTCTTCATGCTGATTTTCTTGTTGCTGCTGCTCTTCCTGCTGCTTCTGTTCCTTTTGCAGGTGAATGCGTTTCCAGTCCTGGCTGTCAGTGGAATGGAATACCCGTGAGGCAGCCGAGGTGGCCACAACAGGGCTTTTGTAGGAGAAGACTTGCCTATGGAACAAGAGGGTCAGGTAAGACGCTGGAGGTAGAATGACAGGAGTAACAATACATCATACTCACACCCAACACCTAGTTCCACCTATCACCACAACATGACGTGCATATATAACAAACCACAACTTGCCCAATCACCAACACCCTTCCATTGACACAACCTTTATCCCTAACCATTACCACAAACAGCCAACATTCGTTACTACCACACTTTTTGCTAATATCACGAAGCACCACCACTCCTCTCCTGAACAATACCGCCACCAAGCCTCCTAAACTATCATTTCACCCCCCCCCCCCTACCGTAACCAACCCCTCTCCTCATCTCTACACCATCACCCTTTTGTCCATCCTCCATTCCCCCCTCCCTCCTCCCCCATTGCCACAATAACCACCAACTCTTACTCCCACAATCACCACCACCCAACCATCCCACCCCCATCACAACATAATCACCACCCCCTCCGCAACTATACTACTATACCCCACTTCCCACACAACCACCACTACAACCTCCCCTACACAAGCACTACGCTTATATCGTACGTGATCAGTACAATCAACACAATCGAGGTATGGACATATTTTCCCCTAGATATATCCCCCTCCCTGGGCTTTTTACCCCTAGGTATGGAAGGTGGGCTTAGCTGTGGGGAGATTCACCAATCTATTTATCAGTGGAGGGGTCAGGAATATCCAGAGGGAAACATGTTTTATATCAACATAAGCACCAGGACCACCTCTTGTAGCGGGCGTCGGAGTAATCGTCATCGATGGATCCGTAGTAAAGCATGGCGTCCTGGTCCTGGCTGCCTGTGCTGCCCAAACTGTCACCCTTGACGCGGGTGGCTACGCCCTCCAGGTCGTCGTCACCCACAACCCCACCCAGCCTCAGGTCGACTCCCTCGTCACCGAGCTGATTTCCGGCAGGTGACAAGAAACGCCTCGCAGGAACCCTGGGATGAGAAGAAATGTTACCTTTGTAATGTTTCACTATTTTCAACCCTTAGAATGCGGCTCAATTACATCATATCATTGTAAATAATCTTTTCAAATATTTTTGATAAACAGCTTTACCCCTACCTTGTAAAATTCAACATACTAAGTTTCAGTCACTTCGGCTTCAAATCGCAAGAGTGCCAATGATGCTATTATCAGTTTTCTCGACTTAATCTAAACAGCCCTTGACAAAAATGATTTCCAAATTTGCCTCTTCATTCACCTGAAAATGTTTTTGATACCATCAGTCTGATGGCATCCTATTGATACTTCATCACTATGGAATTCGAGGCCATTCTCTGAACTATATCCCTCCATATCTCAACAACAGACACCAATACGTAGTCACCAATGAAATAATCTCTCCCACTTTACAATTAACCACAGGGCACAAGGCAGCATCTTAGGGCCTCTCCCATTTCTTATATTATAAATAACAAGTTAAAACATTTATGGATGTCAACCAGTGCGACAGGCACTGGTTGACATTAGGGCCTGACAAACGACAGGCCCTAATGATTCTAGCAGACGATAATCATTACAATCCTAGTAGACGACAGGCCTTAACGATCCTGAGAGTAACTTTTTGGCCCAAACAACTATTCTTAATGCCTTCAATCGCAGCAGGTCAGTATAAATTTTTATATATAAATATATATAAACGTTACTTCCCTCCCCAAACAATGTCCTTTTTTAATTTCTATTCTTGCGTTCCTTTTTGCTTTGCTTTGCCTCGGAGTTATTAGTGATGGGTGGTGTTCATGGATGGTTGTCTGACCCCCTCCCCCTCGTCCTGGTCCCATCCCGTGTCTGATTTTCCCCTCCCCCCTCGTCCAGGACTCCACCTCTTGTCTGACCCCCCCCCCCATTTGACTTTAAGTGTTGGCCATGTAATGAGATGCTGTCATATTATAATTATTAATTAATTAAATAATTCCTAAATCTATAATAATTATTAAGTGATATCAAATGAATCAGCCGAGAAGAGCCACGGTCTTGCATTCAATAGTAAATGTGGCGATCTTCCACGGTAATCTTGCCAACAACACGCGCATCGTGCAAGGCGCGAAGCCTTAATTGATCACGAAGCCTTACACAGCTTCAGTTCTAAAGATGCTTATCAGAGAAGTGGAAGATTCATCTCAAGGGGGCCAGTCTAAGCAGATATAGATAGCTTAGGACTGCACACTCCTCATCACCGTCAAGTTTAAATATAAATGGTGACTATCTTTTATTTTTTGACAGAATAGTTCACATGTGCGTACGTAATGTTCCCCGTAATACGACCCGCCAAATCGTTTAACAACCAGGAACCCATTTTACTACTGGGTAAACAGAGGCTACAGTTAAGAATTGACGCCCAGTAAATCCTCCCCGGCCAGGATACGAACCCAGAACAAAGCCCTCGCGAAACGCCAGGAGTGTCTTACCACTACACCGCAGGGACTGCTATCTTACATCTTGCGACACGCTATCAGCCTCTGTACGGAGTTTACACTGTTAATTGTGTAGCGCCTCGGGCATGTCCAGGGAGGGACAGAAATGGTTCGGCGCGTTTCTATCACCTAATGCCACTGTTCACCTGTCAGTAAATAGGTACACATGGAGTTAGCTTGTTGTGGGGTTGCATCCTGGGGAGGATTGGTAGTTTGACCTTGGAGAGCATGTCGATATAATCCTATTATTATTTATATACTTATATATATTTTTGTGGTCTTGATATCACCACTCTTGAAGAATGTGAATCTTCAAGGATCAGAGAAAGACGTGGTGGGTTGATATCACGCCTGACCTGTCTCTCGAAGCCCATACAACAATAATTATAATTATTATTATCTGGGTTTCGGAGGACAGGTCTGGGAGATGGGGGATTTATCAACCCCCCAAAGGACTTTCTCTGATTCTTGAAGAATCACATCCTTCAAGAGAATGTATTCCGTGAGTGGTATATTTGATATGTATCGAGCGAGCATCAGATGTTTGTGTTGTGAGAGCGGCTGCCAGGCGTTACCTTTGACATTAAGGCAGTACTTAGCGACCCGCGTGGTGGCAAGCAGCCGAGGTGTGGAATTGAGAACAAGCAGACTATTGGGGCTTTCACAGTTATGAAAAGAAAATGGAAATTCTTTTTTTTTTTTTTTTTTTTTTTGTGTGTGTGTGTGTAGGTGTAGGTGTGTGTGTAGGTGTAGGTGTGTGTGTGTAGGTGTAGGTGTGAGAGAAAGTGCCCCCCCCCCAACCCCCACGACACATTAATGGATAGGCTCTGGTAAGTTTGAAGAGCTGTATTCATTTCGGTTAAACGAGCCCCCCTTGTAGCAGTGCATGCAACCCGTTCTCGCACTTTCGTATAGTCAATATTGACTTATTAAATACGTGTATATGTGCCATACTAAACATACTAGTTTACCTTGAAAAGCTTCATAGAAAACACCGACCTTACCTAACCTCCTTAGTATGTTAAGATAAGCATCTTATTGCTTCGTAATTACAATTATTACTTAACCTATTATAGGTATAGGTTAAGTAATAATTGTAATTACGAAGCAATAAGATGCTTATCTTAACATACTAAGAAGGTTAGGTAAGGTCGGTGTTTTCTATGAAGCTTTTCAAGGCAAACTAGTATGCTTAGTATGTCACATGCACGTATTTAATAAATTAAGTCAATATTGACTATAAGAAAGTGCGAGAACGGGTTGAGCAGTGACATGAAAATACGGTCCACAAATTCTACATATGGCCTTTGGTTCTTCAAACAAAAAACAGTACAGGTAAACGAATGTACACTTAAGATTAGACACGTTAACAAACTATGCAAAATAGGAAACACAGTGTTCATAGAAAACCAGAAAAGTGAAAGTTACGGGATACTCACCCAGACCTTTGATCCGATAAGGAGTTGATGACGGCGTATGGGTACATATTGTTAATGTGTTCGGGCGTGTTGAGGGCGTCCATGATGATGTCAAGGAGTGGGCGTGGCAACGCCGGCATGGATGCCCTCTTGCCGTGTGCTGAAAACGGAAAAGATTTGGGTGAATACACATTGTTTTCTTTCAAAATGAAATGTGTTGACAGAGATTCTCTTGCACCCATGGGGTAATAAACCTTTCTAATACCCCTAACCGTTGAAGACTATTTTAGTTTAAAATCGAATTTGACAAAAATCTTCAGAAACAGTGCGGGTACATTTGAGAAGCCGCTGGCTTCCTGCCCCGTCGATGGCACTAAAGACGATGACCCCTCAGGTAAATTGTATTAAACCAAAAAGATTTATGACACTAGGGGAAAGGAATTATCAGAGGAAAGCGCCAAGCCATCACGACTATATAGCACTTGGAAGGGGTCAGGATAAGGATTTGGGATGGGACGGGGGGAAAGGAATGGTGCCCTTATGAATGGTATGATATGACACTAGCCATATCAGTTTTTGTACAACTTATTACACACTACCACAGCTAAACTTAACCTAACTTCAAATTGTGCAATCAACCACAAAATTGCGAATATTTTACAAAAGCCTCGCGAACTATCAGTATACAACGCTTTAAAAATAAAATGTTTATTCAGGTAAAGGAACATACATACAAGATGGGCTACACACAAAATGTTGGAATTCTAGATAGAGTTAGCATATACTACTATGCCTAAAGCCACTAATACGCACAGCGTTTCGGACAAAATGTGGGGAAAAACACTAAGACTAAAACTTAAAACTAATTGAGATCAAAGCATAACTTTAACTGAAAAAGGGAAAAAAAAATCACATGATGGATGGAACAGCAGAAGTAATTTTAACTAAATAAATAGAAGACTACAATTTTCTTCTAGTTTATACATGGCAGATATCAGCAAACAAGTTGGTCAATAATCAATAATGTTTGAAAATAGCTAGATATAGGTTGACATTTAGGAGGTAAGGTAGGTTACATGGAGTTTATCAGGTAGTACTTAGTTTTCCTCTTAAAAAAAATTTAAACTGGTTGAGAGATGTACGGTCTTTGACATGATTGGAAGGTCATTGCACATTCTGGGTCCCTTGATTTACAGGGCTTTTATATTTCAATTCAATTTCTTTCTTTATTATGCACCCCATACCCATCCCGTGGGCGGTGGTGTAAAGGATTACAGAGGCACATAATCGGTTCAAGAACTGAACCCTTTATGTGACTTTGTAATCCTTATAGTTCGCTAAAGTCGCACTCTTGGAACATGAAATAGGTATTTGTTTCGAGTGTGGTGCCCATGGCTTCTGTTATAACCTTCTAGGAAACGTTTAATGTCAGAACTGGCATTACAGTTCAGAGCTTTAAATATATAGAGTACACTTGAGAGGATGTGCAGTGACTTAATATCTAACATATTCAAAGATTTAAGTAAGGGTACCGAGTGCTGTCTGGGGCCAGAGTTGGACATTGTTCTAATAGCAGCTTTGTATTGAGTAATTAGAGGACGTAGATGATTTTGGGTAGTAGAACCACAAGCACAAATACCATAACTGAGATAAATATACATGAAAGAGTAATAGATCGTCACCAGGGCAGGGCGAGGTACATAATATCTGATGTTAGAAAGAATGCCAACAGTTTTAGAAACTTTTTTTGTTATGTTTAAAATGTGTCCCTGGAAATTCAGCTTGTTATCGATGAGGACACCAAGGAATTTACCATCTACTTGCAACCCGCTCTCGCACTTTCTTATAGCACAACCAACTTTGTTAATAATTTGGATAGTGTTTGTTTTTTATTAATTTGATCTAATGATTTATTACCAAACAAAATATAGAAAGTTTTGTCAATGTTAAGGGTGAGTTTGTTAGCAGTTAGCCAAAGATGGACTTTATTTAGTTCAGTATTCACTTTACGTTTCAGGGCAAGAGGGTCAGGACTGGAGAAAATGAAGGTTGTATCACCATCAAATAAAATTGGTTTGAGGTGTTGAGAGGCATATGAGATCACCACATTTATGGACTGGGGTAACTCGGTTTTTTAGAATATTCAGAAAATGTTTGGAGTTCAAGTGATTTACTGTAGAGCATTGCAATGGCAGGAGCTAGAAATCTGGAGTTTTTTTTTGTAAATTAAACTTGGTATCTCAGCAAGGGCACTTGACTTTGTTTTAAGAGAAAGGATTATCTCATTAACATCAGTGGAATTAGCGTGAGTTAGGTACAGAGACTCTGGATAGTTACCTGTAAGATAGTCCTTAACATTAGTTTGGGAGGATGGAATATCATTAGCAAGGGATGACCCAATGTATGAGAATAATCTATTGAATTCAATAGCAGTGTCAGAGGCTGAAAGCACACCATCGTCATTGGACAGTATTGTTTTTTTATTAAAAAAATTTTTGGTCCTAATATTTGGGAAGTAGTGCTCCATGTTTTCTTAATGTTGTCCTTAATTCTGTTAAATTTATTTTTGTAGTATTTTATTTTGGATCTCCTAATTATTTTAGACAGCATTGATGATTAAGTCTTTGAAACTTCTTTGGAGACTACCCCTAACCAATACTTCTTCTCATAGTCATGTTTTTTTTATTAATAGATTTAAGTATACCCTTTGTAAACCATAGATTGTTTAACCTTTTAGTTGTGACTTATTTCGTTAGCATTGGATAGTGGGTGTTATAGAGGCTTAGAGTTTTCTGAAGAAATGTTTGCACTGCTAGGTTAATGTTCACTATGTTACCTAATTCAGTTTCCCAGTTGATATTAGCAGTAACAGCAATAAAGTTGCTTATAGAAGTTTCATTGTGCAGCCTAAAGCTTATCTTCATTGTATCAAGAGATAGTTTATTAATGTTGGTTAGGAGAAATTTGCGGAAATGGTCTGTGGTCCTATCAGTGATTATCCCTGAAGTAAGTGAACAGGTTATGTTAATCCAGATGTGGTCAAGAGCAGAGGCAGTCGTATCAGTGATTCTTGTAGGTTTAGTGATTAAGGGTATGGGCAAGCAGGAATTCATAAAGTTGAGGAAACTAGCAGCATGAGGGGTTATCTGGCTCGCAGAGGTCAATATTAAAATCCCCCGAGATTATTAGTTGGTTTTTGTTAAGACTGTTAGCTAGTATTAGATTTCTTAGGTTAGAGTTGAATTCAGACACATCAGCGTTAGGAATTCTGTAGACTGCTCCCACAGTCAGGACAGCCTCGGCACCCTTGACTCTGAAACGGGCAAAGATATACTCTCCACACAAGTCTAGTTCTAATTACTTTTAACCATGTCAGTTCTTGGTGGTAGTAAAGAGCAGTACCACCATCTCTCTCTATTGGTCGACAGTTGTGAATTGCTGAGTAGTTTAGTATGTTAAAGAGTTGTGTAGTATCCTCTTTTAATCACGTTTCAGTAAGTATAACAAAGGAAAATTTGTTGTCAACAGTTTGAATTAGGGGCACTAACATCATCAAAGTGTTTGCGTAGAGATCTAACATTCAAGTTAATTACAGAAAACATTGTGATTATGTGTTAAAACATTGTTTACATCATGTGCTGTATAACATCTGCAATTTTGATCATGAAAGTGATGATTGTCATAGATACTAGAAAAAGAGGTTAGTTCTGGGTCTATACTAGTTTGCATAAGAGGGATGTTTGGCGGTAAAAAAAAAAGCCAAAAAAGACAAATATAAAAAAATCTAGATATAAAAACTATACAAAAATGAGGTAGATTGCTTTGAGGTACACTCAGGTACACTGAAAGTAATAATTTGCACTAGGAGACACAGGCAAGACGTGACTTGACTGCCTGTCGGACTTACCGACACTGATGTGGCTTGCTGCCACCCGTACGACGCAATGCAGTGGCGCGGCTGCCACCCGTACGACGCAATGCAGTGGCGCGGCTGCCACCCGTACGACGCAATGCAGTGGCGCGGCTGCCACCCGTACGACGCAATGCAGTGGCGCGGCTGCCACCCGTACGACGCAATGCAGTGGCGCGGCTGCCACCCGTACGACGCAATGCAGTGGCGCGGCTGCCACCCGTACGACGCAATGCAGTGGCGCGGCTGCCACCCGTACGACGCAATGCAGTGGCGCGGCTGCCACCCGTACGACGCAATGCAGTGGCGCGGCTGCCACCCGTACGACGCAATGCAGTGGAGCGGCTGCCACCTGTACGACGCGGCACTGACTTTACTTGCAGCCACACGTTCCGTCACGTTAATTAACGTGGCTGCCAGATATATGTTGTGACAATGACGTTAAAAATGACAAGTAATAAACACTTGGGGTTATTTTAAGCCCCCTATTTTAGCTTTATTTTAAACATGTATTTATAGCTATACAAAAGATTCGGCAAGACCCTTAAAATATGAGACTTACCAAGTTATAAAAGGCCAGCCAACACGCTGAATTAATACTTTACATCAGTGTTCACACTAGAGAGATTAGACAACATCCCATTACCCACAAAAATGTTTGAAGAAGGTGAAGAGAACGAATTAAGTGGTATACCCTTAACGACCGACAAAATCAGGAAGAGCATTGACAAACTAGAAGACTCAAAAGCACCCAGGCGTAGACTGAATCCAATTCAAAGTAGTAAAGGGGCTGTCAAATGAACTATGACTACCATATCTTATCTTGATACGTTGATCATATCTTGATGGGTTCTGGGGGCTCCCTAAGCCCGGCTTGGGACCAGGCTTGAAGCTCCTTTTCAGAAAATTTCTGGACCAAGGCATAGTTCCCCAAAATTGGAAATATGCATATGTCATTCCTATTATCAAAAAAGCCGCACGGAGCTCAGCAGAAAACTACCGTCCGATCAGCTTTACTTCACACATCTGACAAAGGACAAATTTCAGACAAAGGACTCCCAGAACATGCAGTATACATGGACTTTGCTAAAGCTTTTCATAAGGTACCACATGAAATAATAGCAAGAAAATTACAGGAACACGGGATAAATGGCAGAATACTAGAATGGATAAAACAACGGTTAAAACAAAAAAAGTAAAAGTTAGTTTTATATGGAAATGAATCTGACTAGAAAAATGTAGCGAGTGAAGTACTGTACCGCAAGGGTAAATTTTGGCGCCAACCCGTATTGTCATATACATTAATGACAAATGAGAATATTACAAACCACTCCATCAAAGTTGCATATGACACTAATATTTATGATAAAATGGGAAGTGAAAATGAAATAGAGGCCGGACAAAGACATTTTCATGATATCTCATAAACGGTTGGAAAACTGGCAAATGCTTTTTAATACCGTAAATGACCTTGCATGAGGGACATAATAATCCACATCACAACTGCCAAATTAACAACATTACCTTACAGCAGATTATTGACGAAAAGGACTTTGGTGTCAGAGTTCATCATTTACTGAAAGTTATACAAGTGGGAGCGGCAGTAAAAAAGTTAACCAAACCCTAGGAATAGTCAAACGAGCATTTGACTTCAGGGAAAGTTAGTTAGTTTAGTTCATTTATTATGCACCCCATATCCATCCTGTGGGCGGTAGTGGAAAGGGTTACAGAGGCACATTATGGGTTCAGTGACTGAACCCTAATTTCATTTAGCTAAGCAAGTTACAGTTTTGATTATCTAGTTACAAAATTCAATGCACATCATCACATTAATTAGGCTCGAGACCGAATACAAGTAGTCTCTAAAATAAGCAAATGACATGTAATTACCTAAGTGTAGTTACAGGATGAGAGCTACGCTCGTGGTGTCCCGTCTTCCCAGCACTCTTTGCCATATAACGCTTTGAAATTACTGACGGTAATGCGTGAACAGGTAGTGTCATACCTGATATGTTTATCCTGCACACCGCCCCTTAACTAATGGGCAGCATTGTTACAATCACCCAGTTACTACCGACAGTAAGTAAATTCTCTGGTGAGCCCCCACTTGAAAATTACTGTATCCTAGCGTGAAGACCTCGTCTTCAGGAAAGACAGCTGCGTTAGAGAAAGTTCAACACCGGGCAACAAAAATCATTCCAGAACTACGTCGAGTCTAATACCGAGAAAGGTTGAGGAGCCACAGGATTAACAACACTGCCAACCAGACATGACAGGGCTGATCCCTTAGAAACTTTTAAAATACTGATCAATTTGGAGGATATTGATCCAGACAACTTATTCAAAAGATCTGGAATAACACAAACAAGGAACAACAGTTTCAAGCTCGACGAATCACAGTGTAGGACAGAAAATAAATGTTTTTTCACCCATAGGGTTTATCTATAGCTTTTAACGCCGAAGCCGTGAATGTCCAGAACTGCTGAATTTTAAAATCCAGCTTGAAAAAAAATCAAGACACAAAATGGGAGTATCTTTGACAAGCCGCCGGTTTCCTGTCCTCGTTGAGGTCACTGGAGAAATAGTGGCCTTCAGGTAAATTCAGTTTCTTCCTGTATCCGTCTGCCTGTAGAACTTCTGAATGTAGAACATTGCAGAGCACCTTACAAGTGTGTCTGCGCCTAAGAGTGTAATCATCGAGATTTTCCAACCTTGCAAGCAGCCTGGGAAGGCAGAGCTGTATATAAATCTTTCGTTTGCCTTAAATTGTATTTCCACCTATCAGTTCGATGTAAACAAGTCACTAATGGCAGGTGCAATGAAAAGAGGAGGAAGGAGAACGAAAGATAAGAAAAAGAGGAGAATATTTATATATATATTCTAAGGTGCCCAAGGACACCTCAGGACAAGGACGCCTGGCATCGGAATTCGTCGGGAATATCATATATGAGAGCGCTAACATGTCAGTTACAGCTGCTGTTAGACAACAGATGTTGACAAGTTTACACTTATGTATAGGAAAAGATAAGTTCCCTGAACATATGTTGGCTACATTCTTGACGTTGTGCGCCTCGTTCATCAGTCGTTTATGATCGTTGAGTCTGGATAGTGACTGGTTGGGTGACCGTGACGTACGTTTCCCCCTCGGTAATTTTGGGAACATATTTGGCGAAATACAACCTGCGTTTTACTGTTGAAACGGAAAGAGACGACTGTCTTCCATTCCTAGGAACACTAATAGTGAGAGACACTCAAATTCCACAAGAAACCAACGTACACAAATATAAACACAACCGTAGATGTGAAAATATACGTACACGTGTCCTGTACGTGTACGTACATGTGTACATACATGTGTCCTTGGCAGGAGGGACACGTGTGTCACACAGAGACCAGGAGCAACACCAGTTTGGCGTCCTTCTAGCTCACATCACCCCAGAAGGAAACATTATGAGACGGTGTATAGAATCTGCAGCCGTCAAACACTACAATAACATCGAGCCAAATGATGAAAATAGCAGTGCTGCTGGCAAAATTGCCATAATATTAATTATATTAATAAACTTATATTAATAAACTAGCCAAACCTCTGACCGCATCTTCAAGTGTTTAACCTGGCTCCATTTCCTTTCTTAAGCATCTAGACCTCTGTTTATCCAGTAGATTAGATAGGCTTTACCGGAGACAATGTTGCCCAATATCGTTGTTCACGCCTCTCTGTTCAATCAATTAAGCCTGGATTTAATTGTGGTAGAACGACAGCATTCTGACATGACTTGGGGGGGGGGGGGGGTTCTTCAGCTGGATACTTTGATTTTTTTAGGTAATTACTATCGTAGTAAAACTCAATACACTCATTATCTTAAATTATGCCCGAAACGCTGCGCATATAATTACTGGTTTTAATAATTCAGTGTATCGGAGGACAGGCAGGCAATTTATACATACAGTACATGTTAGGCTTATATAAAGGTCCCCCCCCTCTCCCCCCCACTCAGGGTCAAATTACTGACACTCCCCAGGATGCAACCCCACTACAAGCTGATTAACTCCTGAGTACCTATTTACTGCTAGGTGAACAGGCGCATGAGGTGAAAGAAAACGCACCCAACGATTTCTGTGCCGCCCAGGATTAAATTTTGATTTTTTTAAATTTTGCCCCGAGGGGCGAGTTTGACGCGCCATCCAAATTTTTCACTCCTGGTGTACACATTGGTACGTTCAAAATGTTCACAAGATGGTCTATCAATTCTAGGTGTTCAAAAACAATCGACGAGGCTGGAAACTACATTTTGAAAGATATCTACGTCAATGTGTACCCAGGGAGGGGGGGGGGGGGGAGATCCAGGCACTAGGCTTGGTCTGGTGTTGATGTTGTGGTTATCACCATCACTTATTACTAAGGTCATCACCAGCATGCATATATTAACCCTGAACAATGTTACAAGATAAGAATTAAGAAATTTGCTTCAGACCTTTTGGTCGATGCGAGGCAGCTTCTATTCAGAGGTGTATTACAATAAACGATGTATATACATTGAGAAATAGGGTATATATATATCTGTATGTATAGATACCCTCTTGAGATACAGATTGTCGTGTTGTATTTAAGGTGGAATATCAAGGCCACCACAATACTGAAAAACCAGTAGGTATAATTTATACCTGTACATAGTTCAGGTATAAAGCCCAAAATAATGAAAACCTGAACATAGTTCAGGAATAAGGTAGACTCAATATATATTTACAATTTGGGCTGTTCCATTCAACATATAATTGTCATATTTTTTTCTACTTCAGTTCAATTCTTGCTTTTAATCTCAATTAGTTTTAAGTGTTAGTTTTTTAAGTTTATTTCCCACATGATGCCCGAAACGCTGTGCGTATTAGTTAGTGACTTTAGGCATAGTATATATATACCTGATCTGCCTAGAAATCCAACATTCTGCTTGTAACTCATTATAAATATATGTACTTTTCCCTAATTAAAATTATCATCATTAGCATATGCACTGAATAGCGGGGAACACCTTTCAGTGTAAGCCATCCTCCTGTTTAGATGGTCCTTTTGTGTAGCTATGTGAACCATTGTACTTATATTGACGTACTGGGCAATTAGATAGTAGAATCTGGTACTATTCACTTTATAGCATCTGGAAAAAATAAAGCTAAAGTCTAAATTTAATGTTCCTAGGCCTTGTATAGCACATTATGTACTGTATTGCGTGTATTAGGTACACGCTATTATGATAGGGGTAGCGTGAATTAGGCCTAGGAGGGTTAGGTTAGGTTTTATTAGCAACATAAATACCCCTCCAAAAAAATCCGGTTTTTCAAAATTAAAAAAATCCATATTCTTTCTAATTGTCCATTACGCCAATATATGTAGGATGGTCCACTGCGTTACAAAAAGTACTATCTAAACATGAGGGTGGCTCCTGTTCAATGTATATATAACGATAGACTGATATGAGAGATTTATATATATGTCAATGTATATATGTCACTACAGTCCATTCCAGTTACATGAATTATCACAACAATCAATTTGCCACTTTCTAATAAACATTTCTTGTACTATCCGCCATTTAATGATACAATTTTTCCACAAACAAATTCTAACGGACGATTGATTTAGCAGGCCAAAATAATGAAAGCCATATATTCCAACAAATGACACATTTGACCATATATCAATATCGCAAATGGCAGAGCTGCTAGGCTAGACAAGATCGCATGCTCTGGGTGACAAATTTCCCCCGCACCCTATTTGTCTAATACGCTAATACATAACAAAATAATATATACTTCTAGGTTAATTTCATATTATTTGATGCCAAGAATTATGTAGGGTTGACCTGGCCCTCACCTCTTTCCTGCCAGAAGACTATTTAACCTGACCTAACCTGGTTCACCTAATCTGACCTAACCTGGTTCACCTAATCTGACCTAACCTGGTTCACCTAATCTGACCTAACCTGGTTCATCTAATCTGACCTAACCTGGGTTTCAAAGTAAAGGAGGAGGAGGAGGGTAAAAATAGCCTAAGCTACTGTATCCTTTTGAGATACATCTTATTGTCTCAATAAACACTTGAATATGGATTCACATGACTCGCCTGACCTAGCGTACTCACCTCCGAGGCAGGAATGGCCGTAGTTAAGACAGCCGCCTGAAATATAGAACACACATTATGAGTAATAGTTATACAAGTGCAGTAATCAATAGGGGGAATAGATAAGGAACATATTATATATATATATATATATATATATATATATATATATATATATATATATATATATATATATATATATATATACGGGGTCATATACACCGAAATGTGTACGTATACGGGGATTTATATACACAGAGAGGTATAATAGTCCACTTATTGGGAATACACCGAGAGTTCAGGATAAAAATATACTTTCTGACTGGCCAGTACGCTACTGTGAATTATACTATGGTATATATAAGGTAGTATTGCCTTGTAAATTTATGTATATATTATATTGTATTTTATTAAATAGAGATAAAAAAAGTACGCTACTGTGGCGGCTCTAATAATCATCGGGTGGTTGATAGGCCCAACACCAACATACCTGAATATATACCTGAAGTATGCCCCAGGAGGCGTACTGTATATACCAGATATATACCTCTTAAAAACCCCTGTACATATTGGTAAGGTTCACGTGTCTTGCAGACGTAATTAATAATAAAGGCGGCTATTAAAGGCTAATAACAATTGTCTAGGGATGAAGGTTATCTTGAGATGATTTCGGGGCTTAGCGTCCCCGCGGCCCGGTTCTCGACTAGGCCTCCTTTTTGTTACCTCCTTCCTCCCCAGGAAGCAACCCGTAGCAGCTGTCTAACTCCCAGGTACCATTTCACTGCTAGGTTAACAGGGGCATCAGGGTGAAAGGAAACTGCCCACTTGTTTCCGCCTCCACCGGGGATCGACCCCGGAACCTCGGGGACTACGAATGTGAAGCGCTATCCACTCAGCTGTCAGCCCCCCCCCCCTAAATAATCGAAAAGAAACAACTGCTTCACAAACACATCAATATACTTCATGAATGGGTAACACAACATATAAATATAAAATAAACACAGGTAGCCAAGAATCACCAGATATATACAGACAATTAAATGGGGGTGAAATAACACCTAATAAGCACTGATCCACAGGATTAAATCTTACATGGATAGATGCTTAGGCAAATAATGGTCTCACCAGATAATTAGCCATGTTCACTGAACTAAAAACAGGCAAAATTGACTTATCTCGTGATTACAGGTCCGACCTAGTCAGCTCTACCCACTGGCTTGCCTACACGCCTGACTAGGTGCTGGCGTCTACACATTACCAACTATAAGACCCGCAAGAATACTCTCAGATACTCTGCTGAATACTCAAAAATACACAAGAATACTCACAGATACTCTGTTTAAAATTTACATTTAACTTTAATAAGTTGTAATAAAAGTAAGTAAGTAAGTAATTATCAACGAAGGCACCAAGCCGGGAAGGCTATGTAGCAAAGTTGTAAAAAATATGTCAAAAGTTGTAAAAAAAAAACTCGGCAACACCAACGCTTTATCATGATAAATGTCAGGATCAAGTATTATTGATGCGTAACAATGCCCCAAGAAGTGTACTGTATATTCCAGAATATGCCCCATGAGGTGTACTGTATATACGAGAAGAATATGCCATACGAGATGTACTGTACATACTAGGGGCCAGATTCACGAAGCCGTTACGCAAGCTCTTACGAACCTAAACATCTTTTCTCAATCTTTGGCGGCTTTGCTTACAATTATTAGACAGTTAATGAGCTCCGAAGCACCAGGAGGCTGTTTATAATAATAGCAACAGTTGATTGGGAAGTTTTCATGCTTTTAAACTGTTTAATAAATGTTATCAAAGCCGTCAAAGATTGAGGAAAGATGTACACGTGTGTAAGTACTTGCGTAACTGCTTCGTGAATCGTGCCCTAGAAGTATATGCCCCAGGAGGTGTACCCTTTACTGCTTTACAGTATATAGCTTTGAAATTATTTGAGATTACGGTATATTTATTAACCTTGCCTCTCCTCCCACCCAACCCTACTCCCGCGTATTCTTACATGATCTCCCTTATCCTCTTCCCTCCCATGTAACGTCTCCCTAAATTGAAGATAATGAAAATTATGATAAAATTTTAATTGTAATGAAACTAATAGACAAACATAAGAGTAAAGGAACCCACAGGCTGTCATTAGAGATAAAGACATAATTAACTAATAATAAATGTATAGTATATGTTATTTTCATGGTTTAAAAGACAGTAAATGTGTTAAGAAAAGATAAACTTTCTCATAGACATTATAAATTAATACATTTAAGCTGGTATTAGGTTAAACCCTCAGGTTTTTAGAGCAAAAGTATAATACTTTAGGCTTCGACACAAATTTTGATCTAGGTCAAAATTTGTAAAGTATTGTGCTATTATAGATGAATACATTGGCGTTAATATATAATGTAATATTTTATTCATCCACATAAAATATATTATTCCCAGTAATGCGTGAATTACAAATGTAGAACTATGGAATTATTATGGAAAGTAACCTCTTTGAAAAGCCCCGTCGAAGCTAATATGTCATCTAAGGTTTATTATGTCAAAATCAAATCGAATATTTATTCAGGTAAAGTACATACATACAAGGTGAGATACAAAACGTTGATGGATTAATATAGATTTATATTTTATGTCCTCTTTTCACGCGTACAACAGACTCCTACCTATTCTTCTCCCGCGAAATTTGCTCAGAAAAAAATGAGAAAACAGAGAAATACGAAAATTGGCTTCCGATTCGGGAAATTAATTGGTGGAGGCATTTGTGTTGGGCGATATTGTGGGAAAGTTGGCGCCAGCCGGGATTTACAGTGTTGCCAATTTGTGTTGTTTTCTAGAGAGTTTCTCTCAAGAGTTTTTGGCCCAGGTTGTGTGCTATACAAGTATATTATCTACTCCCTCCAGGTCCCATTTATCGTTTATTTGCTGCCAGTTGAACCTTTACGTGTCATTTGTCTGTACATTGACCCCTGTTAAACCGACTTCATACTGGGGGGGGGGGGGGCGAACGACGCTGCGTTCGTATTATGTCCACGACTTTAGCTTTGAATAGAGAGCCATACTGGTAGTTCTAATATTGTGATTGGCCGATATAATGAACGACAGAGTTTGAATAATTTTTGTTGTGGTTGTTGTTTTGCGAGAACTGTCATTCACCCAGGGAACAACCCCTGCACAGTTGGTTATCCCCACACATAATACAGACACGGCGTAGTTTGACGCCACCATTGGAGGTCATTGGCATGCAAGGGCGGCAGGTAGGTCGTTGACGACCTCCTTCATATTGCCTCTCATAGGATCACACAAAATTCGGACACTATAGTGAAAAATATTACCTCCCCCCCCCAAAAAAAAAAAAAAGTTAATAAATAAAAATAAAACATATCCCCATTTTTTGGTCCAAAAGCTATTATATCGGTGATTTATATCTGCTACTTATTTATCCTCCCATTATCCAGGGTAATCAATTTATCCTACACACATTCATATAACGCTGCATACCTATTTGGAACAAAAAAATTACCTTAACCCGGCTTTCATTTACATTTTGGCCTCTGATAAAAGATTTCAGTCTAAAAAAAATTCCAGATGGTTTATGGCTGGCGGAAGAACTTTTCACTTACATCATAATTATCCACCTTTTGTTCCTTTTGTTGTTCCAGAAAAAAATCTTAAACCCGAGAATCACGTTAAAGTTTATTTTCTTTATCATAAGCAAAGCAACCTGCGCGCAACTCATTTCATATTAGCTAAAACTTCCAGGATAATCGAGTTGATAACTAGGAGCAGTGCGAGGCGCCGCGCTCACCAAGATGGTCATTAATATTAGGAGGCATTGGCCAGCGCCGAATACTATTTAATCATTTAATGGTGGCACTGAGAGCCACCGAGTGCCCGGTAAGTCATTCATGGGGACACTGGAAGCCGATCTATTTACAGAAAACACAATCGGCTGAGGATTACATTCAGGGGGGGTAAAATCGAGTACCCAAATGAACCATAGAGACATTAGCAAAAAATGTTTCAGTGTCAGAGTTGATAACAAATGGAATGCACTAGGAAGTGATGCAATGGAGGGAGACTCCATACACAGTTTCAAATGCAGATATGATAAAAACCCAATAGGCTCAGGAATCTGTACACCAGTTGATTGACGATGGAGAGGCGGGACCAAAGAACCAAAGCACAAATATGCGAGAACATTCAAGAACAGAATCAGTGTGTAATATTTCAGAGCAGGTGACAAGTATGGCTTAGTGTTGGTCTTAAGGCCTATCAGTAGCCACAGTCCCAGCATAACACAGGAGTTCCATAGACCACAGTCCCAGCATAACACAGTAGTTCCATAGACCGCAGTCCCAGCATAATACAGTAGTTCCATAGACCACAGTCCCAGCATAACACAGTAGTTCCATAGACCGCAGTCCCAGCATAATACAGTAGTTCCATAGACCACAGTCCCAGCATAACACAGTAGTTCCATAGACCACAGTCCCAGCATAACACAGGAGTTCCATAGACCACAGTCCCAGCATAACACAGTAGTTCCATAGACCACAGTCCCAGCATAACACAGTAGTTCCATAGACCACAGTCCCAGCATAATACAGTAGTTCCATAGACCACAGTCCCAGCATAACACAGTAGTTCCATAGACCACAGTCCCAGCATAACACAGGAGTTCCATAGACCACAGTCCCAGCATAACACAGTAGTTCCATAGACCACAGTCCCAGCATAACACAGTAGTTCCATAGACCACAGTCCCAGCATAACACAGTAGTTCCATAGACCACAGTCCCAGCATAACACAGTAGTTCCATAGACCACAGTCCCAGCATAGCACAGTAGTTACATAGCCCCAATATTAGGCTTCGCCCACTACCGTCTGCACATCACAATGCCACTCGAAAAAAATATATATTGTATTTTGAACCATTTTTTGTGTGTGTGCTGCCCTCCTATTCAGCAGGATAATTGTGAGGTTTCGCGGTGGATATAGACAATCATGGAGGCGGAAATCCATTCTTGTCTCGGCGGACAGC